CCGATCTCTTTTAATAACTTTAGCGGCAAATGTGTAGAAATTAACTTTATTCTTCTAAAGGCCTTATGATGAAAACGTTGACGTTCCAGGTGATCCAATACCATAATTCTAACAGTATATTTTACCTTGACCTTATACAAGTGACACTCTCATGGTACCACGGACCACAGCCAAAATATTGAACTGCATCTTTGCATGCTTATTGTTATCGGTTTTCCCTCGAGTAACTTCCGAATTTTGACTGACGGATAAAATTCACGAGTTTAATCTTTCTATTAGCTATAGACTGGCCCCGTTGTATACATGATAAACTTTAGCGTGATAAAACCTTTCTTTGCGTGATGTTACAAACTAGGCAGACAAATTTCAAATGACAGAATCGAAATTTACTAGACTACAGATCATTAGAGCAGTTCTCTAAGGTATGTTCTAATACAAAATATACTTCTATCTATTATCTCTTGAAATTAAAATATTATTCCATACTGTCTCAAAAATCTCAAACTAGCAAATCAAATCGATCTCGGGGGAGGATCTTGTCGTGGTTATTTAATGATGTTAAATCCCAATATAAAAGTAATTTGTCTAGTAATGTCAAGGTGTATGGGTATCTGAAGTCTTAATTAAAGTAAATCTGACAATTTTAATCAGTGTTAAAATTCACATCACCATCAGCAACTTACTCCGTTGATGTGCTTAGATTTAACAAGTTTAAAAAAAAAGCGTACAAAATTTAATATATTGATTTACTCGTGTATATGAAATCACTCTGCAAACGAGTTTGCCAATTCTGCATCTTTTTCTGAGAGTCAACCTTGATAGTCCAAATGATGACAATTAAAAACTGAATTTTCACTAACCATCTTGTGGCATATATTATCGTAATTATCAACAGTAAAAGCAAATTTGCAGTGCTCACCCATAAATATCCCGTTCAGGACTGCGTGACTAAAGTTATTACAGGTAAGTCGTATTATAAAGAATTGAAGAAACAATCTCCGGAATATTATTAAGACGATTAACTTACACGATAGAGCAACAACAACAAAACTTTCAACAAAAAAGACTAATTTCGAGCCGGAAATTATTGGTTTATGTGTTGTTCACTTTATAAAAAATATAATGTACAATATCAATTTATAATTTATAGGAGATAAATTTTTCCCCATTTTGAAATCATATCATGAAGACATTCAATTGCGACCTTTAGAATATCGCCACGTTTAATACAAACCCATCGATTTCAATTAATTAGTATTGATTATTGAGGTGTGGTACCATCTACAGACATTACATGTGATAAACATTTCTGTACCTTATCTACAGTATAGGCTTATAGTGATAAAACATATTCTCCTATTGGCATTTTTGAATTTTGCTCGTAGCCGAGAGATATCACAATATAAAACAATAATTAATGTGAATTTGGTTTGTGTGATTTAGCTCAGAAACAGTCGTTATTCAACGTTATTGCAAAATATTACAAGCAACTGAATAAGAATGGGAGTTATATTGAAATGTGATTGAAATAGTTAGCCTCGCCTTCAACACGTACATTGTGTAACATTGGGAGTCGTCTTTCATTGAAAAACTAACTATATAGCGTGAAACTGAAAGCTATCGATCCGATTTAGCTTTACGGAAACTACCGAGTATTGCCGAATGGTTGAAAGTTTGGGTGCAGAAGATATTTTCCGCGAGAATTTTTGAAGAGCATTACTTCCTTTTTTTGCAGATGCAGGAAAAAATTGCTATGATGTAATTTAAATGTGAATTTTTCATTGTCACTATTAACGATTAGTTTTAAATTAGAAAGTAGAATTGTCAACTCCATGAATGAAGTCTTAAAATAGATATAAAATTTAAAGTCTCAAACTTGGTCAACAAGTATATAATCATGGCATACCAGGTGCCATGACTAAAGAATAGAATCTCTATATATAAGGCGATATATCCATGCTTCCATAAAGCATGCTTCAAAATTAAATGTACTTAGTTTAAGGAATTATCACTTAGTTTTACGGATTTATCAGTAGGATAAAAGACTCATTTTAACCAAGTTTTAAAATTTCCAGTTTTTTTGGTCATCCTATAGTATACCTTTAAATATACTGTCAGTCCAGCAATGGAGAGTTCTCTGGAATTACATACACATTGTCTCGTATTAAAACATCGGTATATTACACCAAAAATATCCATAATAATCAGAATTATTTACATTGAAGGTGACATAGGGCGTCCTTGACAATCACAAATCTTTCATATTTCTTAATGAAGTAGAAAACCTTTGATATGATCTTTCCAGTTTGTTGAGTTCTTGTCTTCTAGATCGTAAGATTTATAGCCAAAATTAGACCTAGTGTTAATTGAATGCAAGAGAAATATTACATTCTAAATATATTTTATTTCCCCTTCATTTCTCAGATGAAAGCGGGGTTCATATGCAATCGCACGTCTAAAAAATTTATACTATAGAAAGTATAAATCGAATTAAAGACTACATCGATGTGCGAACCTCAATGGAAAATATTTGGTCGTTTACATTATTTTAAAGTTTAAAATTGACTCTTGGCAAAGGTTGAAAATTTTTCAGTCTTCAAAGTTTGAGAATCATAAAATTAATTTGATTTAAACGGTATCATACAAGTTATTTTATTTTCCAGTCAGAATTGGTATCCACAGCCTGAAGACAATGCAGAGGTCATACAAATATTTTTATAGTCAAGCATGAAATATAACTGTCTTTGAAGTAAACTAACAAGAAACATGTCTGGTAGTGTCTAGTACAGAATGGTTCAAGTTGTTAGAATGTTATTTCTTTTAAAAACCCTTCGTTTGTATGATTTGATCTTCAAAAAATAACTGTCGATATTGTTTTCATTTGTTGACTAACATGAACTAACGTGAATGTTTCTGTTTTAAGATTTCTTTTAACAAATTGTCTGTGCAAAATCACATTTCATTTTTCACTGTTCGTCTGAAACATACATTTTCGAATTTTCTCTGATCTCAAGTCTACAGATATTTCTATAATCAACCCTTTGAAATTGCTGAACCGGATTAGAATTCGACCTCGATCCCCTCCGGGCATACAGCATTGTAAACTTCTTATAACGCATACGAAACTACGCATCATGGTTCTTACATGGAAATAAAACACACGAACCTATGTCCTCCGTCCGCCCGTCCACAATTATTGCTCGTAAACATGGATGAACCCTATTGAAAATCAGAAGAATCGAAAAATATTTAGTATGAGTTATTGCCCTTGTTCTTGAAAATGCGTTAAATTTTGAGCTCATAAACACTCTAGAAGACACAATTCTTGATGGAATATTATGAAACTTGTTGTGACTGTTTGTTATCACCTGAGGATAAACCCTGTCGAAAATTAGAAAAATCGAAAATTATTTAGTATGACTTATTGTCCTTGTTCTTGGAAATTCGTTCAATTTCTAGCTTGTAAACACTCTAGAAAGCCTTTCGTTATCAAAACTAGAGAGCACATTATTTAGCTACCTGCAATGAATTTCGCCTAAGTCAATTTCAGGAGACTTGAAATGTCCTTCAATTTGTCATTATCAAATACAGATTTAAGACAGACACGTGTTCAGAATTTCGATTATGTTCTTAAATAGGAGTAATTCTGGTGCTGACAGTGTATAGGAAAAATCGCTACATTTTGTTATTGGCGTATTTACTGTATTTGACAGTTAAATTAGACCATATCGAGTAAAGGTGCGGGTACACGAGCGGTCTTGGTCGGTGCTTTCACGACAAGATTATCACGTACCCGAAAGGATTTGTAATACATGTATCAACAAGTTTGATAATTGTTTCCGATAGTTTTATCTCTGCAAGTCAGACCGTCAGCATCTAATCAGATCCTTTCAAGTGCATGCTCCGCATGTGATTATCGACATTGCGGAAAACGACCGACCGGAGATTTTGTCTTCTCGTGCGCCCGTTCCAGTCGGAGAAACTCATGACAAGACTCTAGTCGGCGACAAAAATCTCCTACCACGACCGCTCGTGTACCCGCGCCTTTATTAGTCACCGAAAACAGTTTTCTTACTAAAGGGAGATAATCATGTTTTATTTTCGTTGGAATCAGTCCACTCTGATTTAAAAGGAACTTTTCGTTTTTTTGTAGGTCAAAAATTTTTTTGGCTCAAATTTTGCAAAATCGGATTTGATTTGGAAATATAGATTTGGACGTATTATACTAATTTAAAAAATGACATCCGAAATCTATTTGATATACGTAGTTATCTATATGTAGACAATAATTTCACACCCCAAACCCACTAAGTTCGGACATAGAGCGATTAAAAGAACTTCCGCTTTTTTGTAAAATATTTTGATTATCAAAAACTCGTAAATTATACCTGAAAATATTTCTGAAGTATGCTATTTATCTATGTATCTACTTGATCAAACTGATTTTGTTTTAAAAGGGTTAATTAAAATCTGTGAGTACTAATTGTTAATTAATTAATTTGACCTAGTTGCGGTGATTGGCTTTATAATGGCTCGCTATATTTTGTTGAAATTTTTAGAAAATGTAGGAGACATATTATACTTCTCTACAATTAGGCGTTTATTTTACTCAAATTCGTAGCCTACAGTAGTTTCCTAAGAACTTTAAAAGGTTAGGCTACGTAACCTTTTACGCGAAGTTTTGGCGTTAAAAATTTTCAGACAAGATATGGGATACATTTTTATAGCTTTTGGGTTATAGTTTTTACAAATTTGAGCAAAAACAAATTTCTACCTACAAAAAACGGAATGTGTATGCTAAACAATTTTCTAGTTTTGATAATAACTAAATTTTATCTATGAAATATAAGCAATGAAACCCATCTTCGCAGTGTCAAGAAATAACGAACTTCGTCTTCACACTGTCAAGCTATTGAAAATGTTTTTCTGGGTAAGTCTTTTAGTAACTGTTTTCGGATTATTTGTGTTACAAGTCCTAAAAACGCCTCTGGTGTTTAAAAATGAATCTAATAAGACGACAAAGGTTTACTCCTTGTTATTCAGTATTAGTTCGTAAATTATCTAATGTCAGTCCAAACCACAATATCAATGTGAAGTTTGAGGACAAAACTGGAGTGCTAAATTTAGGTGAAGGAGAGAAAAGGTTTAGTAATGAGTTCATGAAGGACTTTCATTTGGCGTTGGATGAAGTAGAAAGGTGATTTTTATGGCCAACCATTTACGACAAATATGAAGACCATATAACGCTATGCATCTAGTCATTTTTCTATTTTAGAATAAAACTGCAATGATCAAGTGTATTATTTTTTCTATGAGTTGAAATTAAAAGAGGTAGACCTTTCATTTGTTACATGATGTAACTTACATGTCGGGGTAAAATAATGTGATTACTGGTGGAATCATAGAACTGTGTTCTATGGTGGAATAGCTCAGTAGATAGCCATTTGGATTGTCGTTCGCAATTATTTGTGCAGGAAATTAATTGTTGGGAGGGCATGAATCCTCATCAAAATCCCCAAAATTCTGGGGCCAGTGCTTGCAAGAGTCATCCCAGTATCAGCTTTCACCCATAATACTACAAAAGTATAGGATATAGGGTATAAATTCAGATATAAGCTGCAAAATAAAACGGTAGAGCTCCAGCAAGTGGCAAATTTTTAGGGAGATGACAGTTACAGAGTTTATCTAAGAACAACGAAGTTTTTGAAATAAATTATATCTATTCTTTTGGGAACACAATCAAGGAACACTACTGTCTTCCTGGTTCATGGTACATCAAATTTTCTGACCAACTGAACATTGTGATATATAATGTCATAAGACATTCGTGATTATTATATCAAATTTTTGTACCAACTGAACATTATGATATATATTGTCATAAGACATTCATATTTTTATCATTTAGTTTTCTTTTTTCAAGCAACACAGAATGTAAATCTCTCATTACCACAGCAGATGGAAAGTTTTTCTCAAATGGTCTTGATTTAGATTTTTTATTGAAACAAGATGATAATGGAACAAGGAAATATTTTAAAGATGTGAGAAAATTATTTGAAAGAATTTTAACTTTTCCAGTACCAACCCTTGCTGCCTTAAATGGTGAGTGAGTTACATAAACAAGGAATCCTCGATGGCAATGAATCGGGAAGTGGTCATGTACTTTCCTGTCACTAACTTATGTTCCATGCTGATGTCTTTATGGCACCACTTTTGAATGCAGCAACAATTTTTTGGCACATGCATAAGTAACTCAACAAGTTATTTGAGTGTTCAAATGTTGTAGGTTAGCAGGTAACTAACAGATTATTGTAAATGCAGAACTAGAAATCTATGAATTATTTTCAGGACATAGTTTTGCTGCTGGAGCTATCCTTGCCTTTTCACATGATTTTAGATACATGAGGAAGGATAGAGGATGGATTTCATTAAATGAAATTTTTATTCACTTACGATTTCATCATTTCTTATTCATGATCTTAAGGTGAAGTATGATTTCTTGCTCTTTTTATACACCCACATTATAATGTGAATGTATCTTGTTGTAACCTATATGTACGTTCATGTAAACTACAGCTTTGCTCATCTTCAGACAGAATTTTGTATGCATATATATATGTATGTTGTTTTTTCTGTGAAGGTTTTGGAGTTATCACTCTTGTTGAACTGTTTCTTAGTTGCCCATAGTTTAGTCAAAAAAGATAAAAAAAAATGACATGTACAGGTGATACCACTATTTTTTTTTTTTAATTTAATGAATTGAATTTGTAACAAGTTTGACCCTCACAGTTTTTAATTGGTTTTTATTCTTAAGTTCTCCTTGACAGTATTAATGTGGTAAAAAGTTTTCTGCTCTTTGGAGATTAAATCTTTTTGTGACTGCTTACCCATTTTTTAAAGGAACAAAGTCATTTTATTTTTTGTTTGACTAAGTGATAGTTTGATTTAATAAGACATACCTGGTAGTGAAGATTAATTGACTATCAGCCTGGCATAAATTTCAACATCTAAGAGTGACACAAATTTTTAGAATTTCCTACCTGAACAGAGATGTTGAATAGTTGGTGTTTATATTATTATGGTTCAATATAAGCACCCTATATAATTCTCTATTTGAAATAAATGGTACTTCATATTTTCAGGGCGAAAATACCACCAGGACAAGCTCAAAATGAAGCTATTATATATGGTAAAAGATTTACTGGACCTGAAGCTAAAGACTATTGTCTGATAAATGCTGTAGTTGATCAAAATAATCTACTCTCCGATTCTATTAACCTAATGAAAATGTTAGAGAATAATAATTATAAGAGATCATCTATGAACATTATGAAATGTGATTTATATAACGATATTTTATCAGCATCAGATGACTATTATAAATATAAGTAGTCACATATTTCTTGATATTTCTCAGGGAAACAGAATTTGTAGATCATGAAAGCAGTTGAATTATCACTTAAATGTATTTCTCTGTAAAATAAATTAATATTTGAAATCAGATATGTGCTTTTTGTTGAGAGTCAATAAACCTAAGTCTGATGGTGATGATCACTGAACTAGATTTGGACTAAGGCCTGTGCTTTCTATGAGTTATATTCTCATTTCACCTTAACACTGAACTAGAGGCCTAATTTTATAAACTTTACAACTTTCTTACAGGGATAGTCTTCTTAAAGTTTGTTTTACTTACTCATAGAACTCATTTTAAATAGATGTATAACTAATACCGCTGTTCTATTTAGTTCAGTTGGTATATTTAAAATACATTAAAAAAGGGATGATTATAATCTGGGAGTACCGACTGATCACGATCATATGAAAGGAATAACAACATCTGATATACACTAGACATTTGCAATGAAAGATATTCAAGAAGTTTCCAAGCTTTTATGAGTACATAACAGACAATTATTTGCACCATCAGGGTTTTCCTATGACTGCAGAAAAATGTGACCAGATATTATGGGGAAATATAACAAAGACTTGATAACCTTTTTTGAATTCCTTAACAAGTGTATACAAAATTTAGTTTTATATTTTTGATTTTGATTCTGTACCCTTAACATACTCATTGTATTAAACAAGATAAGTGCAAGATAAAGACCAATACTCCACAAAGGTGTAAAAACAAGAAATATTTATACAAATTCTTTTAACAAAGTTTCAATAGAATTCACAATCATTCCAACATTATTAAATTTGAAATCTGTCACACCTTTACAACGTCATATCAGTCCACATAAATATTGAACAACTTTCTTTCATGTCTTTTTTGCATCACTGTTCAATTTCTTTTCAACTTGACCCTCTAATTCTTTTTTTATCATTCTGTCATAGGCATCTCTATTGTCCTTTGAATTGTATTTTCTGTTTAACTCTCTCTGTAATGATAAAATAATAAAAGATGCCCACTAAACTGACTAGTTTCTTGCTGATTTTTAGATATAAATCCTTCATAATGTACCCACAATCAAAACGCCAAGTTCATGGCACGAAAACTATCACCATTTTTGGGCAAACAGGAGATTTTGACAAGATCTCTCAAAAACAGTCTCATTATATCATTTGACATTACCTCTATTCGTAAACAGCTATCAAGAGCTTTTCTATGCCTGTCACAAAATCCAAAATACTTCATATACCAATGCTGAAATTGAAATATGTATAATTTACTTATAAGATGATCAGGAATAATACATCTTGAAAGGAGTTAAATCTCTTGAGGTACTTTTTGTATATGTACTTGATATTATTATTATGTTATTGATATAAGAGAAGGTCATAAATGCTCATTGAAACTGTCTTCACTTCTACTAGCAGATTGATTGCAATCAACTGAGTCTAAATTTTCTACAAACTATCTGGCTTGTTATCTGAATACTTTTGTAAGGTTATTAATGTTTAGACCATGTAGACCACTTTTAGTTCCCATAGGCCTAAATCTGAATCTGATCTAGTACGGATAGAAAACCAAAAATCTGACAAAATACAACATTACAACTACACAAGTGAAGTAGGCCCAGAGAAAGAGTTAGTTTAGGCCTATTTACGAAGATTTATTAAAAAAAAAAAATCAAATTACATCTTGAAAGCACTGTTTATATGTCGTTATCTTCGAATTGCATTCTTCTGTATGCAAATAAGAGTGGAGAGGCATTTTCTTAGGTTGATATATTTAACAATTCCAGTAAGCTGCATATATTTATTTACAAGGTTATGTAAAAAGTATACTTCCGGTGTTAAGAACGTCATCAAATGCTGGGTATGGAATCAGACCACAACAGATTACTCCTCTTCTGCATTATCGGTGAACAGTATACAGTTCTGTGGTGAAAGTTACGCTAGCGCCCTGCAACATATTCAGCTTACCGAGCTAGGGGTGGGGAGACCAGTGGCTTACGCAGGATTTATTCAAAGGGGTCGAACCGAAGGTGCGAATCCGATTGCAGAGTAGGCCGTTTATCGAGAATTGCCGAATGCTGTTCTTTATCTAAAAAATAGTCCGAGAAACCTCTGCCTTATCTTGGTAGAGGACTCTGATTCGCTGGCGTACAATCCAATCAAATCGCTTCATTCCGTGATACAAGAATAGTGGCTATAGCCTATTGCAGTCAAGGTGAAAGTACAAAGTTCGTAGTAGCTTGACGTGGTGAAGATGACTTCAGAAATGATAAATGCCAATATAGGCCTATTATTCTCTTTTAACTCTAAAAATGAGACAACGGCTGGTATTCAAATTTTGCTGCGTGTCCCTGTTAAAGCGACCTTGTTATCAAAGTATTTGATTTCCCAGCTGATTGAGGCCGGATTCAGCCGTCCGTATTAATTTTCTTAATGAAAACACCTTGTGTTGAATATCAAGGCCTCAATGGTAGACCCCCCTTAAAAATTTAGATGACTTTAATGACTAAAGTCCCCCTTCAAAAAATACAACATACTTGAATGTATTCTGATTATAAATGTTCAATAAAAGAACTTAATTAAAGAAGATATGCACTGGTCTACATCCCGGGTCTAAGATCATAGCTCTAAATTGTCATATATTGTCAATATATTTACATGCATGTTGCATGTTATTTTGAAGATGTTACATTGTTTATTCGTGACGACTACTTGCATAAGGGTTTTCAACTATATAGTTGAAAAAAAAATAACCTACTCGACGACGACTGTTGAATAAAATACCACTGACGATTTCGACTTATTGTGACGACTTCGGAGCCTACTCAATAGGTTGAAATCGAGACATGCCAAATTGAGAAAATGTAATGATAGACGACCAAAGTAAATACAAAATCGGTTATCGGTTAAAAAAAAAATCTTACGAATGAATGTATTCTGAAATCCAATACTTTTCTTTCGGAAAAGCGCTTCGGACACCAAAAATCATGCTCCTTTGCTTGGAAAGCATGCAAATATTTAAACTACTATCGATAACTGTTCATACCCCTTTTCGGTGTTTTTAAGGTATCGTTAGCGCCTTATCTTGTTATCTCTTTAATTTTGCCAACGAAATAAGAGCAATATATATTATGATTAGAACCAGATTTTAGGTCCATTCGTTAATCTACTTTATCTGCTATAATAGGTAATATTCTGTAGTACGCAAACTCTGCAAGATGCAGAAACAAGAGATGGGCGAAAATTAAGACATTGTATTTGTAAATAATCTCCTGATAAGTCTAAATTTGTTTCACAGAAAGAATTTCCATTTGTTTTTTAAATGATCTTACTTTATGATGTTCTTGTGATATTTGTTTTCAACCGTGTGGACTATGATCTCCCCGCTATATTATCCTAAAGGAATACTTTAAGGATGACAAAATTGAAATTTTTAAACTTGGCCAAAATGAGTATAATTATTCATCAGTTGGACTTACCAGGTGCCATGACTAAAGGATAGAATCTCTATATAACATGATATATATATCCATGGTTCAAAATTACTTAGATTAATGGATTACTTGTATTAAATTTTATCGATTTATTGAATTATATAGGGAGATTCTGTCGTATATTTTGACACCAGGAAAGTCCATTGATGAACAAAATTTTAGGCCAATTTTAAAAAAATTCAATTTTTTGATCATCCTATAATAGTATTACCATCAACCTTTGCTTGGCATGAGTCATGATGCCCTTTGTCCGTTGGACAATGTGATATTGTGATCGACGCAGAAACATTCTGTGATGGTGGTACTGAGGAAGTTGTTCGTTTCTATGGGTTGCTTATACCGCCAAACTGCACAGAGGCTCAAGGATCGCTGGAGTAATTAGTATTTTCTCGGTTTGGATCTCCTATAAGACATGAAAAAAACAAATCATAAATAAGTTTTAAGTGATAAACATTGATATAATGCAAAACTTTATGTCTACATACCTAGTAGGCATGGTTGAAATGACTCCTGAGCTTGTTTCAAAAATGAAGGGCTTATAATTTAAACTTTATTCGTAATTCGATTTTTCTGAAATTTTATGTTATTTTACAACAGATCCAGATATTACATATAATGGCATCAAGCAAATTCACTACTCCCGGTTGAGAGATACCAAAATTGATGTCTTAAATAATTTAACAATATAAAGAAATTTAAACATATTATAACAACAAGGACGTATATTAAACATACTAATATATACCATATACCACTACATAACAATAAACTTTTTATTGACATAACAACTTTATAACAGAGTAAACAGTAGATAAGCTTTATCAAATAAGCTATTGTTCCGTTAATTGATAAATAATATTCTCTTCCTTTAATACTACGTCTTAGAATAAACATAAATTTAAAAATTTTAAACTTGGCCAATAAGAGCATATATTCATCAGTAGATATACCTGGTACATAACAGGACCCTTATATAATCCGATAAATCCAAAAAACTTAATAAAGATGCAATTAACTATTGAAAAACGCCTAATATGATTAAGCGTTTTTCAATAATGCCTTATTTTTATGAATTTTCAAATTTTCTAGATTTTACAGGGATTCTGTGGTAACTTTATGACACCAGGTAAGTTCACTGGTGAATATACTCATATTGACCATTCTTGAGAATTAAATTTTATGTTCATTCTAAGACGTAGTATCACTTTAAATATGGGACGAGTGTTGGTTGTGAAAAATGCAACGGTAGAGCACATCACAACCCGTCTCTGGTAGAAGCCCAGAATCCCTTCTCTGGTAGATATTTTGACAATTATTTCAACTGTCAAAATAATGTGCGATTCAACAAGCTCTAGCCTATATCTCAGCAAATTTTTACCTACCTACCCACGCTACGCCCCTTTGAAACAAATACAAAAATTAATATTATTAAAGACAATAATGCTTTTTATATTATATTACACCTGCTATCTGAAATACAACGTTGAAGCCCAGCATATTATTGTTAAATGCTACCAATAACTGAACAGATCTGTAAATAATGCTGTGCTCCCAATTACTGGAGTTTAGTCTGTAAATAATGCTGTACTCCCACTTACTGGAGTATACAGTCTGTAAATAATTCTGTGCTTCCAATAACTGGAGTTTACAGTAAGTAAATATTACTGTGGTCCAAATAACTGGAGTATACAGTCTGTAAATAATGCTGTGCTCCCAATTACTGGAGTTTAGTCTGTAAATAATGCTGTACTCCCAATTACTGGAGTTTAGTCTGTAAATAATGCTGTACTCCAAATAACTGGAGTATAGAGTCTGTAAATAATACTGTTCTGCCAATAACTGGGGTATTCAGTCTATAAATAGTACTGTGCTCTCAATTACTGAAGTATACAGTCTGTAAATAATCCTGTGCTCCAAATTACTGGAGTATACAGTCAGTAAATAATGATCACAGATGGTAGCTTACTCAAAGGTGTAATTAGCTCAGCTAGTTAATCATTGATAAAAAAAAACCATATCATACAATCAGTATAACAATTCAGAATACAGTATGGAATTGTTTCTGTTATCTATATTAAATTGCACATTCTAGGTTTTGACTAAAGGTTAGATAAAAAGTTTTACTTTGAAACAGCCATTCAGGAGTAATGATCAACATTCTGCTACCTGTATCATTATGCAATTTTAGACAGATGATGTTACATAATATCAGAGTACACCTTATAGGAGATATATTCAAATAAGTTCACACTTAAAAACTGAATTCTAAGGGACAGGTGCTCCATTTTTCACCAACCGTACTTTAGCCTCAGAAACGGGAATTTTTTAGCAAAGCCAAGTAACAGTGTTCACAGCTCACCGTTAAAATTGAAGCCTTCAAAATCATGTGTCAAGAGCTAAACAAAGATTCAAGATTTAAGGACGTTAACCACTTCAATCAGCTACATTACCAAATATCACAGGTTTAAAGCTATAAATTAATAAATATTGAAACTACGAAGTAAAGAGTTAATTTTTATCCTATTACCCAATATTGCAATAAGTATTGTATCATAACCCATGTATTGTGATACATATCATATTGTGGCATGATTGGCAATACACAGGACTAGGTAGAATAGAACAATTTGGTACATTATTACCATGCTGTTCAAGTTTCTATCTTAATTTACATTGATAATGCTTTAAAATCAACCAAAAACATATAAATAATGAAAATTTGGTTCAAATACTCTGAGGTATACAATATTTATTGTCTGAATAGGCGCTGTGAAGAAAATGACACTGGAATTTGTTTTCCAGAAACTTCTGGTAGATCACCCATAAATCCAGACACTATATCAGTACCATTGGTTCCTTGCGTTGGGTCCCACAGATTATTTTTTTTTGAATTAGATGAATTGGCAGTTGTATACTTTAAAATTGCACCTTTCTTTTTAAGAGGAACCGTCATAGGGGATTTGGAAGAATTCATAATATTGCCTTTACCTATTAGGTAAGAATCATTTTGAATATTATCTGAATTTTTCACATGTTGAGATTGCACACCCTCAAATACTATAGAAGAATCAACATGAATCTTAGGTGAATCATGAATGTTTTTGGCTTCAGAATCTTTGGAAAGTTCAACTGATTTCATTCTTTGCTTTGGAGTCACTTTCTCTAGAGGTCTTAGAGTTTGGGATGCTATACTGGAAGATATAGAGCAGGCATCATTATTACTATCAACTACTTCAAATGAAACAACCATATTCTTAGACTTAGGTCGATATAAATGTTCATTTGATTGCTTTGTTACAATCTTTTTGTTTTGCATATTTTGTTTCACTTGATTTTCAACCTGATTTAACTTTGAATCTAAATTCTCCATAAATAAGTCACTGGCTGATTTTTGAAGAAACTCTGGATGGTAGGGAAGTAAGTTTTTAACTCTGTTAGCTCTTCGAGTCAATGCACCATCAGAGTTTGTACTTTGTGAACGTGCCTCAGATCTCATTCGAGGCACTCTTTTTTTGCTTCTGCTTTCCCTATTGTTTTTTGGACTGTGCTGACTTCCATTCAAAACCTTTTCTGGTTTATTTTTTCTTACGGTGTACCACTCACCATCAATTTGAGTAAACTTATTCAACCTGTAAAGCGCATTATTTGGAACATATCTAAATGTAAGGGGTTCTACTGCTGCCCTCCAAAATTTTAAATAATGGTCACTGTCATCATCATTGACACATCTTACAATCCCATACATATCTGAGTTTCCAACAGGTTTACGCTTCCTAGAACTCTGCACATACTTGGGATATGGTGGTGAAGCTTTCCATCCTGAAACAGCTTCAGACCAATCATCAGAAGAAATGGGTTTATTGAAAAAATACAAATTTTCTTCATCAGAAATTTCCAACAATTGTTCTGTCAGCTCTTTCGAACCTGCTGCATATGGATTTTCTTTTTCTTCATTTTCAACACCAGTATTATAGATGGCATTTTCCTTTTCGTCTGTCACATTTTCATCTATATCATTCATCTCTAGATCTATTCCAACATCAGTTCAAGTCCATATTTCAAAATTTAAAATGTTTGATCCAGTAAAAAATAACATATCAACAAACAGGCTTTGTTGACATAATATCATACTGCACAATAAATCAAAAAATACAACAATGTATCACATTCATTGAAAAGTAGGTCACTGTTTATCAACACAGAGGAAATCTCAATTTCATTAATGAATTTTGTCAGCGATTGAAAAATTACTCGGATTATATTATCCCATAAGATAATCTTTTCCCATATACACATGAAAGACATTTACTATTAATGAGATTTTCTAACGTTATCTGATTTCTTTACTCACGCACCTTGCAGTTTGCACGAATACCATAGGCAACGGTGTACGTCAAAGTTTCGTAGTGAAATAATGTGGAACGATAGCCTATTATTTGATTATGTTCCCAATCGTATCAAAATTCAAAATAATTTTTTTATATTATTTACAATTAATATCGTCATATTTACTGTTCAGTTTTCTAGATACACATAGCATTCGAAACCAAAATTTTGGGCTTCCTCTGAACAAACTCGTGAAAAGCAAACTGCGCATGCACTTTCACTGCCCGCCTTGAGTTCAGTAAGGAACTCTTTCCCAATTTAGTCTTAGTTTTATTTCCAAATTCAACATGCTGCGCCGTAAAACACATAAAGGAAGCATGAAAAAATCAGTTTTCCTCTCCCACGAACAATGGCAGTATTCTGGGAAAAGTTACAAAAGAATTGGACAGGTCTGTATTAGTCTATATGAAACTATCACTTCATCCTCCATTTCGACATTGAGCCCCTCTGCACTTTTGACCGAAACTGGCGAAAGGTCGGAACAGAGAAGATAAATATTTCTCTATACAGCAATTGGACATGGAGATGTTATTTGTCATTAACTTTTAACATGGTTTCCATTTTTCATTCGGATTGATTGACTTGAGCCAAAAGTAAATATTTACATTTCTTCAAAATTCAATCAACAACAAAAAAGCAAGAATGCAGTCAATTTATCCACATATTATGTGATATAATTTTAAAAAGTTTGATTATGGTAATTGGTTGGATATAGTTCTGTTTCATGTATATCGTAGCTTATACTTTATTTATATTCGTTCAACCACTATAATTATAAACATATCAAAATCACAAATAGTATCAGGAGTTGTTTTAACAGGATTACTCAAAAGTAGATATTCATTACCCTAAAATTCCATGACTGATGTCAGCTTTCCCTCGCAAATAACTAAAGTCTGCAATTGTATGACCCAATTATCTTTTCATTGTGTAAATTATAGTTTCCCTAACAATAAACATTGGTTTAGCAACTTCAGAATCTGTCGAAACAGATTTGGTTTTTTTTTGTTGCCAAAATACTTTGAGATGTGTCCACAAAAAGTTATTTTTCCATGCAATTAGGCAGCTGAATCATTAGTGTTAAAATTCATTCATAATCAAACCTCTGATTTTTTTCTTTCCTTAATTTTAGCTCCCAAGACACATTTTACCACAAATTTGTGATATAGAGCAGGTTGCAGAGTTGATTAGTGAATTGGAAGAGTTTAGTGTTCAAGTTGACTTTGAGACAGATGAATGCATTCAAAAATTAAAGGTAGTCGAATTGAATAATTTTTGAAATCCTTAACTTCTGAAACCTTGTTGCTAAAGTAAATAAAAAATATGTTAAAACGAATATAAAATATTTTTGATTACATGTTGTAATCACAAAGTACATTTTTGTTTTTTACAGAAACTTTAGTATTGTTACTTCACGTGCCTTAATGACCTTATCAAGTTAGTATGTACTAGTATTTATAGTACAGTAATTGAAACATAGAGATATTTTTTCAATTTCAACTCAGCATTTTAGAGGATCAGTTTGCTAAATAGATAAACATTTTTTAAACACATGATATCAACTAGATTTGCCAAATTTTAAAACATTCATAGAATTTTGATCGCATTGTAATAGTTTCAAACTTTGATAGCTATTTAAGCTTAACAAACATGTTGTTAATTATATGTTGAATTTACTTTCAATTTAGATTTTATTGGGAAGGTTAATGAACTTTGAACCAAGAAGAACTCACGATGAAGGGCCACAAGATGAAGATCAGGATAAATTTGCTCAAAAGTTTTATGAATTAGGAGGAACAGAGGTAAGAATCAAGTCGTTGATGTCTGTGATCAATAGGTGTTCTTCTAGATGTGATGCTTTTTTTAGGCATGGTTTCTTACAAGTAACAGAATTTTTGTTGTTTCTCCAAGATAGTTCAGTATTATGAAACTGCTCATCCAAATATTGATTTTCAACATTCCCCCATCAAATTAAGACTATCAAAAGTAAAGTTCTGATTCATATTGTCTTATTGTTTTGTTTGTTGTGCTATACAACCATTGTGAGTACATTTTATTATTTCAGGTTTTAGTTAGAATTCTAATGTTTGGATCACTCTTCCCTAATCCTTACAGATCCAACAGAAGTAAGTTCAAACCTGATACTGATACTTTTTACAAATTTACTCCTGAGGTCAACCTTTGCTTTAGCACTTTGGTTTAAGTTTTCAAACTTTAGCATTACTTATATCTTTAGATACATATTGAAAGGTGTCTTCTAGTGCTGTATAGAAGTATATAAATCAGCTCCTGTCAGACATGCAAGTTCTCAATTTAGAGTATCACAATTGACTAATTCCAGTTTAGATTAGATAAATTTGTTTTCTTTACAGTAATCACCGAATCGGAAAGAACATTAAGATTGAAAAGTTTAGTTTTAGAAGTTTTAGCCAAGTTAACATCCACAGTAAGTGATTGTAATGCATTAATTTTTTATTTAATATCTCTGAAGTTTTGGTATTGACCATAAAGCATAGAAATAGAAGACTTATTTCTATTTTTACACCAACATTTCTTTAAGTGGATGTATATTTTCTTTGTCACCATTGACATTTTCTTGCAAATCTTCCAGAACAGGCGATTTCAACCTTTTTTTTTCACTTCCCTTTGGGATCCTTTATAGATTGCATTGATTTGAGCTCTTTCTGTAGCTCTGTAGCTCTTAACTGATTTTGATAAAAAAAAATGATATGCGACAATTTTTAAATTTTAAGCACAGTTTACCTATGAAACGTCCGGTATAGAAAATCTTTGGTTTTTTAACTGATTTTCTAAAAACTTGTTTCATGGCCACTTATTTTAACTGTTTTTATACTCTTTTTATTTCAGACTGTTGGAGAGAAAGTGACTACAGAATTAATGAAGAGTGATGACATTATGAACTATGTTTTTACACTATTAGCACATCCAAAAACTTTTATTAGCTCTTGTCAATTAATAGAGGATATGTTACAATCTAAAAGAGATGTGCTTGATTTACATAGGATTAGTAAGTAACTTTGGTTGTTGGCTTATAAAGTTTGTTGCTTGCTTCTAGCAAGCTGACAGAGGGGTGCTGACAGAGAAAAAATGAGGAAATAGTACTCTGAAGAGTATGCTGAAAGTTTTTGGAAAGAAAGTATGAATTTAGCATGTGATTAACAATACTTGAAAGACTTGGATTCAGCCAGTTCAAACAAATTTTTTCATACAAATCATTTGTTTTATATTAACACATTTATATTTACAGATAATCTAAGGAGTCTCATATGTTGCCTTGATGATCACCAACTTGCCAATTTCTGTCGTATTTTAGCTGTAGCAATATCAGATCTTGATATTTATGAAAATAAATCTTCATGTAAGTTTTGAGAGTGAAAAGGGACATTCCGCTTCTTTTTGTAGGGTGAAAATTCTTTTTGCACAAATTTGTGAAAAACTATAAACCGAAATCTGTGAAATGTGTCCCGTAACGTATCTGAAAGTTTTACCTAAAAATTTCCAGCTGTTAATGTTTTAACGCCAAAACTTACTGTCAAAGGTTGCATTTACGTTAAGTTCGTATGCTTTTTGGAAGCTGTTAAAAAATCTACTGTACGGATTTGAGTAAAATAAATGCCTTATTGTAGACAAATATTTCTCCTACATTTTCTGAAGATTTCAACTAAATATACCTATAACTAATAATGAAAATGTTTTACAATAAAAGAGGAATGCCCCTTTTATTATATTTTTAATGGTCTTAAAGCAAAACAGAGTAGTAGTATTTTAGTAGTTAAAAGTTGAAAATTAATTTTATTAACCAATTCGATCATAGTCTACTATGTTTTATGAATAAGAAGCTTTAATGAAATGGTCCCCAAGATTTTTATTGGTGAATGTTTAAAAATGTTTTGTTTTGTTTTTTTGTAGTATTTGCTCAAAATAAACAGAAAAGAAGCAGAGGGTTTGTGAATCTCAGAGATATCAACCAAGGTAATTGGTATAATAATATAATACTATATATTATTTATATTAATGCTATACAATAAAATGTTTTCAATCGGTAAGGTCCTTTTGTGTTGATGATCCAAAATAATACAATGCAAGATAATTTAAACCAGAGACATTAGCTACTGTTTTTGAAATTTATATATTCATCAAAAGAAAAAAAAACTATGACAATGATAGTTCTTCAACATCATGAGCTCTTTTTTTCAGAACTGTTACTCAGCATTCCAGAATTATTACCTAGACTAGTCAAGTTGGCAATTTCAAAAGAATGTAAGTAAACTTTAAATTTCCTTAAAGATGGGATTCCTTATTGGTGTTTCTATGCATGTACCATTTGGATAAACAAAACACAGACTTTTTGATCTGTCACTCATTGGAATACTTTTCTAATTGAGACTATTATGAATTATGGACATGTGAGACAAACTGGTTGTTTTCCAGGTCATAAGAACACATCTACTTTCTATTTATATAAGTATTAGCATTTTCAATTTCATAAATGAAAATAAGGGAACCATAAAACCTTTAAATCATGATGATTTGGGTTATGTCTTCTGCTATTAACAAGTCCACTTTCACAGCAACCCTTTTTCAAGTAATGGGGCAGTTTTACTTAATCTTATTAAAAATTCTGGCCTTAATTGTATGAACAGGTACAACTTAAAAGTAACAAATTTGGCACTGCAAGTGTACTGTATGTATTTTAATATTCCTGAACATTGTTATTGCTGTAGAATTTCATAACCTATGTTATCTGTTTTGTTATTAGATACACCAAGATATAGAGGTATGGCCAGTGAATTAGATTGTTGGATGGAATGGATAGAAAATCAAATGGCAGAAGAACTATATGAAACACAGTTGGAAGATGATCTGGATTTATTTATTGGAGGTTGGTAATAGAACTGTCTTATGTGTCCTTCCTGGGATGAGATTTAGGATATGTTAAGAATTGATAGGTAGGGCAGGTAATGGAATGTGCCTTTTCTGTACACAGACAATTCTGTGCGAACTCTATGGATGGATGGAATTTTGATGCTGGTGTATATTAATGAGGTCCTATATGCTTGAAGCATTGGATGCTTATGTATGTCAAAGGATGACTGTTTCTGAACTAGCTCTATTTTGTCCAAATCAGGCACATTTCCCACATTTGTTGATGTAAGGACTCTAAAAGTGGATTTTTTCATAGATAATTCTTTAAACCTTAGATTCAAAACAGAAAAAAGCACTGGTAACAGGGTATAAATCAGATTGCATCATATTTGCTGTTTTCTATTCTATAGGAATCTCTGAACCAACAACAGAAGGTGGACCTATGGTACAACAGCAAGGTTTAAAAATGACTGAAGAATTAATACAAAGAGTTGAAGTTGTTTATATATTGGGACTATTTTTACTAGGCAAACATCGGAAAAAAGTAAGAGAAATTAGGATATTTCAAGCACTAACAGTTTTGAAATTGCAAAATATATTTGTCAAGTCAGATTTGACCCCAAGGTGTCTGGTTGCATGATTTTATTATGGTTATATTTGTTCTCTATTTCAGGTTCAAAGAAAATTAGCAGAGTTAAAGTTAGCAGCTGGTCTGAGTGATTTATTTGAACAATTTATATGGAAATGTCAAATGTGAGTGTCATGTCCATTGGATATTTACAAAATTGACAAAATAACAAAAATTTGAATATTCTGTTAAAGGCATTGAATTTCACTATACACATTTCTTACAATTGGAATTGTTACATGGAGAGCTAAGTGAATTCTTGCATCATTTTCTTACTGGATATCTGAGTCACTTTGTTTGATTTGTAAAATATAAGTATCACCTTTCATGTTTTTAATGTTGATGAAAAAATGATTATTTTGACAGAGGTAGACACAATACAAGACATAGATTAAGAGGTCACAACGCTGCCTGTGAATGTAGTCCTGTAAGTTCTTTCAAAATCACTTTTTTTTTTGTTTTATTTCATTGTAATACTGTTATTTTATCATTCATTCTACATTAATTTACGTTGCCTGATTTCTTAAATCTTGAGTTATAAGAATTTCTGTATGAGGAATGTATTATTGATATAAAAAACATACCAATTCAAGGTTGTTTCCATATTTCATAAAATCTTTTCCAATCTAAGATATTAAGAGTCACTCCCAGAAAGAGTTTCATATTTGATAAATATTTTTAGAAACACAAACATGAATATATTTCTTAAAATATCTTTTTCAGGAAGTGGCATTAAAGATCCAGTTTTTAAGATTGGTTCATAGTTTTTGTGATCATTCAGAGTAAGTAGAAATTTTGTGTTAATAAAACTTGTTTCAAGTTGTTTCAACTCCTAAATAATTTCTATGAAAAGTTAACATATAATTGTCTGTCTACAACTAATATTTCACTTTATTTTTGTAGCTACAAGCATTTACTATTATCAAAGAATGAACTCATTGAAGTCAAAAGAATCAACTGTAAGTAAAGAATATCCTAGCTCCTAGCAAAGCTTGTTGATTGGTCAGAATAACACTAGGACTCTATTCGCCATTATGATTGTGAAAAACTCTCAAAGTTTAATTTTTTATAAATTCATGGAGGGAAATCGCGACAATTTTTTTCGGATCATGCGTCTAATTTTTTTTATTTTCTTTTTGTCTCGAGAAGCTATCATGTATCATTCATATAAATAGTCCTAACCAGTACTCAGGTCAAATAAAATCTATCTCATTAACTTCCTTTAGATCAATGATGGATATATTTCAGTTATAAGCTAATCAAATGATCATGGTAAAATTCTGTAGTGTGGGTAAATTGTTCTAATCTCAGTTTATTTATAAAATGTATCTTTTCTTTTCAGCCAAAGCTGGTGATTTAGCCTTAACAACCCTTGATAATGTCAATAAGTAAGAAACTCTTTATAGTCATTTTATATACAAACAAAAACAAAATCTAACAGAAATTAAATTGTATAAAGGCTTTGCCCTGTATAATTTCTCAGTACATTGTAGATATGAAATTATTATTATATGCAATTTGTTTTTTTTTGTAGACAACTAATGTGTCATGGTAGTAAAGGTTTATTAACTAAAATAGTTGAAGTGATGAAGAAAGAACCAACAACCTCGACATTCAGGTAACAAAATTTGCTACCAGCAGTTTTCATACCTATTATTACATTTAGACTACAGCTCACTGACTATCATTAGTAGCAGATTTTTTTCTTTCAGCTTAAGCAAGTTTATTTTGAAATTAATGTTGAGAATACTATACTAGTTTTTGCTCATTTACTGGAGCATTGTTAGATGGTGATGAGAGCATAGTCTCATGAAAGCACTGGCCTAGGTCACAAAGTAAAGATTTATGATAAAACAAGGTGCGGGTTAAAGGTTAAGATACGTTAACTAAGGATGTCTCTGTAATACTATCTGTGGTAGTATCATTTCTTTAGATGAATTTAAAATCACATCAATTCACCAGAAGTGTAACTTAAAGGAATTGTAAAGAACTTTTCTAAATTTTGTATCTGTATGAGGAACAATGATAGTATTAATTTGCACCATTCACTAATCTGAAATTTATGCTTTTACACAAAAGGCCTTTCGCAATTAGTGACGTCATCAAACACTTAGTTTTAATGGAAATTGCAGGAACTAGATGTCTGTTTGAAATTTGGAATGGTATAAGTGTCCCCAATGTCACATAAAATTTATTTTAATAACTCTTTACAATCCCTTTAAGTCAATTTTGTGTATTGCAAAGAAGCAAAGTGTTGTAATCCCCTAAAAATATTTCTTTTGAACAAATTGAATTTGTTTTTAAGATTCTGGCTGGCCAGAGCAGTAGAAAGTTATTTACGTGGTGATACATCATTCTGTGATCAAGTTTTCCTCATGAGAAGGGGATTATTACAAGTAAGATTAATTTATTGTAACTAGTGGGATTAAAAGATTAAAGTCATCATGCAGACTTGAATCTTACAGATTACTCCCACGTGGCACTTGAAATGAATATTGGATCAATATATCAGTCACGATTCATGCAATCATTTAGCAATGTCAAATAATCGTGAAAGGTGGCAAATTGACAAGCTTAGTGGCAGATTTTCATATGTGATATTTGAATCAAAAAACCCCTTTGAATTTTCTAGAAATATTTATTTATTTGCAGCATGTAGCAAGTAATTTAGTGGAACATGAAATACGTCATAAAGAAATTATACAGAGTAGCTTTGACTTATTGGGAGAACTTATCAAATTTAATATTGAGGCCTTCAAAACATTCGATAAAATACTCAATACACAAGCAAAAGTAAGTTTTGATCTTTTTGTCTGTATTTAAAGGAGGGAATATGTGGACCATCTGATGACATCATAATTGCCAGCAACTACTGGATAATCTGATCAATTGCTAGATTTAACCTGAGCACAGTTACAAGTTCTTAATTTCTTGCTAGATGTGCATCATTGTTGTCAATTGCTAGAGGATCTGGATGAACAATATTGAGAATTCCAGTAAAATGATATTTGTCAATGGCTATAATTTTGGCAAGGTTTGAAATAATTGATGTGTGTTTATTTTTCAGTTGGATAAATTTGTAGCCACTGTCAATCGTAATTTGGTTGATTCCAATATGTTTATTCGTAGTCTAATTCTGTCTCTAGAACATTTTACTAACAGAGAAAAATGTGATGGTAAGATTAAGTTATTTTTTAAGTATGATACTATTTTGAAATAATTCAAATGATTTTATTTTCAAACTTTTTCTGCATAGAACTAGTCAAATATTCTAATTTGTATACAGATTTCATAAACCATTTCTGCTATCAATGTTGAAATAGGCAAAAATTTATAAAAAAAAATATATATTTCTGCATTATGACCACCACAGATTTATTGATCATAGATGAAAATCAGATGGGATCATTTTTCTGTGAGGTTAGCTTAATTTTATGAAATCTCACAATCTACAATTTATATCTTAGATTCCTACGCTGAATATGCCAAAAAAGAAAGTAAATTATTGCTATATATTGGTGATTTTAACAGACAGTTAGATTACTTGTATAAATTAATTAAAATAATAAGTGTTCAAAATTTAACCCAGGTTAGTAATGAACTAATTTTCTTGTATCAAAGGTTAACACATGAAATGCTTAAAAAGCAATGAAAGAAAATTATGAAAAAAAAAACAAACAAATCAAGGCAAAGTATCGCTCATCAGTACCTCGGGGGGGGAAAATATTTGGATCTAAGTTCATAGAAAAGTCTAAAGTATAATCAGAAGAAATCCTGGTACAATTATGAAATATTTAGGAATTTGAATGACCTATTTGATTTTTTTTGTAGGAAAATGTAAGTTGTTTAAATACAACATTAGTATTTTTAATGTTTGCTAATCGAAAGAAAGAATTACCAAATTATCTCCAAGCATTACGTGATGAAAGAGAAGACATGTTAGATGTAAATGGTTCTAGTTCAGTCATGAGAAATTTCAGGTAATAGACCAATAATTTTGAAATGAGCTTTATTCACATTTTTTTTGTAAACTTATAGATAGATGTTTAGTCACATTTGCTTTTGCCAACTGGACAATATATCTAATAGCATCCTTCACTTCAGATGTTTGTCCTAAGTGAGATGTGGCATGCACAGTCTTCCAAACAAATACCTGATTAAAAAGTTTCTTACAGTAGGTAAAATAGTTACGAGTTATTAATCAATGATTTTAACTGTTATTTTCAGAGATTTACTGATATTCTGGCAGGACCATTATTTACATAAAGATAAAGATTGTAGTGCCTTAGAAAAGGTAAGGTTTAAAACTGTTTAACACAGTGACTGTTACACAATAATTTTCATGAAATTCTTTGAAATAAATTCAGAATGTGGAAACTTTTTAAATATAACTTTATTTGAATTACATCAACTAGAGTAACCACATGTGCAAAAATGATTTGATGTAATCACCAAAGAATGAACCCTATTGAAAATCAGAAAAATCGATAAATATTTAGTATGAGTCATTGCCCTTATTTTTGAAAAGGTGTTAAATTTTTATTTTGTCAACAGTAAGAAGACCTGATTCTTGCCGGATTTTGACAAAACTTCATAATATTATTCTGTATTGTTCCAAAGATTTGTATGACTGAACGTTGAATATCTCATACTAGTCATTGTTTACAGCCAAATATTTTTATACGCCCACACATAAGATGGGCGTATATTGTAATCACCCCGTCGGTCCGTTCACATTTGGCTCGTGCTCACTCTACCGGCTACAGTTCTTTATGGATTCTTTTGATTTTTATATTGTGTGTCAATGTCATTATGAAGATGATCCCTATTGATTTTCGTGATGATCGGATAATTTTTCACCGAAATATCGTGTCTGACTTGACGTTTTTCTCTATTAGCTATATTGTGCAACTCGTGCTCACTCTACAGGCTACAATTTTTTACAGATTCTTTTGATTTTTATTTTGTGTGTCAATGTCATTATGAAGATAATCCCTATTGATTTTCATGATGATCGGATAATTTTTCACCGAAATATCGTGTCTGACTTGACGTTTCACTCTATTAGCTATATTGTGCAACTCGTGCTCACTCTACAGGCTACAATTCTTTACAGATTCTTTTGATTTTTATTTTGTATGTCTATGTCGTTATGAAGATGATCCCTATTGATTTTCATAATGATCGGATAATTTTTCACCGAAATATCGTGTCTGACCTGACGTTTCACTCTATTAGCTATATTGTGCAACCCTGTAGTCACTAAAGACTGTTTAATCATTTCTGACAGCTGCCAGTGGGCGTATGTTACCTTGCCTGGCAAGCTATCTTTATTCAAAATCAAAGCTGCCAGTGAGCGTATATTACTTTTCCTGGCAAGCTAACTTTATGTTAAACTGACACTCATAAATTGTGATTTGTTTGTTCAAGATAAATTCTTATTTTCACTTTCAGAGTTCACGAATAAGCTTTTTATATTGGAAACAAACTGTGACTACATTAGTGAGTGAAGATAAAACGGAACTTTCAGCTGTGATAAATTATATTGACCCCTTACCTGGTGATCGTACAAACTAGCGTATTATGATATCCTCCATCTTAGTGATTGTTCTTAATTTATAGACTTGTTTTGTTATACATTGTTTATAAAAACATATACGGCTTTAGTGTGTTGAACACCGAACTTACAGGCTGCTGTTAGATGCAATAGAAATTGTGTGGACAATGTAATTGAGGCGTCTTTCATGTGTATGTGGTCCAAGCCAGTGAAACTAAATATATTGTTGAAGGCAGTGTAAAGGGTAACTACAGAAAATAGTTTGTTTTTAATCCAAATTTTGACAAAACATGCTCAACCAAACACAGAAAATGATTTTTAACATCAATGACTTTTTGAATTCCAATTGAAAAGGTAGATTAGTTTTGGGGAAAGTTGTGTATATTTCTATATATTTTGTGTATATATATACTGCATGTATACTTGAAGCAATCTAGTTATTGTAATTATATTAGTCAAAATGTACATAAATCAAAATCTCTAATGAAATCTTTTTCTTGTGATCCAAATGAATTTTTATAGGAAAACTGATTGAAAGACAGCTGAAGAACAGATCTGCCTTCTTTTTATATATGAAATTGAATTTGAATTGACTTAAAAAATGCAATGCACTAAAATCTGGGAATACTGTTATTTTATGGCCAGCATTGTTGAAATTATAGGGTACTTGTGCAAAACCTTTTTAATCTATTTATTGTTTATTATTTTGTGTGTTCGTAACTTGTTTTTAATCATGATATTATTTATAATTTCTTAGTTATCTCTCAAACCATATCTCTATTTAGTGCTATTAATAATTGTCAGGTATTGAGAGAAGTGATAAACTTAACAATGAATTGAATTTTAGGCGAAAATTGTTAATTTTGTGTCTTGTATCTAAATTTATCTGGTTTGCTCATTCTTATATAGGGCCACACGAAAATATATTCCCATACTATATTCCAAATTTCATGAAGGTATAAGAGCCTTGAATAAAATACCAGTGAATGGTTTTAAAATTCCAAGCAGAGATGCAATGAAGATCATCAATTCCTATGCATGTTCTCTTTAATTGCCATATATTTTCATACGTGATATCTATGCTTTATGTTTCAATCATTATATCATTGAATGAGTGTGGTGAAGTAAGTTATTTATTGCACCAGTATGGCTTTTTTCAGCAGAAGTTAAGATAATCAGATACTGAGATTTTAAACTTGTTATCAATTTATATACCAGTAATTTTTAAAGGGATTGTTTGAAAATGCCTGTTTTATAATGTACTTGTGTGATTTTATATAGTATGTATGTCTTATGTATGATTGTTAAAACTGTTTTAGCGGGTATTGTTGTATTTTGTTTGACTGGTTGTGTTGTCCTGTCATTTTGTATATTTATCATTGTATTCCATGTATAAATGTCAAAATAAATTTTTATGGTATATTTATTTGTTTCAAATAGAAATAGGATGTTGAATACAAAATGAAACTGATTTTCAGTTGTTATAAAGTATTGTCAAATGTGAGAGGCTATAAAACAAATGGTCTCATTTTAATATTTGCCTGTTGCTTTAAAATCATCTATCCAACCACAATTGATTAATACTTATGGGCCCATGCCTTCATTGCTTGTGATGCAATGAGAGGTAATATTTAAGCTTGATCATTCCCATATCATTCCCTTTTCAGCTTATTATCAAACCTATAGTCTGTGGTACAAAATCATTTTATTTTAATCCAGGTCAGCTGCTGGATTTCTGGCTATAACAATAAAATCGTGAATTTCTGTATCAGAAGTTCAACCATTATAGTGACATTCAATCATACAGGATTTGAACTATACAATGGGGTATATAGTACAGCACATATTTTTGCTCATCCTGGTCAAATTCAAAACATAAACACAACCAGTCCACTTTATTGACAGAATAAATGGAAATTGATAATAAAGTGGACTGGATGTCTTTACGTTTTGAATTGGACCAGGATGAGCAAAAATGAAATGATGTATTGCACTCATATTGGTAAAAGGTTATTGGTTCATTCCTTTAATTTATGATGCAAACAAAGATCTAATGTATACTGCCAATAAACCACTTGTAAACATAACATACAAATAAGAAATATCAAAATTACACAAATCATCATAGAAATAAACAAATTTAATACAAAGAACACATGAATCAGTTCAGATCTATTACTCTTATTTTCAATTCAGCTTTTTCCAGTATGTAATCGTCTAAAAAATTCTTACAAATGTAAATTGATAAAACACCTAGGTGACCTAATATATTACATCCAATAAATACAGGATAATATAGTTAGAATAATTTACAATTATTTACATAATGTCTATAAACTAGTTTTGTTTTTGACTATTTAACATAATTATTCTGTTTCCAGTTTGAAAAGTTTACTTATATTATGCAAAATGTGAACAAAGAAATATATCTAAAACTACTGTCTGTTATTACAAATGCTCAAGTGTGAAACAAGCTATGGTATTATGTTATTGTACTTTGAATAATGGCACTATATTCTGAATATCATTTATATTTAAAAATACCTCTATATTACTTCATAGATAAGAGACAAGGGTTTTCCAAATTTCCTAATTTTTTTGTACACAACTATAGATGTTCTCATGATAAATTTACATAATAATTCTAAAAAACAACAAATCTAACAATCCATAACAAAAACTAGTGCTAAATTTTATCAATATAGTCTCACAAATTGACTAAATAAGTTTAAAAGACACAAAGTAAGCCAGATTTTATATTTCAATTCAGTGAAAGACATTAATATAAATAAACAGATGTAAAATAAACAGTATTCCAATGCCTTAGGGTGCAGGCACACAAGCCGTCACGGTCTGAGATTTTTGTCACCGATTAGAGTCTTCACTAAAATCTTGTGTGTGCCTGTGCTTCCACAATAAGATTATCGTGTTCTTGACAGGATTTATTTTATCAAACAACTTTGATAATTGTCTCCAATAGTTTTATCGTTTGCATGACAGACCGTCATCATCTGATCAGCACATGTTTATCAACACTGTGGAAAACGACCAACTGGAGATTTTGGTCTCCTCGTGTGCTCGTGCTAGTCAGTGAAAATCGTAACAAGACTCTGGTTGGCAACCTTCGTGTGCCCGCATCTTAAGACATGTTTATGTTTTATGTTAATTAATGTGACATGTATAATAATAATATACTTGGCATAGATAACATGAGAGTAAATTAAAAGCATATGAGCATATAATCTTAATCAAAACTTCCAAAGCTGCTAAAACTTCCACAACTTCCAAAACTACTAAAAGAACTCCAACTGCCATGTCTGCCAAAGCCAAAACCACCAAATGGATTAAACATTCTGGAGGCACCATATCCTAAAGCTGCTCCTCCAACTAGAGCTGCAAGACAAGAAAAATATTTTACTTAAATGTTGTTTAAAACGGGGGTAAAAGTACGAAATGCAAAGTTAGTTAGCTAGAGAGGGTAGGGTAGGTAGGGTTAAAGAAAAAGAACATACCTGCAGCTGTACCAGCTTTCCCTCCTCCTAATATACCACCTCTCTTATCTTTCTGTTGTATATAAACTACATTAGGTTGTTGACCTTGTGGTGGACCATAACCTATTAAGATATATAATTTATATTTATTCCATGCCTAACATTATAGACATCTTAATACCTTATCATGTCAGTCTAGTCAACAATCATTTAACACTGTGAAGTCATTTTCAAACTAACACAGAAAAGCAGCAATTATTTGCTAGAAGATATAGGTATAGATATACATGTAGATACAAAATTTATGACAGCTATAAGTTATCATTATTATTCTAATACACAATCTTAATTTTTCACAATTTGCCTCGCAATTTGATTAGCTTCTACAGATTTATAAATTTTTTCTGATGATAGAGGACTGGGGATTTGTATATATTGGGAAAGAAATACTTATAATAGTTTTCAATATATCAGCTATTTTACTTCGGAAATTGAGAATAAAAGCACAAAGCAACAATCTATAAAGAAAAATATTTATGTTCAAAAATGAAACAAAGTTAAAATCTAGCAAATATTCTTACCATACTGTTGCTGAGGATAACCCTGTTGAGGATAGTAGCCTTGTTGAGGGTAACCTTGTTGTGGGTAACCTTGTTGAGGATATTGCTGATATGGAGGTGCATAACCTTGTGGAGGGGGAGCATAGCCTTGTGGAGGAGGTGCATAGCCTTGAGGAGGGGGAGCATAGCCTTGTGGAGGACCATAGCCACCCTGTTGTGGATAAGGTTGTTGGTATCCTGGTTGAGGTGGTCCTAAAAAACAATGGATTATAGTTTAGGTTTTCAATCTGATGCCTTTTTCAAGTTTTCATTTTTCAATAACACTACAATTTATGGAGAACAATCTATTAATAATTACAATGACATCTTATTGTATATCTAAATATAAACAAAACACAAGTAAACATAAAAAAAGTGTTGGCATTTCACTTTATATTTATTAGAATAAAAACAAATTTCATGTTCTTACCTTGATACCCAGCAAATCCTAAAGGTGCTCCTGGTTGTGGTTGCTGGGGTGGAGGATAATAGCCTGATGATACATCTGACCGTTTTTCAGGAACAATACCAACAGCTTGTGATTGGGGTGGTGGTCCACTATGGGATTTTGATTTAGGTGGTGGTAGCTGCAATAACACACAGAAGTTATCAGATTAAAATGCATCCCAGTCTTATGAAGATCATCTGAATCTTTGGAATTCATCAAAATAATGTGACATTTATTACTTGGATATTCTTAGCTATTATTCGCAGGTATTCAGATTTTAAAACAACTGTAAAGCACCTACTTCAGTCAGCGCTTAACGATGGCTAGGGGAATCATATATTACCAATAGGTAGGCTTATTCATGAACAAAATGTTACTTACAGTGCTGACAATTGCAGCCATCCAATCACTAAAATAAATAAAGCAATATGTTAACCTATTCTCTATATCTTTTATAATGTACAAACACAAGTACCGTGAAGGATTCAGATAGCTTTCACACATACTGGCAGATTTGATCAAAGTAAGACATTTGCAAGAACATTAAAATGCATTTTGAAGAACAAGAGCCATCACTTGCATTTAATGTGGACAAATTATTGTCAGATTGTTCAGTTTCCAACAAAAAAAGCAGGATATAAAACAATCAAAGATAAAGAAACTTACTGCAACTCTGCTTCAGACTGACATAAAAACCAGAAAACTTTAGCTTTATGACTGGGTTTAACTGGTATAGCTAATAATAAAGCTGAACTAGCTCCAGAAGGTAGTGAAGGTCTGTCAGGAAGTCCATTTGTGTGTTCACCATAAGCAAAATGTTTGCATACTTCCTATAAAAATATAAAAGAAAAATAAATAAATCAGACTTGATAAGATTTAATAAAATTCAACAATTTTTCTAGTATCTTTGCATTTTTTCCAGATAGACTTAAAAGCATGTGAAACATTGATTTAAATATATCTAAATATATATTGCTACTTATTTCATGGAATCAAATGAGAACAAAGCTTATTACTGCATCCTTTACTTTAGAAATCCAAATTTGTTAGACAATGAAATTCAGATTACTAAGATTTAGTTACTCATAATATCATTGTCTATTTGTTATCCAATACAACATGTCTTTACAACAACGTCAGTTTTAACAGTACAAATGGTCATCAATGCAATTTAAATTAATTGACTACTATTAACCTTTAAATAAATTTTAGCTTTTGGTTCCAAGTCTCCCTGTTTTTTGAAGATGTAAAAAGTAGAATCAGGTCGTAATTCTAAATATGTTGGATTCCATCCTCCAGATAACCAGCTCTCTAAAATAAAAATAACACAAGGCCATATTACAAATAAACATTGAAGTTGATTCTGAAGAATATACGTTTTTCATTATAAAATTACAGGGTCATAAAACATTAATTAATCTATATTATCCGCTGACAGGAAACAAAAAACCAACTCTGTGTTGTACTGTCTTGTACATACAGGTACTTTAAAGATGACATTCCAAAATTCTCCTACAAGGTTCAAATTTGTGTGAATTTCAATTTTAACCAGCATTGGTACTTTTTCCCTTAGAGTGATCCCAAATTAACTTTATGACTATTGCTATATCTGATAGACCAATTTTGACATTAATGAGTATTTGAGACTGTACTTTAAAATTAAATAAAACTTACTGCTGTGTCTCTTTAAATAACCAGCTTTTACCACTGTCATCTAGTAGAAAAATATGTAAGTGCCAGTATAAGTAAGCTTACCAGTATAAATTTCAATGTGTTATCAAGGAAATTGGGTCCACTTAAATACACAGGTAGACTAAATATATCAAATAATCAATATATTATATGCGAAATAATCAGCTATTTCACAATACCCACAGGGCATACATAACTGTTCTCTAAATTGACTAAACCTTGTTTACTGTGTCAACATTAGTCATTCTGAGATTTTCAATATTATTACAAACTATTTGGGGTTTGATATGCTAAGTAAAAGTATTTAAGATCATCAACCTTCAACATCATCTACGTCATTACCTAAAAAAAACTGATTAGATTACACATTAATGATTGAACGAGTGGATAAGTTTGTTTATTTCTACCTAGGCTATTTTAATAAAATCATAAGATATGCTTGGTATGTAGATCTAGCCAAAGTTGGGCAATATAATGGAAAGAAGATACTAACCTTCTAACTTTCTTCAATAAAAATATTGTTATTTATTAGGTAACAGTAATAAGGTTTTACCTTGATCAACAAATTTGTTTCCAGAATAATGTTGTTTACTTCTTGTAAATCCGGTTCAGCGACCCCTTGTAGGATAGATTATCCAGGCGCTAATTTATTGAGAAACTTCCATTCAATTTGAGAATGAAAGGATAACTCTGAATAGAAATGAGCCCATGGACATTTGTAGGGAAAAAAACATATTATTGTGTGGAATTAACCTGTTTGACTGCCCAACAGGCTACGCATTTTGTCAAATTAACCCACTTTTCTCCTTGTAATCTCTTCTTTAGTAATAGGCTAGTCATAGTCATACTTTTGGTCTATTCAAGATTATTTTGCCTGTAGCCTAGTCTGCAGTGGCATCTTTGATTGAACAAACTTGATTTTGGTCTGGTACCTCTGTCTCCGAGTCTTTGGTTGGTATGTTCCATAATCCATTTAACTCATATAAGTTGAAATATAAAAACTAATAGAGCATTACCCAGTCCATCTTGTCTGACAGTCTATTGTTAGCCTGCTGTAATTTACACCTAAATTTTTTAGTTATTTTTTTGTTAGAAAATGGCAGAATTAAAGATGAAATCTGCTCTACAGAAATCATTTGATGTTGTGAATCAGATATGTAAAGAATGGACAAATACTAATATAGAATGTGAGACAATTATCAAGTCATTATGTAATAGGTTAGAACAATATGAACACTGTGTCAACACCACCTCATTAGAAATACCATTTCATGCAATATGCCATGACCTTATAAATAAATTACAGCATAAAATTATTGAAGATATAGATGAAAAATTATGTGAAATGTTACCAAAACTGTGAGTATGGATAATTTATTGTTACGGTATAAAATTTCTGAAAAATCTGTTTGACACTGATAGACTAATGATCTACTGTAAATGAAATGAAATGAATGGAGTTTTACGTTCTACTTTTCCGCACCCTGTGGGCTATTGAAGACAGTGATCTACTGTAGGATTAGCATGTAATGAACAAATAAACTGTAGGCTATGAGGAATATAAACCAAGAAATGCCCAGTTTTCCAATCCAATCACATAAGAGTGATGGCTCTTTCATGCTTTAACAACTATTGCAGTAATTGAAATAATGGAAGTTGTCATTGAATAAAGTATTCTGGCATTAATAATGACTGATTTATAATTTCAGTGATGAGTATAAAGAATGTCATTCTAAAGTGTCACAACAATATCATAATGTGATGAAGATATATAATAATAATAAAACAGAGTTAAACCTGGAGATAATGACAAGATGTAATATTGTTTATCCTACACTATCACAGATGATAGAATATTTATATGATATAGAACAATCATTATATCAACAGTATCCTTGTAATTAATCCCAAATATTTGATTGAGGAGCAATAAGATTGATTGGAACAAAATCCCTCATGGACCTTTTTGCTCACATCCCTAATGGATCTGGTTGGTCATATCTTTGCAGTGAATTTGAAAATTAATTTGATTACTTTTTAAGCAACACCAAGACATCACTCAAAACCAGGCTGCTATACAGTTTTTTTTTTTACTCCAGATTATTGATTTGAAACCTAGTTATTTTCCATTATTAACAATTTAGGTATCACTGTAAAAAGTTTATAGTGGAAGAAATGATGTTATCAAATACGATAACATCAGATAATTTACTATCATTGTGGCAAAACAATGAACATAACCTAATACATAACATCAAGGGTAAGTCATTGATAGACATGTTATTTTCATACGCCCACATGGAAATGTGGACCTATATTGCGGTCGCCCTTGTCCGTCGGTCCGTTGGTCCGTCAACATTTCTTGTGAACACAATAGAGACTTCAGTTTTCATCTGATTTTAATGAAACTTGGTGTGATAAGGTATATTGATGAGGTCTTGGTCAAGTTCGAAGTGACGATCTTTCGAACATTTTTTGAGTTATTTCCCTTGACTTTGGAAAAAAGTGTCAAATTTCTTTGTAAACACATAAGAGTCTACAGTTTTCAACTGATTTTAATGAAATTTGATGTGATGATTTATATTGATGAGATGGACAAGTTTGAACTTGATGATTTTTTCGATTAACAGCTTTTGAGTTATAGCCCTTGACTTAGATAAAAATGCTTCAAAATTGTTCATTGAGCACAATAGAGACTACAGATTTCAATCAAATTTCTTTAATATGAGAAAATTCGTACTTTAGTCACTAAAGACTGTTTTATCATTTCTGACAGCTGCCAGTGGGCGTATGTTACCTTGCCTGGCAAGCTATCTTTTTTATTTCACAGACATTGATAAATAATAATATGATAAAGTTTTATTGTTTTCTTTTTCATGATATTAAAAGTGATTCTGATCTCTAGCCCAAAAGAAAGAAGTTATCCACACTATATCCTACAAATAACCTTATTCTCATGATTAACATTTTATCATTCGTTTGTATTTTAGATTACCTATGTTATACATCACAATTTATACAAGAGAAGATTTCCTAGCATCAATATGTCCTATTGGATGATATTGATGAAGATATCCTCTGTGGTTCAATCTTGATTAATATGCATGACAATAAGAGATAATCCTCAATGAGATTGTGTGGTGTCTAAGATAAGAAGGGCAAAAGACAAAGATCAGATAAAATCAGTTTAATAATTTCAACAAATAATTACAATGAAAAATGACACACAAAGTGATTATTAATTACAGGGAAACTAATTAACATCCAAGACAATTATATTAACTGATGTTTTAGTCAAACAATTAATTGAATTTAAAGGGATAGACTGGTTTATTTTTCAGGTGAAGAATTACACTAATCAATCACCCTAATTGCTAATTATGCCTGAAACGATATCTAAACCCTTTTTTTTACCTGGCCACTGAGGAATCATTTAAAACATCAAATTTCCTATTATAATTGATATGAAGCCAGTGTTTTCTCGTGAATGGTTTCTTAGCGTCTTTTGGGAAGGAATTCTGAGAATACGGACATCCGCAAAAGGTTTTGGTTGCCACGATATTTAAATACTTATATAACAGTTAAAGAATTATTTTATGGATTGTGACTTAACACTTGGATTTTTCATGTTGAAACTTTCATTAAAAGGTAAAGGGCATCTTCCTCTACATGTTGGCATGAAGGATTATGTATTTCAGGATCAAGACCACCAAAAAAAAACCGGTTTAGCCCTTTTAGTAAAGAACTGATATTCAGACAGTATAGATCTCCCAATTACAAGCTACAAAGAAAAACGAGACATAAAATAAACTGTTGTCATTAAATGACTCCCTGACAGAAGCTTTTGGCCTGCAATTATCATTCACTTAGCAAACATACATGAATATAGAACTATTCAGATGTATCTGAAGGACTGAAACCTTAATAACTAATGTGAAAAATACACAAAATAATATGAATTGTGTGCTTAATGAGTAAAGTCATTTGAATATTTTGCTCTTTCAGCTGATTTTGAGCTATACATACATTTTTTAGATCTGATATAGAACATTTGGTTCTATTACAATCCAACAAAAACATACTACAGGAATTATCCACACATTCTTAATCAAAAGACATGTGAAAGTAGAAGGCTAAATGAACTCAAATCCACTTGGTGTAGCTAGATTTTGACTCCACATTTGTTTAAGTCACCTAATGGAATACCAATGTTATTCGATCATCAAATATTTATATATAAATAAATAATGCAAATAAGAGGACACATTGTTAAATTATTATTTTATGTTGGTTAACTTGATATATATAGATGACACTTTTAGCAGTATCAGATAATATCATTATTTATGAACTGGAAATAATAAGGAATAATAATATCAAATGAATGGAAGAAATATACCCATGTCAATTTTCTAATTGAAGAATAATACCAATTTTTCAAGTATTCACAGAATTACTATACTCTTTATTTGTTACTCTAGACCCTGTTTCTCAAAATATTTTCCCATCACCTTTTGTCGTCAGTGTTCTTATCACGCACCAGAAAAAATCTTGTAGCACGATTTTATTGAAAAACCCTTGGTTCCACAAATAAAATCTAGCAAAATAATTTTGAGATTTCTAGCAAAATGAGTTTTTGTTCATTTTTCATTCACACCTTAAAAATTTACAAATAAATATGAATTTGATGAGAAAGTGTAAAAACGCTAAATGAACAGCCATGAATTTAAGGTGAGTTCAATTCGTATAAACATAAATTAACATAAGATGAATTATTAATTTAACATCTCAAAAATATAGACTTGCGAAGCAAGCTGACATATGCCCACCAATTGCAAGTACAAATCAGTTTGTTGTCTTTTCATATTTGGTTTGTGTTTAGTCTATAGAAAATTTTGAGCAAACTTTATTGTATCGCATCATGGCTGTTTTCTATTGACAGACAGATGGACGACAATATGCTTCCAATCTACTGTGGGCATACATTGTGAAATTATTGTCTGTAGAGTATGCACAAGTTGTACTATATAGCTAATAGAGTGAATTTCTTAAGTTCATTTGCAAGTATCTTCATAATAAAATATTAAGTGTGAGCATATTAAAATTGAAAGAATCCATAAAGAATTGTTAGCAAAAGTTGCACATTATAACTTATAGGGTTGTAAATAACATTTCGGTAGAGTGAACACAAGCCAAATGTGAACCGACGGACCGACAGGGTGATTACAATATATGCCCAAACTATGTGTGGGGGTATAAAAATCAACATTACATCAACCATACAATTTCTAACTATACCTTACCTAAAACAGTAAAATTTCTATTTTCTGCCCTTAAAAAATAAAAGTACCAGAGAGAAATGTGGAGATTAGGAGCTGAGAAACCCCCATGGCTTTTTTTAACTATAATATAAGAATAATATAAAGAAATGGGGACTAGCTCTGAGCTGGTTTATGAACAACCTGAGTTTTGCTATAACAATAAACTTGTAATAAAATGGCAATGTCTATAGAAACTTGTAACATTCCACAGATCCAAAATTGAGCTGGTGAATTCCTTAATATAAAATATACAGTTTTAAACACATCACCACAAGTCCAAAAACCAACCATTTGAATACTGCAAAAAAGAATATAAAATGACATGAATAAAAGGGCCAAGAAGAAATAACACATATTATGTAAATCATACATATCACACCATACATAATAATCATTAATGTGTCACCATATTAAAATAATGGTATAAGAGAACGGAAGTGAAAAGAGATAATCATCATAATATAATCATCATAATATTGAACATGTTTTTAAGAACCCATATCAAATATTTTTCTATTTTTAGCTTTTTTAGGGTTCATCATTGGGTGATTCCACCAAGTTTCTTTAAAATCTTTAAATGTGCCCTGAACGAGATTTCAAGAGCAAGGGCAATAACTCATTAAATACTTTTTAGATTTGTTGAATATCTATAGGGTACATCATTTGGAAATAATTAAGAATTTCAACGCATTTTCAAGAGCAAGGACGTTAACTCTTATCAAATATTTTTGGATTTGTCTGATTTTCAATAGGCTTCATCCTTAAATGATATTAAACATTCACACCAAATTTTGATCAAAATCTAATAAGAAACCACCTCTTTATCGTGTCTGCAACAAATGTGGATAAACAGACAGACAGGGGCAACGACTATATTAATGTGCTGTTGTATAAACAGCATTAATAATCTATTGACCAATATGAATTGGTCTGGAGAATTTAATTAAAACGCATTCAAATATAAATTCCAACAGTTATTATTTATAGAGAGCTATTTATAGCTTACCTCATTCCTGCAGTGGACTTATTTTGATGATTTCTATAAAATTGTGGACTACCTAGCATAGCTTCAGCAAATACAGCTAAAAATCCTATTAATTCTACATATATTGTGTTATTTAAAAATATATATGTCATAACACCCACAAGTAGTGTAAATGTTACCATAAATTCAACATAACTTAAAAAATCATACCATTTCCAAAAATATGACAAATCAAAATCTGAAGAAAAAAATGCATAAAAAAAATATTAGTAAGCTTGTCAAGATTTAAATCACTAACTGATGATTACTTTGAATATCAGTACAAGAACTAAAATGATATGAATTTTACACATACAACTTTCATCGTGTAATCATCAATGGATCTATCTGAGTAAACTGTTGCTTTACTTCACTGAAATAATTACAAGCTTTGAGATGCAGTTTGTTAAAAAAAATTTCAATGAACCAAACATTTGTTTTTTGGGGTCTTTTTTTTGAAACAATTGCAAATTTCATAAGTCAAATAGACACAAAATATAAACCATACATGCGATATGGTAAATTAAAAGCATTATCAAGCATATATTGTACAAAATAACTCAATGGCTAATACAAAAATTTTAACCTTTTCTGAAACTATCATGCTCAAGCAGTGCATCAAATAACATTTTCATCTTATTTTTATTAAACTTTTACTTGAATAATTTTATCAAAACAAAATGCACAGATTAAAGACAGATTTTTGATGTGGCTCAACCCCAAATAAGATTGCAACTGTTTTTGCCACATCAAAATCAGCAACAACTAACATATTGTTTTCAAAATGGAATTATCAAAAAAATACGTATAAAAAATCTACTGAATCAAACCTAATTGCCAAAAATTAGGCATTTTTTCCTTGTGAAATTCATTACATGTTAAGTTCTCAATTTTATAGCTTATCATTAAGACTTAATTAAGTATAAACACTTCATTTTGTTATTCAGATTGAGTCAAAAAATAAATAGAAATTGTCAGGTGGTCAATGCAACTGCTCCAAATCTTCAAAAACATGCTTAATATAATATATATATATATATATAAGCATAAAACCTACATTCATTTGATTACCAGCATAGCTTCACAAGAATCCAAGATTTTTGTACATTTTCATAACAATAGTATAGGGAAAAGCTCATTTTTAAATGATTGATGAAAGGAACATTGACAGAGGGGAGGACACTGTAAAATAGCCATGCTTTTATTAATTAATTCATAACAATATTCAAGTAAATTTCAGTATACATGCAATCAATTTTTCTATACATGTCTATTAGAATTCACAACAAAAAGCAAAAATGGGTTTTCATGAAAAGAGAGTACATATATGTACATACCAAGAAATGTATGGGATTTAGAATCTAAGAAAGAAAAAATAAGATTATAGTAATAGAACATGAAAGATTAAGGTTATTCTTGTCTAACATTAACATATCGTGTCGGACAAAGATATAAATGTAATAATAGTTAAACACTGGAATTTGTGGACAGAACCTCTATTGTAATAACTCAATCTATTACAAACTTAGTCTTATACCTTAACTGCAATAGCCACCTTTCTTAAGTCACAGAATGCAGCCTATTGTTTGGATTGCAATACAGCAAATCATAGCCCTCGACTGTAAAAAACCATGGCTTATTGTTTACAGACTTTCTCTCAAGGGCTCTGATTGGTTCAATTTGCAAGCATACAATCCAACCAAATCGCTGCATTTACAAATTTCTGTAATACAATAAATGTGGTTATTGCAGTCAAGGCATAAGATGAAGTTTGTAATAGCTGAACTTTTGAAGACCTCAAAAACTTTGATCACAGTGAATGTAAGAAAAATCACTGGAATAGATTTAGAGCAGTAGACCTGTATGAGTAGTGCAGATGTAGACCTGTATGGGTAGAGCAGATGTGGACCTGTTTGGGTTGATTCACATTGATTCTACTTAAGTCCATTTGTGTAAGTTTTTGAGAAAGGACGTCTTATTTCATGAAAGCTTTAAAAAGATTCTGGTCAGTTCAGGGAAAAATAAGTAGCTATTGAATTTGTTCAATCCGAAGGTGTTTCACCTTAAACTTAATTCATTAACTGCTACCCATTTATATCTAACATAATCCTTATCAAGAGCTGCTCAAAATTATTTTCTGTCTTATTTTCTTAATTTCAATTGGAAATATTTAGACTTACCCAAAAACCTTCTTTGTTTGGCACTAACTATTTCAGTTTCTCTTTTGACACGAACACACAATTCCACTAAAGCCATCATAGTCACTACCATAATAAAACTTTGAGCTAATAACGGTAACTCAAAATGTTTACCAAACCTGAGAAAAACAAATTATATAAACTCAGATGGAATCACTTTCTGGATATAGAAGTAGTATAGGCAACATGATTGATCGTTATTTTTCTCAGTTAAAATATATCTTGTAAGAATGAACATGGAATATCTTCACATAGTGACATAAAAATGCTGTAGTATACTTAAAAGAAAAAGAAAAAAAAGAGCCTTATTGAATTTAATGGCTACACAGTAATAAGAGTGAGTTCTTTCAAGCTAACTGTATAATAAAACTAAACTTACCAGAACATGATTCTCAATATGTTGGCTATCAACAAAGTAAGGCACACAAATAGTGAGAAACCATCAGCATTTCTACTTTTTCTAATATCTAGATATTGAGGTATGAAGGGAACCACACCACCGAATATCATAGCTGAGGCAGCCACCCAATTCACTAAATTTATAAAGGTTATATCAGGCATTTCCATATTTTTCACTGTATCTGAAATGTTGTTTGTGATATAGCGATAATTCATATCATTGATAACACTTTCAATTATATACCCAATGTTATTTAGCTATATTTCCACATTTCTTAACACTGGTAAATTGAACAATCTGAAAATTGATAAAGGATAGAATAAATATAGGATATTGATAAATTCAACAAAAAGAACGATGCCTGAAGGAATGATGGGGTGGGGGAGGAATCTTGACAATACAACAGAATCAAATTGTATCCACATTAGTCTTAATATATTCAGTCTTATTTATTTCAAAAGGGAATCAAATAACTTTTCACAAGATCTAGGTTAAAATCTGGCACATACATCTTTCAACCCTTTTTTAAAATCTACACTTATATAAGACATTTTCGATCAACAACTATGGCCCATCGCACAAATCTTGCAGAATTGGAACTGCTATATTTCAATGAGTCTTCATAAAATATAGGCTAAAACCTGGCACACTCAAATACAAGGGCAGCCACCTCACTCACATGATAGGCTTAAGTCTTAAACATCAAAAATATTTTAAAACATAACGTACTGTAAGGTTTTTAACTTTGTTAAGCTTTTTTGGAAGCTGTTAAAAAACTAGTGAACGAATCTGAGTAAAATAAAGGCTCAGTTGTAGAGAAATATGTCTCCTACATATTCTGAAGGTTTCAACTGATAATATTGAGCCATTATAGAGCCAAACACCAATCTAGGTCCAACTGCATTATTAATAATTAGTACTCTCCATTTTAATTAACAAATTCAGTTTGAGCAAGAAGATACCGGTATATAGATACAAATAGCATATTTTAGAAATATTTACAGGTATAATTTACAATATTTTTGATAATGAAAACTTTTTACAAAAAGGCTGAACACCCCTTTAACAATATTGTCTAACACTACATGATCCTATAGATATATTAATTTGTGATTTGTTGAGCCTTTATAGAATTTTAATCATTGATTGTAATACTAAAATAAGCTTTTTCAAAATATTGGTTGCTGACTACATATATAAAGCTATGAGTTCAGTGCAGGGTGTATCACTCAAAAACTAGGTGTAATATTAGATAATCCACTGTTGCTTAAGTAACATGCGGAGTAAGGTGCAAACTAGCAGGAGCAGCTGTATAAACTGAATGTTTGGTGCCTGTGATCTGCTTGAGAACTATATTTTTCATTGCTGGGACTGTGTAAGTTGATTTAATGTAGTTTTGTAACCGCTGGCACCTGATTCTGGTCAAGAGAATAATACTGGTATTTAGTCATTTAACCATACCTCTCAACATTTAAAATATAGTCTGAAACACCTGTCTCTATTCCAGCCTCTGATAGCTATTTGGACAGATGTCTGGCTGGTGTAGAGATAGAAAAGATAGCTTGCATTGCAAGCTAACATACGCCCACTGGCAGCTCAGAAATAATAAAACAGACTTTAGTGACTAAAGTACGAATTTTCTCATAATGAAGAAATTATTCATGCTAAATAATTCCACAAAATTTTTTAAAATCAATATCAATAACCCAAATACAAATATAAACCATCTTCATAATGACATTGACACACAAAATAAAAATCAAAAGAATCTGTAAAAAATTGTCGCCTGTGGATTGAGCACAGGGTTGCACAATATAGCTAATAGAGTGAAACATGAAGTCAGACACGATATTTCGGTGAAATATTATCCGATCATCACGAAAATCAATAGGGATCATCTTCATAATGACATTGACACACAAAATAAAAATCAAAAGAATCTGTAAAAAATTGTAGCCTGTAGAGTGAGCACGAGTTGCACAATATAGCTAATAGAGTAAAACGTCAAGTCAGACATGATATTTCGGTGAAAAATTATCCGATCATCACGAAAATCAATAGGGATCATCTTCATAATGATATTGACATACAAAATAAAAATCAAAAGAATCCATAAAGAACTGTAGCCTGTAGAGTGAGCACCAGCCAAATGTGAACGGACAGACCGACGGGGTGATTACAATATACGCCCATCTTACGTGTGGGCGTATAAAAATAGGCCCTGTAAAGTGGAGACTTTCCGCATCTCGACAGATGCAGGGGTTTTTAAACCTATTTAGATACCTCGGATCTGCAAAACCAAGATATAGATGAGTATTTTTGTAGTACAGACAGTTTTTTGTTGAAGAAACTGTTTTCACATTGGCCATTTAAAACTGCATGCACAGCCAAGTTACAGTGCTGCCAAAAACTAATTTACAGTCATCATAAAAGGTAGGATAATTTAATATCATGATAGAAAAAACGCATCTGCAGATGTGTGGAAAATCCCCATTTAACAGGGTCTTTTTTTCTGACTCCACTTGAGTTGACAACTTACTGTCAACATATCCATCAGAGGCTTGAATAAAGGCAGATGTTTCGGACAATCTGTAGTCCTGCACTGCCACTACTCAGTACTAGGCTAGTATCAGTGATTCACCTATTTATTTACCTAACTAAACTGAAGGTCAAAGATGGTGAACCTCACATTTTTTTCAAATGGTCAAGATTTATAACTTTAAATTAGACAATCTGTATGGTCTGTAGGCCTAATAACAGATTGTAACTTGCATTTACCAGGTCTAAGCTAAGGTGTTACTCTCCTGTTCTTCACTGTCAAATTTTAGTTTATCTGCTCTTGACAGGAAAAGATAACTCTCAACTTCTTCCTGTGTTGTTTTATTTTTCTGTCACGCTTTAACTTTAAATACACCATAATAAATGAATTTAAAAAAAAAATGAATGGTTTGTTATAGTGTCGGTAATTGCAAAATACTAAATGTTTTGATTCTAACTCAAGAGTATGTCCAGAATATTGAGAAACTCCAATATTCATTTCCTATCAAAAGTTATTACAGTTACTAAAGTGCCAAAGAACAAGAAGTATTATGACATTGACAAACTCAAATTCGTGAACATTGCGTTAAGGAGCAGAATAATCCCAGTAACATCATCGATACCTATTTGTATTCAACATAGGAATTTTCATTGCAACATCCTAAAATTACAGAATAAGAAAGAAAATGAAAAACAAGCCAGAGAACTTGTGAAATCATATGAAAATCCCTATGCAGGACTCTCACCTGCTGAAAAAGGTATGCAAGTTGTAGACAGAAACATTTGTCTCTGATAGCTATTTGGACAGATTTCAGCAGGTTTATTGACATACTGCATCTCCGCAGATGGGGGGGTCTTAAACCTGTTTATATATTTTGGATCTGCAAAACTGATCTCGCATCGGCATTTAAAACTGTGTGCAAAGGCAATACTTCAGACATAAGTTATGGTGATGCCCAGCACTACTCTACAGTTATCCTCAAAATAATTTAATAATACGTTAGAAAAAATATGTTGTAGCCTAGTTCTAGTATTATAAGTCATATTATTATAGGCATACATCCAACTAACAGCTTTATCAGCCGTTGAGCTAAGCTTAAATGCAGCTAAAGTTTGAAGTTTATACATTGTAAGCTACATAATCATAATCCAACCAGTAGAGTAAGAATTAGTAACTTAAATGTGTTAAAGAACAAAAACAGTATATACATTGTTTTTTAGGGATTGGAGATATTGAATTGAAATTGTCATTTATTTCAGTAAAAGAAGCCAGTAAAGATGCAACGTATTTAGGTGTAATTGTGGCCGGCATTGGAATATTTGGTATGTAGTCTATTTTAATTCATCTAATTAACCTAATTTGCCTTTTGGTAATTATTTGTATGCAAAGGAAAGTTAAGATTTTAATGTAAAACTGCAAAAGTGCGCTCTTTGTTGAAAAAAACTTTTACTTTTGAAATTTCTGGACTATTACCCTAAATGTTGTCGTGATCTTATTGTATTTGAATATTTCCAAATTTTTCTAGAAAACTAATTAAAATGTATTTTATGTTTTTTGCTTGAACCTTCGTTTGCAATGGGCAAATTAACTGATTTTATTTAATTCTGTTTTAGGTTACATTTTCTATACATTATTTGGTGAATTATTTTCAAGTTCTAGTCCTAGTGGCCTGTATACCTATGCATACAAACAATGTAAACAGAATTCACAGGTAGGCTTAATAATTGTAATTGAATTAACAGTGTATATACGTAAATGTTGTTTATTTTTAGTTCTATTCAGATATCTGCCACATTGTTTATCTCTTCAATAGGTAAGAAAGACTCATTTTTTTCCTTTTTCTTAAAGTTTACAAGAAGAAAAACATGACATTCCAGTAGAATTGACTTATGTCTTAGTTTTGCATTTAGAATCTGTTGATATTTTAATTGTCTTTTTGTAGATAAAAGATATATGTGGAGAACCATTGAAAGGATATGGTGAAACAACTAGAAGGGGTAGAAGAAGACATGTCAGGTATTATTATAGTTTAATATTAATGGTCATCCAAAAAAAAAAACACAGCAAGGAAACTTTGCAGCTGCAAGAATGAGTTTACCTCTCATTCTCAAATAATCAAAAATAGAAGTCATATCTTTGTATGCACCTCTATTGTGTTGAAATTCAGACTGCAGTGGTAGTATGTGCCAATTTTCAGGGTATATGATGAAATATTCATGTTATATTTGTATTGAAGGGTTTGGAAATAAGACTAATGATGAAAACTGTTTTTGAAGGGATTAATCAATTGAAATAAATTATACCTTGATATTAACAAATATTCTTGTGAAGACTGAAGAGCCTTAGATTACTTGTAATTGGTTTAAGTGATTGTCAGACTTGAACTGTATTGATCCTGACAATGTCTGTTAATGAGTTTTGAATCAAAATCTTGAACTATATTTAAAGGGATACTACGTCTTAGGATGAACATAAAATTTTAATTTTGTTCAAATTTGGCCAATAACAGTATGTATCCATCAGTGGACTTACCTGGTGTCCTAACTATACACCAAAATCCCTCTATAATCTGATATATCCACAAAATCAAGTAATTAATTATAAATCGCTTAATACATCCATTAAGCGATTTTCAAATCGTGAGTTTAGGAAATCCTGTGTAATTTTCAAGGGGAAGTAACTCTCAAGTGAGGTTTCCCGCGTCCTTGACCTCTACTCTTGAATTGACCTCGACATTGTCATATTTTGAAGACGGAATAATGATGCCTCGTAGGAGATTAATCGACTCCGCAAAAAAGCAATTTATACAATTTAGAATGAATACTCCACCACTGACACAATTTTCAACGAATATTAATCATTGACAAAGTTTGTTTGTATACACCGGAAGATGATTGTTTCCTGTTTTAGCGTTCATTATCCAAACTCTTTTTTTCTCAAACTGAACGGATTTGTCGCTTGCTCACTTTTTAAAAAAAATTATGATTATAGTTTTATTGTCGATTTTTCAAACTTGATAAACAAATATTAGCCACAGGACGAGTGTATTCTAAGACGTAGTATCACTTTAAATCAGATTTCTTTCAATTTTCAGTCATATAGAATTTATGGAAGATGGAATTAAATGTATAAGAATGAAGTTCTATATAGAAGGCCCACATAATAAGGGAACTGTAACATTAGAAGCTAAACAGGTACTGATGTTATTTCCTATCTATATAAATATTTTGGCACAATTTAAATGACCCTAGTCAGTTGCAACTAGATTTGTCAACTCAGTAGTGCTCTAAAGATCACTGATTTTTATTGTTCTTGGCTTCTATTTCCAGACATGCGAGTAACCGTTCCCTATTAAAATATTTGTACATATATTTAGTTTTGCAGTTACTAATGGATTATAGAAATAGATTGAACAGTGAAGATTATATCAAAGTGCAGTCATGAAGACTTAAAGCAAAGATTCTATCCTATAGTTTGTAACTTTAAGCGGATATCCAATTACTCCTTTCAGCAGTCAGCACTACAACACAGCATCCCTTACAGAGTCAATATAGCTTTATGATTAATTTTATATTATTTATTTTTATAGAATGAACGGCAGAAGTATGAAATACAGTTTATATATGTTGAATTTGGAGGTATACAACCACGTGTAATAGTTATAGAAGACAATAGATGATCTATCAACAACTTAGGTTCATTCATTTTTGTTACAAGAAAAGTGTGAATATATTTGACAGCTGTTACTGCTGCATTTGTTTTTATATATGTGATCATGATATTTTGATGCTGATTTTTTAAGAGGCAATACAAATCATTTCTCACTGCCCAGCCCTCTCCCAATATTTATATTAACATAAGTATCACAGTGTAATAAATAACAAATAACAAACCATTATAAGAGCAATAGCCAATTATATTATATGGATAGAAAATTAACATATTTGTTCAAGAAATAAAATAGACAAATTTGTATTCAATGTTAAAGAATGAAATTATTACATATTGAAATTAGAGTAACATTATTTGCAAAGAAGCTCATTCTTATTTAAGTATATCTCTTTGGGTTGTTTAGCTTGGATCTGAAGTCTTTTATAATAAAGGTTTGTTTACCAATCCAATACATTAATAGCTACCTAGTGATCAATTGTGAAAGGAGGATATCATATCTACGATTAAATATCTCAAGAAGACAGTAAAATATTGAAAGCTGTATTTGTGATTTATAGAAACTGTAGCCTGATCAGTGAAAACAATAAAACAGATAAAATAACATAAAATATTAAACTGCTCCAAACGATTATAAATTATCAAATAAGAAGAAAGTTTCAATCCTTAAATAATATCATGTTTTATGAGTATGAAAATTTCAATTTATTTTATGAAAAGAAACTATTCAACAAAACTTCCATTACACTATAAATAGTGTATGATATCCAACAATATCTGGAATTTCTTCACAATCAAAACTTAAAAATAAATCTCTTTCATCATTATCTCTCTTTTTAGGTTTTACTTTCAGTTTCGTTTCCCATTTAGATTTAGGAGGAACATCTCTACAAGAATAGTAAAAAGAATAATTAAATTACAATATTATATCCTGTATTCAACTGAAATTATATAACCACTCAAAACAACAAATACGGAGAGCTTATTAGAGATAATATACGGTCTGTAAGCAATACTTACGGAAATTTGATATTTTTCTTCTGTTTGTCAGAACATAATTGTAAACTCCCCTCCACTTGTAAAGAACATTTTGTCAGGGCTCTGTTTAAAGGATTCTCAAAGTAGGCTGTGACCTCAAGTATGTCATTTTCCTTACATTCTTCTGGTGCCTGAATTAAATGAATTTGTAAATATAAAGATAGTGGACCACAGCCATATACGCCCACCGCGGCATGCGAATGGTACATATTAAAGATTTTGGGGCAAGGGCAATAACTCTGCTTCTTACGGTCGAAAATAGCTCAAATTCGAACTTGATCTTCGTTTTATGAATATAGGGACACTTATCTCCATTTACTCCTATAATGATGTTACAATGGCATTTTAGGCAGATACATCCAGATTTAACGAGGATTATAACTGAGGGTTCCTAAATACATTCGCCCAAGTCTTGCACAATAACAGAGATTAAAACTCATGACCATCATTGTTTGCGATAGGCAACACCTCCACTATAATTCAACTGAAAACTGTTACCTCAATAGTTATATCTGGTCTTCTTAATCTAAAATCATCATATTCAACATGAGCTGTCCTCTCTTCTTTCACAATACAGAAAGCTATGACTTTAAATGAGAAATGATTGGCTGAAACAGCTAAATATTCCTCAGATAAAACATCTATTGTCAGCTTAGCCTCTGAAATGTAGAAACCAAGCTTTATATAGTGTTGATTTGGTACCTGAAATTATTGTTTATATTTGAATTCTGATTCAATATCTCTGATTTTATATCTCAATGTCTGATTCTATATCTGAATGTCTGATTCAATATCTCAATGTCTGATTCACTACCTCAATGTCTGATTCAATAGGCTACCTCAATGTCTGATTCTATATCTCAATGTCTGATTTAATAATCTCAATGCCTGATTTTATATCTGAATGTCTGATTCAATTTCTCAATCTCTGATTTAATTTCCCAATGTCTTGTTCAATATCTCCATGTCTGATTCAATATTTCTTAACTTATATTGGATGTTGAAACTACCTGAACGACTTTCAATTTCTTGTTCATCAAAATGTTTAGAGGCAACTTTTCCAATAATATCTCCATCATATTCAATTTGTAATACTGACAATGATACTTTAACACTTCTAGTTTTATCACTGGTATTTTTAATAATAACAGAATAGTTAAAATCATTTCCAACCATAATTCCATCTTTGTCCTCAAGAATTAACTCTATAGTCTGAAACATTCAAGTAATTAATTAAGTTCGTTAAGTGTCAATATTTTCTTGAATGTTAAACAAATTCAGTATTGTTTGTGATTCATGTTTATGATAGCAACATAACATTATTCTGTGGTCAGAATGTTCAGTTAGTAAAGTGATTTTAAAGGCTTAATCTTTCTCTGATTAACGCAGTCTGCATTTCCTCATGAATTAGCTGTGTAGTTCTGGATGAAATGTAATTTTGTCACATGTATGCTTGTCAGCATGAGTTAACAGCTCTCAAAATATGCTTGGAACCAGTTTAGACTTACAGATTTGTCAAGATGAGGCACCTTATTTGAACTGGCTGTTTTATGGACTTTATTAACAGTTTCTCTTTCTTCTGTACTTCCTGAAAATAAATCAAATCATTTCAGTTTACAGTACGATTTTCTAATTTTTATAATTTGTGGGTACGGAGAAACTATATGAGTGTAATGTGGAAAGTTGGTGTGGGTTAAATGTATGATTTGGACGCTTTAACGTTGAAACTTTTTCCAGTGATATTTGTAACCGACGTAAAGATTGGAGCCAGCGAAATAGACTGACGATTCAAGCATGCAATCGGGCTCTGAAGGTCATAAGCAAACCAGGTTGGGCTAAGGATTCATAAATCAATCCATAAACGACTGACTTGGTATAAAGTTAGTGTATTCCCAAATTTGTTGACAGCTCTTCTCCCCTGAAAGATACTTTTGACGGTTACCGGCAGAATATATGTCTCAGGAGTCAAAAAGTTTCCGAATAGCTATATTTACTGTTCACAGTAACATAAAGTATACACAGAATTAATACCTTCTAAATATTTGTAGGATAAGGTTAAATCTTCTCTATCAGGATCATCACCAAAAATACTAAGTCGACCATTGTAACCTAACCCTGTCGCTTTCTTTGTACTGATCTTCTTACCCACCCTATAATATACACAACACCGAGATTTTGGGAAGAATCCGTAAATCTTACAATTACCCTTTTGTATAGAGAAATACAGTTCTCTCGGCTTGCGTACAGACATGTACGTCCACCAAAATACCCATTATGTGCAACATGCAAACACTGATCTCTGTGAGCCATCAGCAGAATATCATCTTTCAATACATACAGTAGATGCGAATGCATTCAGATTAATTCAAATATTTGTAGATCATATACCCTAGAGAGTAGCCTACTATACCTTCATTCTTCAACAATTGGCATTGGTCAAAATTATACCACTCCATAGTCTCTACTTGTGACCTAAGCAAGTGCTACTATAAGAGATTATCTCTAATAAAACCTTATACTACTGTTGCTCCTCCTTTGGACATTCAATCCTCAGAGCATCCTGCTTGTGGTGGTTCAACAGTCCACAAAATCTACCATTTTGATTTCTTTGCGCCTCCAACAGTATTTGTAAAGTTCAATGAAAGCAATCTTGTCTCCCATAAGACGATATCTAAATTTGATACTGCGAACCGATACACCATACCTGTCTTTATACCTCAAGTCTAAGCATCAACCGAGAACACTCTTTCCACAAATTGAATTTGAAATGTTGCAACTTGTGATAATTGTGTCTTGAATTATCAAACTCACCTTGTTTTATTGACACCCAAAACATATAAATCATCATAATCTTCTCTCAACCAATCTATACAATCAGCATTAACTTCAGCAAAAACAAAGGCTGTATCAAAACCTGTATTTATTTCTCCTTTCTTTACTGCTGTTACCGGTGAAGGTCCGAGACAATACACACCTTCAAATGATAATGTAAAACCTTAATAATATTCTCTAACGAATTCTTCCTGGGACTTCTATTTTCTATTTTCAAGGTTAAACTTGAAGAAAAAATCAAATAGTGACCGTGCAATGAACCGGCGCTATCTGAACTCTGGACTGTTCATCACGACAGTATCCAGATCATCAATATGTATAATGACATCGTTACATTATTTACAGAACCATCAACTAAATACAACTGAATAAATCGTAATGATTTTATAATACACATCTTGTCAGGAGTGCTTTGTCGAAGTCATCGCCATCACCTCTTCCTACCCGTAGGGTTACAAACGAGACTACTCACCGTCACTTGTTTCTTGTGGGGTAGCATCAATAACCTGCCAACCATCATAACCATAGTCTAAATCTGGACGTTTCATCCACACCTCATTCCATACATGGAAATTCCTGCAATGAATATATAATTTATATTAGTTACATCTTTATTCAATTAAGATCTGTAGTGGAACATCTTAGGCATTTTCAGATGTAAGTTCTAACCGTTGCAATTGTGATGCATCTCTATGTGAAATGTTCTGAAATGCCCGTATAAGATTAATCAAGAAGCCTGTATAGGTCATATTCTAGAAGAATTATATCAACAGAAATGTCACATATAACGATGAATAACGAGGATTGACAGTTCAAAACGGAACCTTACCAAGTAGAATCTCCATATCCTTCACATTCGCTTAAATCACCTTCTTCATCAATTGCAAATATTTTATCAATAGTACAACTCATATCAGTATCATGGGCTGACATAAAGTTAGTAACACTTCGACAAGGTAACCCTACAGCTCGACATACTGAAAATAGGCATGTAGAAACATACAAAACAAACAAAAAAGTGTTTGAATGATATTTTTTATGGCGATCGTGTAATTTCATTGTTGACATATTATAAGCTTACGTATTTCCGAATCTGTGTATGTTTTCTAGCATGTAATTTTTAATAACCTTATATACACACCTGTTGTCAAAACTCCAGAGAAAACCCAACACTGTCCAAATTTTACAGGTTCCCCCTTTTCCATATATTCCATCAATATCTTGTAACTTCCCACCCAAGCTGTTGGTCTTGTGCCATCTTTATAATCTCCGGACCAATTCCCTACCAGAACCCCGGCATCATCGTTATTGTTTACCTGAAATGTGTTCAATATCAAAACAATATATTTCCTCTCAAGGTAAGGGCGATATCTGATGCCAGGATTGGTTCCTTTTTGTGGTTATTTCAACAAAGTCACCAGCAGTGTTTTTATGGAGTATATCTTATTCATAAAATAAGAAAGAGGTGGAACTCCGTTAAAGCCAGAGCGCCATAGACTACATTATGGATGGCATCGAATAATTGGAACCTTTATTGAAAATTACTGAAATTCCAAGGTAAGGTTTCGTCTATGCAAAGATGAAAAACAATTTGTCCACTTCCCAGATCTAGCCATTATGACTCTAAAAATCTTGATCACTCAAGTGACGTGACTTAATTAGACAACAACCTTCCAGTTCCAATCTTCAATTAACACTGTAAATTACTTCTTGAGTACAAAGATGGCGTACTCACTATTCTAGAAAAAGCTCTAGCTATATAAACAGGATCACCCATATTTCCATCAACTTTAAAACCAAACGATTTTTGTAAAATGAACAGTGCTACATCCAAAATACCATCGGAAAACTGTCAAATAAAACATAATGGTATAAACGGTGTTTCGTAGGTCGCAGAGTGTTTGAGCATGCTAGTGGAACCCAATTTCAATTAAGTCTTGTTTTGACTGGAACTCATGAGCTTTACAAAGACAGTGAGTCTTGTCTACGAGCAGAGTCAGTGGCTATTGCTGTGTAATAAATGTTATCCAATTTAGTACGTGGAAGAATGTTCCTCTTTTACCTACCTTGCGCCATAGTCTTCAGCCTATTAATGTTCTTTTATAATATTAGGTATTTCCAGCATTTGCTGAAGTTGCTCCTAGGTTATGAAGCAGGCTGATTGACTTCAAGCATACAATTCTATATATGTTTACTATATCACTATGCCATTGCATGAGTCGTCAAGGACTGTTCTAATGAGCCACATAACTTACCTGAGCGAAATTCCAGCCTCGAGAACCAATCTGTCTATAATTACCATAATATATAGCACCACCATCGTTTAAAATATATTCATCCAATAACTTCTCGGTGGGTAAATAAACAGTGTCCTCTATTAAATATTTTAAATGATTATTATTACATACATCATTGAGTTCAAATGCAGTGTAGGGCTTTATACACCTGTATACGTTATGAGTAACGAATATTATAGTACAGTATAGTAGGCCTACAGTTAGTGCTACACAATAATAATTAATGCCTTTGACCAAACTCAAATACATACAAATCAAATAGATTATCAAATCGTGTTTGAAATACATGTTAAAGAAGATATACAAACCTATATAGAAAGCCTACTATAATATCTATCGCTTTTATATACCACAATCAATATCACTAGTTATCACTTCCAACATGCAAATCCAATGTCCGGATTGTCCATAATTAACCAAATGAGATTCTGGTCAGCTATAATATAAGTTCTTATATTTACCCACCTTTACACCACGGATTTAGTAGAACTTTGATAGGATCTGGGTGATCATATCGTACTGATTTCTGTTTTCCATCTTCTACATCAATAATCGTCTTAATGACAAATTTCCATTCTCCTATCACACAATTAGCTGGTATAAATATACCGAATGTTACAGATGGTGATTTGCCTTCCTCTGTCTCGTCTCCTGTTTTAATTATTCTAACCCCCCATTCTCCTGGTTTGTAGGTTTTCTCACCACTCAGCTTACAAGTAGAATGGGTTCGAGATTTTGGTAAAGGAAATTCTCCTGAAATGATTTTTAATGTTAATAATCAGAAGAAAATAGTAGAAGAAAAAAAAATCTCGGCATAACCTATGTATGACCTGTGATTGGCTAAATATTTTAAAGCATCGCCATCGAACATTGCTTGGCACAACAGTACAGTTGTCTGTGAAAATGGGGATTGAAGATTCACTTGAGTTGAAACAATTCTATTTATATTAGATATGGGCTAAACTTGAATGGGCCAGTGTCATAAATTAAAGCTTACTTGGAAACTGTAATATCATATAAATCTAAATGAAACTAACCGGTCTTAAATATAAACGACAGATTATCATTCTCTCTATCGTACGGTTTATCAAAGGTGACTGTAAGAGTAAATTCATCACCACGTCTAACAACTAATTCTGCTGGTATTTTCTTCCCATCTTCTTCTCCCCTTTCTTTTCTATCTTCTCTTGTACAGTCATATTTTGATGTATGGTGTTTCTTTGTATTCTCTTGTATATTCAATTCAATGTTTTTGACTTTAATAGCACTTGTCAATTCTTCCTCGATAAGGTCTGTAAAGAAATAACATTTTTTTTAAAGACAGTGCTCAGTGATTAGTTGGAACCATGACAACGCGAGCATTCATTGGCTGATTCTGAACTCAACGTTCCCGCATTCAAAATTACACATTTAAAGGGGCAGATGCTTCATTCTCTTTGACCAATCATCATTGTTCACAGCTTACCGTCGAAATTTGAGCCTTCAAATCCATGTGTCCAGAATTATCCACGTTTGAATGTAAGATACTCTGTGATATATAGAAAAGACAAAACATTTTATGCAAATGATTGATTGTATAGGAATGTAGTCCAGGCTATTTTCAGAAATCTTAGTCCAGGCTATTTTTAGAAATCTTCTTTCTCTCTCCCTTTTGGGGTTTTTGCCTGCCTATTTTTTGGGTAAAATTTGGTCTAGATTTGGAATTTGATGTCTGAAATTGCATTATCTTTCAGATTTGGTGAGATGATGAGAGACTTAAAGGCAGAAGGCTAATTCTAAAAATAGTCGTTTTGTGAAGTGCCAACATCTAGCGGATGAGTATAACCGGTAGTAGTCTACTTTCAATTTTAGTAGCTCAAAATTTTCATGGTCATCATATAATGAATTTTTTAGGAGACATTGAGAATTGGTCAGGCTTTCATTCGACATGTTGGAAAGCTTTCAACGAGATTTCTGGAAAAAGTTATAGAAGGTTGAATTTCGTGTTTTAACATGGGAAGAGATGGCAAATGAATTAGTGGAGTGAGTCCATATTTGAAGGAATTATGTCCCTTTAAAGCCTACAGATTATTCCTTGGTTACTTCATTCTTTAACTTCCAAATCATATTTTGATTTTGACCATTATAGTAGTGGCGGTTGTCGGGCGCGAGGCAATCCATAGTATGCTTTTCGAAACACCTGATGGTTCTTCTCTTTACAATTTTTACTCCCGATTTTATCATTCTTTGGAGGAGATTTTTGATTCACGGAATTGTCTTGCTTGTACGAACTTTTATCTTATAATTAAATTGCATAGATTACGATATGTTTTAAACTCAAGAAGACCTGTGTATAAAACAAATCATCTTTTATTAATTTTTTTTATTGATTGGTTGGCACCATCACAACGCGAGTTCTAATTGGCTGATTCTAAACTCCTTGAATTGCTATTGTTATTATTACTTGTTTCATTCTGAGTTATCGTTAAAATCTGGCTTTTTTCATAAATATATGGTAAATTGGCACAAGCCAACATATGAAAATTTTAATTGTGTTGGGGAAATCTTCATTCATTATGCCTACACAATATTACAGCAATTTATATATATCTATATCTATTTTGCAAGCATATAGTTAGGCCTACCTATGTGTTCTGTACCACCAATAGTTTGTTTGTCTGAATCTTCAGGTAGACAACTACATCGCTCTGCAAATCTTTTAAACCAGTTATCTGTTGATGGTCTGCTGTTATAGCGTCGCTCTCGACCTCGGCGATAGTCTATTCTATTATAACTTGGAGTACTTCTTCTATATCTTGAATACATACTGTAATGTGTATTAAATATACTGAAATTGAATAATACTTTAACTATAGTATAATTAGATGATCACTATTACGATTTATATATGTATTGTTTAAGGAAGTCGCTACTTTCCTTAAGTGTCCTGTGTTTACATGGCCCGATCCTGTTCGAATTAACAACTGTTATCTATGGAAGTATTTATTCTTTATACATAAAAATTTATAGCCCTTTTTTTCATTTTAACAAATCAATGTTACCTTAGAAAAGTCACCCCACCCCCACTTCACCAAAAATTGATAGGCCTAAGCGTAAAATTCATGTTTTTTGTTTTGAGTTTCCTTATGTCCGCGCTTATTTCAATAGGCAAAATATTGTAAAATTATATTAACAATAGTGGATCCATAACGAATGCCACCAAAGATACCATTCAAGTGATGTATTCAGTTAGAATCCACAACGTCCCCCGTTTTCCAATATAGACTACGCTAATTTGGTACATGTATGTAGTTTACTACAGGTGATCAGCTAATAATAACAAAAATGTAAGTCTGTACGAGGGTAGGCTGAAAAGTTCTACACTGAAGTGGGTATCTTAATTGGACTGAAATTGAAACCTTTCCCCAACAGCAAGTACTTATTATCATTGTACGAGACCGTCTTATAAACAAAACCAATGAAATCATCCGAAACTGACTTAAGGGTATTTATTTTGCTCCTGAAAATAAAAGTGCTAACATAGACACATGCTGACCTGGTCTCCACTTTAGGGGATGATGCCCCTTCCTTTTACAATTGTGAAGAAGGGGATGAGAAATTCTTTGGCACCAGAGAGAGCTTTGGCGATGACCGGTGTTCAAGAAGGTCTTCAACAATAACCATTCTGGAAAACAACCCGAGTACATGACATGATGGTGGTTGATCGACGATCGTCCACTGCCATTGTCATATTGCCATGATGTGGGCATCTCTCATAAGATATTTGTGCACATTATTATCAAAGAGTATCACGAACAAAAGTGTGTACTTTGTTGAGAGATAAATTAAAACCATCGACTTGGTATGGTAGCTAGCCCTCATATGTTGTTTGAATTACAATGTATGTAACTTCATAACCAGATTATTTGATGGAAATAATATAAGTTTCGTTTCTGCAGAATTTCCATTGTTAGTAAAAGTTTTAAAAACACAGGTGCATTATGAAAGAGTTGGTTTAAAAATACATTAAATATTGACCTTCATTAGCTGATGATATAGGCCTACAATTAATTACACGACTATATCCCTTTAATTTATTACTGAACAGGTAGAAAATCGCATTTAATCCCAAATTAACTCTGTAATATGTGACAAGGAACAATATCATATTGGGTTGATTCGGATCATATAGGGACACTTGTTCTTAACAAAATATATACATTTAGGATAACAACGTTCAAGTTCTGTTTTAATATTTCTACAAAAGGTACATACCTGATCGAATATCTCTTCTCTATTCAACAAGGAAGTGATATTTTAAAATAATTATGACATAAGCAGAAAACATAATCACAATGATATGCCACAGGAGTAATATGTCAATAGCATATACACACACAAAAGGCATACAAATTACCATAGACTTGCATGGGAAATGATTGATATAAATCATAAAACCATTGTTATTATGAGTCTTAGCAACACCGACATATAATACTATATCTTGTTTAAACATATCAAAAGGTTGTTAATTTGAAGGGCTTGGACAAATATACAAACAACAGTGACTCTCCCACATAGTGAAAATCGAGTTTTAACTTGAGATTCTGGTACCCTCAGAAGGTACCTGAGAATAAAATATTATAATGTTTTGTTATATTTAATAAGACAATACGTTATTTTTGCATTGAAACTTCTGTTTCACTTGATGGATACCAAAATATCAATCCAAACGATTTTACCGAAAGTTAATGGTTGAAAATCAACAAGTTTTAGTTTACCAGTTGCATACTCAATATTTCAGCTATCCGCCTATCATTTTCAGCAATATCAAAGTGTCCAAACCACACCCCATTCTTCATACTTCCTTGCATATATTTATCAGTAGATATACCCGGTGTCATAAATAACATAACAGGATCCTTATATAATCCGATAAATCTAAAAAAAACTTAATAAAAATGCAATTAACTAGTGAAAAACGCTTAATATTATGACTAAGTGTTTCTCAATAATTACTTAATTTTATGAATTTTCCAATTTTCTAGATTTTACAGGGATTCTGTTGTAACTTTATGACTCCAGGTAAGTTCACTGATGAATATATACTCATATTGTTTATTAATCAAATTTTATGTTCATTCTAAGACGTAGTAGGCCTACGTCGATTATTCTGGACACATGGATTTGAAAGCTCAAATTTCGTAGGTGATCTGTGAACACTATCACTGATTGACAAAGCCAAAATATTCCCCTTTCTGAGAATAAAGAATTATTGGTCCCACAAAATGGCGCATCTGACCTTTTGAGACGATATAACTAAATGATTATTGAAACACACTTCTAAGCATGCTTCAACATTTAGTTTAATGAATTATTACTTAGTTTTATGGATTTTTTGGATTATAGAGGGATTCTGTTGTACACTATGCAGGTCCACTGATGAAAATAGACTCATTTTTGCCAAGGTTTAAAATTTCAATTTTTTGGTCATCCTAAGAGGTAGTAATTTACCTTTATGTCGGTGTGTATTATGCTTTATACTTTTAAGCATCCACCTACCAATAAATTAAGCAATTAGTGCAAACTTAAGCAGGACGTCGTACTTATCCACGAGAGGCACATCGAACATTAAACCATCTACAAGTCAAGTTAACCCTTACTTTCAGAATACAGATGCCAATATCTAACATTTTTTGTGTTTTTCAACATTTTGTTTAACTGTGAAAAAACTTACCTCAAGGGCAACTGTATCTGTGAATTGTTACTTTTTTGGAAAATATTTTATTTTAATGTAGAAACAATCGATAATATGCCTAGCGAAACCTATTGCATCAATTTTATTAAATTGATTTGTCAAACTATTGTTTGAACGCTCTTTACGCATCTATGGATTTCTATATAGAATGTGAGGTGCTGGGAATACATCAAAGTACTATAATAACATTATGTCAGCCACACAAAAATATCCACGTCAAAACACGCCTACTGATGCAAACTGTAGAAAACTGCGCAAATATCAAATATTATCAACTGGACTCTCCCTTTTTACCATGAAAATAGTTTGAAATACTATACATGCCTATATTAATTGTGCAATATTTCAGGTTGAACTGTCTGTAATCACATAGACCAAGAAAGTCAAACAAAACAAGTTTGACTTCTTTGTTAGGAGGAAATGTGACCAAAGAGGGTTATTTCTTTGCGCGAATATCATCTATATTTTATATCCTGCACTTGATATGGCTAATGAAGACGGAGAAAGCCATGAATTATAGAATAATGCAAGGACAACAATTTTCACAGTCCCATCCGGCCTAAGACACATCTGGCTAGTCAGCTTCTCAGAACTACATCTCTCGACCTATCGTACCCTGGTTAGCCAGCAGGGGTAACGCCCCCATCCTCCCTTCCGCAAAAAACGTACACTTTATATTTTTTAGAATTTAAAATATGATTTCTATTCTAAAGTTATATGTCAGAATGCACCATATAAATCCCTTTTTTTCCGAGAACCACCATCAGACCTTATATGCAGGGAATCTCTATCCATAAAAGTTGCCCCGTCAGTCTGCTCCTATTCTTACCTCCAGATACGGGAGACTGAACCACCGCGTTGAATACCAAGAATAAAGGGCGACAGCTATCTTTAACTGAATTTTGAATCTCTTTTGGTCTCCCAAGGTTTCATTCATCCGAATTGTGTGCATTTTGTAAATCATATACAAGAAACAATTCATACTTATTTCTAACAATGACACCGTATTAAGGTCTTTTCACTTTTGCCAAAAATGTGCCAAAAATGGAAAGATAAAAGTGTTGTGTAAATATGTGCCTTGTCAAATGATAGAGCTCATTTTGAGACAATCTTATGACCTGTAGAATTAGCTATTAGAAGTGGCTTTAATTTGTTTGAAAACATATCATTATCAATTTTCAATTCTGCATATACCCGAAATACATGGTCAAACTTGATGACACTTTCACACATTTTCACTAATTGGGACAATCACTAAAACTAAAACTCTACACTACTTTAATAACACAGTTTTATTACTTTTCATATAACCCTAGATACAAACATGACTGTATAAGGGTAAGAGGGGAAGATGGGGATACAATGTTTATATCTACATCATACATTGATTCACAGGGTTATAAACACCACCATACATATTATAGACGGGAGAAATAATAAAATATGTGGGCTCTTTAAGAATTTATAAAAAAAAATTCTCAAGTCTACCTTAAGCTATCTTCTAAATGCATTGGGATCTTTTTTTTTTTTTTTGACATATTACAGGTAGCTATTTTGGGAGCAATTGGCTTTGTAGATATTAAAGACTATGCAAAATTCTCTCAGAAAATGGTTTGTTGAACAAAAGTAATGGGATTAAGCTTCTTAAGGGATCCAGTTGAATAAACATTTGCTTAATTTGTCAATAGAGCTGAATTATAGATAGCTGAAATAGAGCTACAAATGGTGAAGCAAATCTTTACACAACAAAATCCCTTTAATATTTAAGATATTTGGATCAAGGTGGAGAAATTTCAAGTTAAAATAAGAATATATTTACAAATAAAAAGATTAAAAGATAAGAATATAGATTAGAGTGAAACTAAGAATACAGATGTAAGAAATGTACAGGGCTGGTGCAGGGAGTAGAGCTGCACTTTAACAAAACACATTACATACCATTTAAATTTACAATTCAATGTTCACACAAAAACACATTTACACTCTTAAAATTTTAAGGCAGAGTTTTGGGGTTACAAAATGATGAAGAATATCCAATGAAATATAAATAAAATTTATGTCCTGTTTTGTTCTTCCATTTAAAGGATTAGCAAAGAGAGGGTTTGATGCCAACTTTCCAAGAGTTTTCTTTTAAATTTTTTAAAAATGTTCTGAAGAACTCAAGAGGATGTGTATTTTGAGAAACCATATTTTGAAACAGATAAAGTTGTAATGACAAGCTGAATATAAGATGGTAAAATTTGGGAAATCAGACAGTTTTTGTAAAAGTTAAAATCAAATGAAGCTTATTTAACAAGCATTACTCCCTATAATGAAAAAACCGAACATTTCGAAAGTGACAAGTTTGAGTCATGATAATCATTGATTGCTGTTTTTTTTTTTATAAACCTAGCATTCACTCCCTTTTCATTTTGTTTTTTGACTGGATATTCTATAACTATAACTATAATAATTTCAGTGATACAATGTAATACTTTTAAATCATGTAAGTAATGCAATTTGGGAAGAATATATAACAATGAATATATTATTCTGTACATGGATATATATTGTTTCCAAATTGCACCATCTTAAAGTTTGTTCACCCCCAGTGGTAAATAACATCTAATATATAAACTTAAAGGGTAAAAATACCACCAGGTTAAATAATATTTTTTAATTATGGTTAAATGTGAACACAAATATATCTTAGTTTCAAGTACAAATCGGAAAATCTTACTTTCTTAAAATCAAAATCTTCCATGAGCCAATTAAGCACAAAATAATTGATACTGAAGCAATTTCACAACACAAAATTAAAAATATTGTTCTATAAGCAGTTTAAAATATGACTGTATATTTACAAACTAAATATAACATCAAATGACCTATTTTATATACACAAACCCATGCCAGCACAGGAATTTTACAAAATATATAAAAACTTCTCTAGCCTTGCTTCCACAAAACATTTTTTATTTTCAACTATCTGATATTAAATCTTTCTCCATCTCCCTTGCAAGAATTTTAAAAGGGGAATTTGATATTGCCAACATATAAAGAGGCTGCCATCTTCAGCTCAAAACACTAAAAGTTTTGTGGATTCAGGTAAAACTATGTTGTAAATAGCCCTTATACTTTCATTGCTTGGTCAATAATATAGAGGTTACATGGTTTTCAATAAATAACAATTTTCTATTTTACACTCCTGTTTACAAAACCTTTGATATCTGAATGTTATACTACTTCTGAATCCATGATCACCATCTACAAGATTTATCTATTTCATAAAATGAAAATCTAAAATCTGTGAGTTCATAAATTCATTAGTAATATATCATGAAAATGTTTCTAAAAAAAACTTCATTTCGATGTAATTCTACACTGTCATAATCTTATCATAGTATTTTGAATGTAATATGAGAATAGTAGAAAGATTTTGACATAATTAGGGAAAAGTTGAAGGATTTAACAAAAAATAATAACATTAAACCTTTGAAAACACAGGTGACTTTATTGCCAACAATGTTCCATTTAGTGATACAAAGGGTTAAAACTGCAGTACAATTCATCAGGCACTTCACTAATAACAAACAGCAACTTCTTTAACAAACAATTTAACAAATGTAACATCATAAATAATGAAATTTATATCGTGGAATTTACAGGTTTAATACCATGTATTTCTCTCCAATTCAGCAACTATTCATAAGATCCCATCTTAAAGATGGCTGACCCTGTTTCTGCAGATTAATTTTTATTTAGTAAAGTTCCTCACTATTGGATAATTTTTGAGAAACAAAGGCCTGAACTGAAAATATTACAGGGACCTAAAAGAGGATTTTTACCTTTGAATAATAGGGAACACTTACAACTTTCTACTGGCACCATTTGGATTTCCCAGAAGATATTTGTGGTTACAGTAATAAAGAATGAATGTAACCAGATTTAGACTTCATAAAGACCATTTGACTTGCCTGGTACTTGTAATGGTGAGGTATTATCTGTTTAAGATTCTTGGAGACTTCAGGAAATCGAAATGGTACAAATATTTTATAAAAATTGCCTTTTTAATTTAACAATATATTCTCAAACCCAGCAGTTATTTCGTCAACATTGATAAAAATATCCATTACACACATCTACAGTTCACATTAAACTCTTACTGAAAGTTTTCATCCAACATGAGCTTCATAACAGATTGACTAGTTTTCAGAAAGTAATATTTTCAATGGCGCCAAAATATAAAAGCTTAAGCTTCATTCAAATATGGAAGAGTGCAACAATCTGTATAGTCGCTTATCTGAATAGCATGCATGAACCTATGTGTATAAATCATATGGAAATGTAAAAAAAATCCTGATGATTTAAATGAAAGTTAAAAGACTATTATACAATAAAAATAATGAAATGTTTGGAAAATTAAAAGCATGATTTTGAAATGATAAAATTTTTTGATAGTGTCATTACATTCCGTAATTAGTGTTATGAAGTTATTAAAAAGATTATCACAAATTTATAAGCAAGATGAATAAAATGGGCACTGAAACTGATAAGTCTTGAAACATGAATGAGAAATAATAAAGAGCAAGGAAAGAATTGAGCATAAAATAAAACGACAGAAAGTTAGACGACAGAGCAACATTTAGATTCTACACTAGGTACTACAATACACTGTGATAAGTCTGGTTTACAATATGTTGGTTGTATACCATTACTGTTAATATCAGTTAGTATTTTATTAGTAGATTTTAAACTACCATTCAATTGACAGTCATCAGTACATAGAGACTTCTTCTCTACTGGTTCATACTCTTGTCCAATATCACTAAAAGCTCTTGACTGTATCTCCATCATTGACTCTGTATCAGTATGTCCAATATAATGACTGGCTAAAGATGTGAAAGAACTTTGACTGACTGTATTTTGACTATTTAAATTCTGAGGACTGTGACTACAATTTCCATTATGAGTCGACACTGATTTAGCACTAATTTGACTTAGTCTATTAGTCAGCACTTTCATATTGACATCAAGATTATGTCCGATATGATTTTGTCTATGTCCTTTAGATTTCCCACCACTATTATCCTTTCGATTTGAATTTCTATCATCTTTATCCTGAGAATTAGGAGGTCCAGAACCTCCTCCACCACTACTACCTCCTCCACCATTAAATCTGGCACCACTGCCATAGTTACCACCATGTCCACTAGGCCCATCAGTATCACTAGAATGATCACTACTGTCTCTTCTGTGAGCAAACTTATGCTTTAGTTTATCTTTCCTTGATCTGCCTTCAGCTTCATCATTGTCACTAGCATCTGAGCTGCTGCAGCTTGTACCACGTTGACCAGCTCCTCGTCTTTTTGTTCTTTGTTCATATTTTCGTAGTATTTCAGGTGAAGCAATACCACTGTGTTTGACAAACATGGCATTTGTAGGAAATTTTGAGGGTACAATATCATCTTCATCATCAGATTCATTTTCTTCAAATATCTGATTTAGTAACTGAGGTGAACTACATACAGATTTCAAAGTTCTTTTAGGCTGATCATGACTTGGTGAAGTTACCTTCAAAATAGGCGTAGAAGATGTAGGTTCATCAATTATATCAAGCAGATTTTCCATTGACTTCACTGGCCTGGGTTCAACCTCTACTTCCATAAACTCTTCTTTACAAATCGAAGTCTCTGATGATTCTTCTCTTATCAAGCTGCATTTACGCATTCGACTTGGTTTGTTGCTTGTATCCGGAACTGACTTCTTTCTAGAACTACCTGCAGAAGGGTGTACTCCTGGTGGTGAGAGCAAAGACTGTACATAGCCTGTCTTAGATGTGTCCTTATCCTTTGTACTTTGGGTCATCACTCTAAAAAACATAAGAATATTAAATTAATAAAAAAAGAAATTCAAGACAAATTGAAGAAATGCATAGATTTAAAGATGTGAGAAAGTGTAACATTTTATATGAACATTATAGAATAAAGTGATTTTTTATATATATATATATATTAAAACTTCAAGAAATATTCTTCAATTAACTTCATCTTTTACATATTTGATTTGAATTCATGCACAGGAAGGGTTCACTTCGCAATGTTTAACTCGGGTGGGCTTTGTTAACTGATGGAAACATAATCACACACTCTTTCACCTTAATATAATGTAGTATAAATCTTTCCATGGAACTATCCTTAGAAAAATCCTTCCCTTAGTAATTCAATAATTTAAAGAAAGAAGGCAGTGGGTGCTACATCAATTAAATAGTGAAAAGAAATTTTTGTAAAAACTAAAAAATGTGTGATATACAAAACACAATACTAATCTCACATCTGTTTGAAGGACAAGGTCAATAAATCTGATAGATTTGACCAAAGATTATGATCATTACATTTGTTACTTTGATCTAGCAAATACAAATTGTCGTTAATTTGTGCGATGCTGAACCTATTTCATCACCTACAATGAGTATCTGGAATGAAAACTAGAGCAGTGTATTGTGTTTGTAAATAGAAAAGCAGGTCAGTAGAATCAATCTGGGCTATCATATTTATTTCATGTACAGTAATCACTGATAACCTCTTTAAAATAAATGTTATTTCTAGCATAGAATTTCAGTTAATAAGGCCAAGGATTTTTCACATAATACAAGTTCCACAGTTGCTTAACATCATGCAGTTTTCTAACCAATATATTGATTACCTATATTTCAGTCTTTTATATCAAACTTAAATTATTTACATTCTTGCAACAATCATGCACATATCACACACACAATATTGAGGTAAGAAATAAAACCAACACCAATACTGTTTCCCCCGAAACATTTTGCAATGTCATTTATTGTCATAAGTATAATAATCCTCAAATAAAAAGTTTAAAGTTTAAAATAATATAGATATTTTGTTTGTTGACAAAACTCGAGTAAAATTTTTCACACGAAATATATATCAATTGAAAGTTTAAATGAAGCTAGACATATTTAAACCTTTCATTTGTTGTACTCGAATTTTGTCAACAAACATACTGATTTTGCAAATTAAGCCGTGCCTGATACTGTTTGAAAGCATTGCATGATTTGCATAAATTATGTCTTTACAAGTTGAAGCCATGTCAAAATCTTAAAAGCAAAATAAAAAAAAAAATGAGGATAAGAAATAGAACGCTCACTGACTTATCACTGAAACAAAACAAGGCAAAAAATATAAAGATATATGGTTTACGGGTAGCAATATAAAGATATTTTGTGGTTGTTACCCTTTAGTATAATTCTCATCACATGGAAAACTAAGTGTTGCGACAGTAGTTGTTAATCCCTTCTTTTTGACCCTTAGAAACAAAGAAATTGATGTCATAATAAAACAAATACTACTAATTTTTACACTTTAAAAAAAAAAATTATTTCTGTGCCGTAGAGTTAAGACGTAAAATTGAAATGTATACCATGGTGTGGCTATTCATTTTAATTTCCTTGGTTTTTAGTAAAAGTAATGGTTACATTTCTTAATTGTTGGTATTTTTTTTTCTTCATAATAATCATATTGTTGAAGTTGTATCAACTGATTTGTATTGTACTAGTACACTGTATTACCATACACAAGTTACATATTTATGTATAACGCTGGTAAATTAAATAATTATATAGGAGGAAGTGTGTTCTGCATCTTAATTCAAATCAATTCAACCATTATAAATTCAAGCAATGATAAAATAAATACATGTGGGGTCATATCACACACCATTCCTGAGAAATGAAATAAAATTAATCACAGAAATGATTAAAAATGAAATTGAACAATATGGATAGGAGCAAAACAAATTAAAATGATATATTTCTGCAAATGAAAATGATTTTTCGGCAGAAAATAAGGATACATTGACTGGAGAAATATTTATTAGATTACATGCAACATTGTTAAAATCACTTTAAATTTGCATGGTCTTATACTATGTTTCATAGATTGCTTTGAAAGAAATACTGACTTGAATAATTCTAGTTTAATTCAATAATAAAACTGCTAATCTACAATTGTACATATATCACTAACTGATATTTGTTTAAATCTAAACAAAATTCTTAAAGCTGTAATTTTAGATCTAAGTAAGTGATTTTAGGAATGTTAGAAGGGCTACTTGTATTAAAGAGATGACTGAAAGTAAAGCTGATGCAGAGATGAAAAAAGGGGAGATTACTCTGAATGCATCCACAAAAACACTATCTATTGACTTGCAAACATTTATTGGGATCCAAATTATGGACAATTACTTCTCTGTCTTTTTGCGATTTCCTTGTTTGACGAAAAAGCCAGCTTTTCTTTCAGCAGCAGGGGTGTTTCCTGAGGCAGTAGCTACAGCTTTTCTTTCAAAAAATGAACTAAGTATTGCTATTTTAGAAAATGCCTTCTGAGGTTTCTTTGGTGATTTACTTTCAAGAGTTTTATAGGAGCCTGGAGGTGCTTCCGAAACTGATAATGGTTTAATGTCAACTTGTGGACTAACTGCGCCAGATATAATAGCTTTCTTCTTCTTATTTTGACTATTTTTTCTATCAAGAGTCATTGAATCAGTAATAGATTTGACAAATTCTGGTTTGGTACCAGGGCTATTTAAACCTAATGGGAAATTAGAAAAGGGTTCTATAATATCAGAAGTAGGTAAACATTGTAATCCTAAAGGAGCTGTTTTTGTCTTCTTTAGTTCCTTCTGTTTGCTAAAAAATGAAACAGAAATTTCAGATGTATTAATGATGATGAAAGGCAAATAATAGGGAGAGGTGAAACTAAACACCGCAAAAAGGACAATAAACCAAAAACTAACCAGAACGAACCAAAATATATTTATGTTTGAACATCATATAATTCTGACAGAATTCACCATTATATATGTGTAATGTACAATTTATTGTTAGAATAACAGCATGCAAGTAACAATCAACTTAACAACGCTTAATGCTTTTAAATTTGTGCTTTCTTGGGTCATACATAACAACATTCTCTCTAACAGTTTATCATTGAACACTTATTAATGATGCGCATAATATTAGTCATTCAACTCACATAACTTTCCAATTTGATGTATCAATGAATGCTGACAGTTTAATTAGAATAAACAGGAATTTCAATTTAATTTATGTATAATTGGAAACCTAGGGAGTTGAAATGTGTAACTAATTTAGCAGCCAGTTTGTAAATGTATTGAAAGCTAGGTCCTGATTTTAAGTAACAATGCAAGCTTTCAGATCATTGCAAAATCAATTACCGTATAAACGTTCCGCCAAAAGCGAAATTTTCAACTGGCTCACACCTATAGTTTATAAGATATTGTGTACAGATTTATTATAGACAGTTTAATCAACAGGTTGTGTGAAGACCATTGAAACATGCAACAGTAGACAATAAAGATAATGTGTAGCTATCCCAAAAGTGTGCAAACAGAGAAAACCTGAAAGTTTTCACGACTTTGAATAAGTGATATGATTCAAAGACATAAATTAAATCGACATTTTACCAATTACAATAGTATTTGAGTTGTTGAAGATATATGATAAAGCATAGGCAACAGATGTCATACTATCTGACATTGCCATTATATAAGAGGTAAATATTGTATATTGAGATGTTGTGACTGATGAGAGATACATACCGTGGAGATAATGATAATGGTTCCAAATGAGGTTTACCAGAACCATGACTAGCATCAGATTTCTTACGTAAATGGGTCATGGCTGCTGCATGTTGATGTTGAAATTGTTCATGTTTTTTCAGACGTCGTTCAACTAAAAGATAATATGTGGCTGCTATATGATCGTAACCATCTTTATCTAAAGACCTGAAAAAAAAAAAAAATACAAAAAAATATCTTTCAACAATGAACATAAAGAACCTAGTAACTCAAATTCTTTTCTCTGAAATACAGTCAACATTAAACTCTTATCAAATGGGGTACCAGCATCATAGAGTCAGAACATGCGAGTTTGTCTGCTACATGGTACTCATAGCTGCAAGCCTAACAAGTGGTTGTCTAGCAAGATACTCCCACTTTCCTGATACATTTTCAGTATATCAAGGGCGGTCACCTATTTGTGTCAAATCATTTGCATGTGCAAGATATCGTTGATTTAAACAAACACACATTATTTAATAAAATTCTGACATAAACTGTTACCTCTATCGCCAATAAATTTTGATGCGTTTCAACTAAGTCAAGGGCAATAACTCAAATTCTGTTGATCAAAAAATTGTCAAATTCAATCATTATAAATGATCATACCAAATTTCATATAATCAGATGAAAACTATACTCTCCATTGTGTTCAGAAACAAATTTTTCAGAAGTCAAGGGCATTAACTCAAAAACCGATCATCCAAAGATAGCCAACTTCGAACTTGTCCAAGATATCATCACTATAAATATCAACACCAAATTTAATTTATATTGGATGAAATCTGCAGTCTTTATTGTGTTCACAAACAAATTTTGACCCGTTTTTCATAAGTCAAGGGCAATAACTCAAAAACCGTTCATCCAAAGATTGTCAATTTCAAACTTGTCCAAGATCTCATTAATATAAATGATCACACCAAATTTCATTCCAATCAGATAAAAACTGTTGTCTCTATTGCGTTCACAAGCTAATTGTGGACTGACGGACGGACCAACGGATGGACAGACAGGGGCGACGACAATATACGACATTATAATGTGGGTGTATAAAAAGGCAAAATCAGTATCTTGATTCTCAGGACTATTAAAATTCATTCCAAGACATGCTATATACATTATAAAGTGAAATTGAATTCCCTTTGTATTAATATTTTAAATCGGCATTTTTCCGATAAAAAGATCAATTTTATACAAATTTCAGAGCCAGACAAAAATTTATTTCACCGAAATTCTAAATCCATTTTTCTAAATTTGCTATTTTATTTTTTTCAATTTTGCTCCGCAAATTCTCTTGAATTGTAGTATTTACGAAAAACGGTCATGTGTACAAAGTGTACGTGTCAAGTGATTAGATGACGCTAGATCAACAAGATGAAAATTACAATGGAGCATCAATAACAATATACGTCTGGATATTCCAATTTTAGATTCTATCATATGGAGGCAAGGTAACATACGCCCACTGGCAGCTGTCAGAAATGATAAAACAGTCTTAAGTGAATAAAGTAAGAACTTTCTCATATTGAAGAAATTTTATTAGTAAGAATTCAATTATATACATATATATGCCAGTTATTTATGCTGAGTAATTCCCACAAAATTTTAAAAAATCAATATCAATAACACAAATACAACAAATAATTAAATCACACAGATCTAATCAAAGGCAAAAAAAAAAATTTTGACGCGTTTTTCCTAAGTCAAGGGAAATAACTCAAAAACCGTTCATCAAAAAATCATTAAGTTCAAACTTGTCCACGATCTCATCAATATAAATGATCACACCACATTTCATTAAAATCAGTTCAAAACTGTAGTCTCTATTGTGTTCACAAACAAATTTTGACGCTTTTTTACTAAGTCAAGGGCAACTCAAAACCGTTCATCAAAAATACGTCACGTAAGAACTTGTCTGAGATCTTATCAATTCCAATAAAAAGCAGGACTATAGATAAATGAACACAAGTCTATATACCAGTCACTACTGATATGTCCTACTTCACTACAGTACCACCAAGCAGACTGATTCTGCCCATACCTTATTGGAAACTGTTGGCAAGATTCTATTTCATTAACAAGAAATGCTTACAATGTCCATAACAATATTATTAATCTAGGTTACTGTCCTCACAAGAGTTAACAATATTGATCATTGGTCTAAACCAATTCTTGTATGTAAAACTCAATATCATTCAGACTATTATTTCTATAGATAGCGCTAAGGAGTGAGAAATGTCAAGTGTTATAAGGCTGAAGGGCATAGCCTACTTAAAAAATGTCCAGAATAAAACTAAATATGAGTATTTCAGTATGTATGTAGTAGGTAAAACATGCAATAAAATCAAAAGTAGTATACCATTAAATGTTACGTTCATAAATATTAATAAGTTAAAGAAAGCCTTCATGCTTAATTTAGAAATTTCAAAATTACTTTATATATCATTCCAAGGTTTGCTGGTCATCACAAGAAGGTTTATTCTGTTTTGTATATACAATTTAAGATGTAGAATAAAATATGAGAGTAGTAGTGTTTGTGAGTTAACCTCTTTAACTAGTCTAAGTAATATTTCTAGCTGAGATAAAGATAATAATGGAAGTAAAAGTTGAAGATAGAACTGTCTGTAAGTTAAGAACAATGATTACTTGTCAATAATTACATACAAATCTATAAGACCAAGATAATTACAGTACACCTAAATACTCTTTACACAATAACTCATCTAGGGCTCAATAATAAATACAACCTACAGCTATATAGTGTTTTAGCACCTGGAGATCAGCTAAGATGTATAACAGTAGGCTTGTAATTGGCACTGAAAATCCATATAAATAATTACTTTTTGAGCAACACCACAGAACTAATGGAGAAATATGTATAGTTTTTCAACATTTCAGACAGAATTGAAATTTTGTTCAAATGTAAGTATACTCATTGTAATTTCTACAATACATACAGAACTTTGTCTTTCTGTCACATTAACTTAACTTGCTAAACCAAAACATTTCAGGTCAGGTCATAGAAGGTCAGGTCATAGCAAATGGTATAAATACAATTTGAAACAGAAGCAGTTTTCATTTTGACATACATTTTAACTAACGGTCCAATAATTATATTTTTGTCAATCAGAGTCAATATCAACACTGCTTACTATTTACATTAGAAATTGGAATATAGACAGAACCCAAGGCTAGATACCAAATATACTTCAAGGCTACAGACTATTGACAACACTTTTAATTATATAGTATATATATTATGATAAACTCTTCCCAAATCATAAATATAACCTACAGATTAAAATGTTTGATGTAGCACATTAAAGAGTTTTCTTCATGAATTAATTCCAATCAGTATAAAACCTAAACCCTTTCCTGCTTCACAGGCCCGATTTGTACTTATGTCTAATAGGCTGGTCATGAAATAGTCATTGATCATTTAACAAAGTCGGAAGAGAGTCCGAGTAGAACATGTTACCTTATTCACACCTTCTCAAAATTTAGACACACTAACCAAGGTTAACTAAAGTTACAATGTATTTAATATTCATGATATTCGAAATATTTATAGCTGGTCAGTGTAAATAAATACCAAAACATTGAAAACAAAAAATGAAGAGATATGATGGTATTATATGATATATTTTATCTTATCATAAGAAGATAGGTAAATTTATCTATTTAACATAAGGCTGAGTATTCAAGGTGAGGACATTCAAATGTAAATAATATACTTTTATAAGAGATTTTAGTACTAGGTTTTTCAATTACAAAATATTAGATGTAATAGTGTGTCAATGTCCTGTTATATATATATATAACTTTTATTGCTTTTCTCCTACAGCATGGCACATTACCCTTGATTCACTTCAATACCCGAGAGCTATCTATATCTGTTTACATCAATAAGATTAATCTACTATCTCTATTGAATATATCTACACAATTTTCTATTTCAAAAATATGGTTCATTACAAATGATATAGTAGAAAATGTATGATATGTATAAAATAAGCTACAATATTCAAGCAAAATGTCAAAGCAAATGTCTTGATTGATAACATTCATATTGTCAATTTCAAGATGGAAGCAAGATAAATATATTCATCTAATCATATCCCAATCAGTTACCATGATAAAATCCATCGACTCAGAGAATTGTATTGTTTCCTAACAATAGATAATGATGTCAGAAATGTATAAAACAAGCAGTTTGAATCATATATACTAATAGAAACATTTAAACCATAACAAATGCACCTTTAACAATTTAATAATAATAATAGTGCATACCAAACATGTAGACAACACAAACACATAGATTATGTTTTATCGTGTTTAAAAATCTTCACATAACATAGTGTCAAAGAATGCCAAAATAAATAGAATATGGTAAAAATATGCAAAACATACTATTAACAGCTGATTAAATAAGATACATAAAAAGAAAAGCAGAGCTGTAACCATCCATATGTTAATTTTTTTTTTTATTAAACTATATGTTAATTGATCTGGGAGAACTGAGTGATTTTGTGATCACAGATCACATAAATAAAACTTTTGTTATAATTGGTTTTGTTATATCTGTCTACAATGACATTGGCCAAGATAGCCTGCCAGACAAGACAAGAAAATATACATCCACTGGTAAATGTCAGAAATATAGTCAGATAATAGTGTCTTTATAAACTAAAATACAAATTTTCTTATCTCAAATATTTCTTAATGCATACTTTGTAGTTAAAATAACTCTTGATATATATTAATATCTCATCAATTTATAAGTTAGAAATACTGAGTTTTCCTTAAGGTCTATAACTAAAACATTCATTCAATTAATGCCAAATTAGGAGGACTGTACCAAGATCTCATCAATATATACATGGTACCAAGTTTCAACAAGATGGTGCCTCAAGTTCAATTCCACATCTAATTCAAGGGTAATGAATTTTAAGAACCATTAATCAGAAAATCTAGGAAAGCCTCTTAAAGGGATTGTTAAGAAGTTTTCTCAATTTTGTATGCGTATTTGGGATAATGATAGCATCAATTTGCACCATTCCAATTTTCAATCAGATGTCTGTTCCTGCAATTCCAGAAAAATTGCTAGAACCACAGATGTCTGATTGAAAATTGGAATGGCACAAATTGATGCTATCATTGTACGGATACACATAGCAAATTTAGAAAACCTCTTTACAATACCTTTAATAAATAATTTCATACTGAAGAAAGCAGCCCCTGAATTAGTTAAATAAGTAAAATTGTTAGCCAAAGTCTATCTAGGTCAAGCTGAAACAGTTTTTATTGCAACTTAATATCATTCTTATGTTTTACAAGTAATAGAGAGGAAACAAGACAGTCTACATGTAATCACAATCAAATGGGAAAGAATAATACTCAAGTCTAAGGGGTGAATAGTAATGGTGATATTTTAAGAAGAACTTGCTGCTAATGTGATGGTAGAAAATTGTCTATTGACTTCATTACACAGAACCTTTCAGACATATACAATTACAATGGTAGAGAAAATAATTCTTATGTAATTGTAATCTATATGTAATCAAATAAAAGGTCTCTGACATGAAATGGACATTACAAATATAATAGATTTTCAAATTTCATAGAACGAAACAAATCTATTTATTTTGGAGGAATATTGGGTGATATAAAATAAATATTATTGAATTATTTTTTTCAAAAAAGGCACAAAACAGATCATTTACTTGTAAAAACAAAATAATATCCTCTATAAGTTCAGACATCACTGTATATTCCTGCCAAATCAGAGTTATTATGTTCTGTTTTAAAAAACTAATAATATGGTTGGTTGATACCTAATTTAACTATTATACTTAAAGACTATTTGTGGCACTCCAATTTTGAAATGACCTTAACCTTGTGAATGATGGCACATCATAGGCCTGTCATTAGATCTAACCATACCCTTAATAAGTCATTTTATCTCAGATAATGATCTAGAACATGGTTAGCGTACATCATTACTACTGACCTCAATAATATAAATATTTCTGATTGGTCAATATACTGATTACTATGAATTGTTTAATAAGATATCTTGATAGAATTGGCAACCATTTTTAATCTTTACATGAGATAGGCCTGTTTCCAACTTGACAAAAAAGAATTAAAAAAAATGTGAGTTACATTTCAACAATAGGCACTGGCACTGGGTTTAAAGAGATACAACATACAGTGTTCAGTTAATTTAGAAAAACAAACTAAAGATTAGACTGGAAATGTTCAGAGCCTCATATAAATTCTCTTAATACTCACTCTAAAATCTCTTCTTTCAGTGCTATTTTCCCTTCAACCATCTTCTGTATAACATATTCATGATCTTCCTCTGAGACATGTTCTCTGGATATTAATGGCATACTTGATGGTAAATAATCTATACCACATTCTAATCCATACACTAACCAGGGATTACTTAATATTTCACTTAAATTAGCTCGTTTTGATGGTTCTCTAACTAACATTCTGGATATTAAACTGAAATATAAGAAATTTTTAAAGTAAATAATTTAAATTTCATTCAAGTTACAGAGTATGTGATAAATATTATAAAGTTTAGAAAATATCCTCAGGGACTATCAATTAGTGTAAATTATATCTTACCGACCGACCACTGAACTACTTAAACTGTAAATATCTGTGTTGTAGCTTAAATTGTTTCAAACTTTTCAACACAATTTTCAGATGTCAACTCAAATTCTAACAAGCATTCACCCAAAAGGCTGTTAGCCCACACAACATTGAATTTCATGGCAGGTTTTATCTTTATGAAAATCATCTCTAACCCATCTACAAATATGCATAAGTCCCTTCAACTTGAAAATAATCCAAACAAAAACAAATTTGCATTCATAAGACAATGTTGATATACTTTTAATGTGTGGGCATATAAAAATGAATATCATACAAATACAGAAAAATACAATTAAATTTTGAGTATGGCAGTCACTAGGACTAATAGACAGGCTGAACCTAAAGCAAACATAGTCCTTTAAGCACAGGCTGTATATTTGATTTCTTTTCTGACTTAATAAGACATCTGGTATAAGGTAATACATGAACATTACCAATTCCAATTCACATCCCATCTGGGACATCTCTTAAAGAGAATTGTCAGACTAAATCTCAATTCTCATTTATTCTGGAGACTGAGGTATTTTCTAGCAAGTTATAGGTATTGATTAGTTAATCATCCTGCCATTTCTATATGTAGATTACAACGATGCTGAACAAAAACAGATTAAGAGCAATTACAATCACAGAGATACTTCATTTATTTCTATCCACAGGACTAGACAAGACAGTCAGTAAACTACAAACAAATCTTTTTTTTTTTAATTGTACAACTAACAAATTTAACATACATTTCTTTTTGTGAAATAAGACATTTGTTAACAAGATTTTGCAGCTAAGACAAAATGATTTTGCCCAATGCCCATAGCCATGTACACGACTTTGAGGGACAGATTTGACATTTTCAGGGTTGATTTGGGTTTTGAACATAAGTAAATAGTCTTCAAAAGTATAAGAAATCACATAATTGACTATTTCTATGGTGTCATATATGACAGTGTATCAAGAATCTTTATAACATTTAAATGCGTATAATTCTGGACACACATGAATTTGAAGGCTTCAAATTTTAACGGTGAGCTGTGAACATTATTACCATACTGATTATCTTAGCTTAATAATTCTGATGGCCAACCCGTCCCATTCAGTGTTATAACTAATTCTCATTATGCCTTTTGACCCATGTCTTCCATTTGAGAAAGGTTTTCAGATAGGATGCAGAATCTAATATTTAATGAGTACAGCCTAATAAATTAGATTTGCAAGTATGTGTAAGTGGAAGAAGTAATTGTAATTAATATAAATAGAAGTATTAATGAGTTCCACACTTCACAAATAATAAACTTCCTGCTGTCTATAAATAACCTTCATTAGACAACCAGAATAGATCCCATACTAACACAAGTTTTTAACTGAACAATTCTTGGTATTCAGCCAATTCCAATAATATCTTTTTAACATACATGTAATTTTGGCAAATTGTTATAGTTTTCACTGCCGGTACCTATCAATCTATATCATGATGGAAGAGAAGTTTTTTTCATTATATATTAATTTGCCAAGGTGTCGGGTGGAACCCTGATTAAAATAACCCTATGTTGAATTGGCTTTGATCGTTCACACCAAAGAATCATCTGCTGAATAGCAGTTTTTTTGTAGCCTTTATTAACTACCTACCTGAGCATACATCCAATTTACCCAATTTACATCTAGATTTAGGTACTGTATTATTATTTTACCAGATGTCATTGTCAGGTTTTAGAAATCAATACAAAGCTATTATAGCTATATATAACTTGAGAAAATTGAAAGGATGCCATGTAAATGATTATTGGAATGAAAATGGCAACTTGAAAATATCCTGTCTTTTTAAATATTTAAAAGAATCCTCAGTTTAGTTTTAGTCTGTGACAAAAAGAGGTTAAAAAACAGTAACTTTTAGAGAAGATTTTGAAAGATTGGTCCAAACTGTCAAGAAAGCTATTGCGACTAGGAGTGAATTATAGTTAAGAATTCAATCCAACAATTTATATAGAACTTTAAATACTAGCAATGACACTGCTGTTTATTTGCTTATGTCAATACCTATTATACTATTACAAAATATTTTTATTATTAAAATAGTGTTGAATACATCAATTGTAGAGCAATACAGAAATATTAAAACAGAAACATGTTGTTAATAATACTGTTTAAAGTAGGCTGTACAAAAATATTCCATAAGCTTATTCAGTCGCCCATTTAAAATAATTAAATTCAGTGGTTCTTTGCATGCTTCTCTGTGGAACTCTTCTTAAAGAACATAAATCTAGTCCTTGTATTCACCCCACACGTGAACAACAATGACACTGATGAAATTCTTTTATGGGAAAAGGTGAAGGGGGCTTACAAGTAGTGCTGGCGCAATATATCTGTGAATCAATGTATCGCAATACGTCATGCCATGAAACATGTATCGTATCAAGACGTCATGTATCAATACTTGACGATACCTTTCATTCCATAAAAAGTGGATATTTCTATCATCTACATTACCAAATATCACAGATATAAAATTATAAATTAATATAAATAGAAACTTTGAAGATAAAATTTTATACACAAAGTTAATCCAATCAGCTCTCAGAATTTAATAAGTTTTGTAAAAGTGAAAGAGGAAAACATTCTATAAATTCAAAATAAAGTGTTTGAGCTTTCAGTTTATAAGTTGCTTAGTAGGTCTTGAAGAATCAAGTCATGTTTTATTTGTATTGCCAGAGATGGTATTTAATTGGCACATAATGTTCTCTGACCTAATCCAGTGTTTCTAGAAGCTGCCAAATGAAATGCCATGCCAGAGTATGATGGGCCTATCAAGATTTGTATAACTTCTGCCTATGCAGCAACCTAGTACAAGTATGAATTGTTAGACAGTAATTTTAGACTGCTCAGCAAAAATATGCTCAAATGCACCTTTATATCGAATCTATAAGAGAAATTTCCATATTCTTGGCAATGTGTTTTCTTTCCATTTAATGATCATCAACAAAGTCTTTAAATGGCATTTAGTAATTGTGAGTACCATATATAGACATAGCTTTATGGAACAACAATTAAAGTTTTATGTAATGTTTCAACATGTTTCCCCATCATCTTCAGGCACATAATGAAACCTGTCGTTTCAACATGTTTCCCCATCATCTTCAGGCACATAATGAAACCTGTCGAAAGAAACGTATCATAAAAATTTTAACCAGTGATTGTTGTTCCATAAAGCTGTGTCTATAAATCATCAACAAAGTTATCAAGCTCTGATCAATAATAGTCAGATTTCGATATCAACTGAAATATACCATTTATTATCTCAAGTGATCAAATTAGACCATAGGTGGAGCCATTCCATATCAAAGAATGATAGTTTATAATAGTTCTGGTAATTATACTTTACTTTCATCCTACATCTATACTGATTGTTATCAAAACAGTCTGAACATCAAAACAACTACTACCAGTTTAAAGATAGATAGATTCTTTTCTCTTTGAAGGCAATGCCATATCAACTACATGTAATGATTACATTGTTTGATATTTAAAATGAATGTCACACTATTGGATCTATCATTAGTGGTGTGAAATGTAGTATCTAAAGTGACAGCCATAATTGATAGATTAAAATCAGGATTATACATTATAGAAGGTTCCAATAAAGTCACAGGAGATTAGATTAAAACTTTCAAATTGTTTCTTCAAATTTTATATTTTTTAAAATGGATGGTAAATTCAACATATTTTCACAAAGATATTGGTGGGAACTCTTTCTCAGACCGCTTGCCTGTTTAAATTTAACAAAATTTCAGTAAAGAATTTAATGTCACACCTAGATTTGAGTACACATGAACAATCTGACATTGTTGATGTGAATGATTACTCTCATTAAGGAAGAGACAATTCATAATTTTACCTTTTTTAAACTTCTTTTTTGCACATGGGTTTTTTGCATTTTGTCTGATGGTGAACTTACAAATAATTGTTTAAACTTTCTTCAGATAAAGATGACTTGACAATAATTTTATCATTATGTTGGGTTTAGCCTTAACAAGAAGAAATTGCAAATTGAAATTTCATCCACACCTCAATGCACTTGATGTTTTAATGAGTAAGCTTAATTTTTTCAATTGACCCACTTCTTTAATCATAATCCTGAAAAACCTGCTGGATAATTTTGAGAAGTCACTTCTATGCTATGACATGTTACTCTTATGGCATCATGACATTGTTATTGCAGTACTAATATCTTGCAGATTGTGTCTGCATTCCTGCAAGTCAACAATAGGAGGATATCCTAATGTGACAGGAAGGCCATTAAATATTTTTTATTCACAAAATGATTTTTTTCTAGTTTCATATGCTAAAATTGAGGTCTACAAGTTTGTGCTTAGCTCACTGCTGTATTTGGGTAACTTAACATATATGTGAAGAAAAAACCTAAAGAACAGCTTGAAAGTGAACAGTTTTTCGTTTGCAGAGTTCACTGATGTATTCAGCGTGTAAATGGAACATGCTACAGAAATATTCTATTTATTCAAATTTAGCTTTTACTTTTATATAATCCGATGTGAAACTATAATCAGAATATCAGAATAGTCAGCAATAAAATAAAATAGCAGCTTTAGCACTACCCTTAGATGGCTTTAAGATATACTAAATTTAGAATATGATATTTACTTACTGTTGACAATGAGGAGAAACAGTAGAAGGAACTTTATATTTACAATCCATTATCATTGTTAATGTTTCACTATCATTGACTTCTTGAAATGGTGGTGTACCACAGACTAACATAAACAATATTACTCCCAAACTCCATATATCTGAAAATATAATACAAGATAAACTAGTTAACATGTGCTACCTTACATTGTGCACATGAAACAGCTGAAATCAAGTCAATACAAAATATATGCTAAAAAGGTAAGTATAAGAGTGGTTAAAGTTTTGAATGTGAAAGTACCTTTACATCAATGAAACAAGAGTGTTTTTCCTCAATTTTTTGTAAAACATTTTCATTATCAAAAAGTAAATTAAATCTTATGATGGTCGTTGGGCCTAATGCACTACATATAGCATAAAAGTGAACAAACCTGAAGATTCAATTGATATTCAAGTGAAAGTTTACTAAGTTTAAAAAATAAAAAAATGAGGGTATTCATTCTTTAATCAAGTAGAAGAAATAGTACAAATTTTGTTAAACAGCCTAGAATAAGCTTACGAAAGAGTTTTAACAAGTACCAGAAAAAGATCTTACAAACTTGATGTTTAGACTTTTCAATTCTAATGTTTACAGTGTTTAAAATAATGGAATTTGGCACTAACATCTCATGGTATTTTTGTTACCGCTTGAAGGAAAAGAGAACAGATACTCCAAAACATTCCATTCCACATCTACTGAATATTGTATATGGTACCAATTTAATCTAATTTTATAATGACTTCTTCTATAGCAATATTTCAATCAAGTCAAAATTGGATATCTTTAGTAGCTACTATTTGTGGTGGTCCAGTTATTTATGATACATTTTACAATACAATAATAATCATTTAGAATGCTTTTTTTCAAAAATCAAAGAAAAAGCTATGTTAACTGTACATTTTCAAACATGAACTAAATCTACTATCTGGATGTAAGTAAATCAATAAGTAAATCTACTATCAGGATATCCTTGAAGTTGTAAAATACCCTACATTTAACCAGTGTCGAAAATATTCTCAAATTGCTTACTTGTTACTAGTTGAAATAATACCTGGGTGACAACTTCCAAGCTTTATAATGGTGCATTTTTAAACGGTTAATTCTAGAAATGTTCTAAAGTATTGCATTTCATTTTTCTTTTAATTCCAGCTAGAATGTTATCCTATACATGTTCTATAGACTAGTTTGTGGGTAAGAGTGGTTATTAATTCAGACATGAAAGCTGATCTTCTATTTTCTATTTAGTATTACTTGTGATTTCTGTTAAAACCATCCAGTTAGTATGTTAGTAGAATGAAATGAGATTGCACTTCAATTAAGACCTGTGTATTGGTACTAAAAATAGTTAGATACGGTGGGTGGGTGCTGACATCTTGCAGCTCAATAGTTGTTGTACATTTATTCAAAACTATCTATAACCTACTTACTATAATACCCTATAAAAACTTGCGCAAACCCAGTTACTTACTGGAGTATGATTGACTAAAATGGTTACGGGACATGAAACAATCAATTTTCTCAACACTTTCTCTGACTTATAGACCTACTTGGATAATCCTATTTTATTCATATCAACAATGAAAATCAAAATTGCTGATTAAACTGTGTATGGCTCAATGTGTTTCAGTACGGTAATGAATAGTTGACCACTATTATATGTGACCTGGTCTAAGATGAAAAGAGTCAACTGTAAACATGATGGACTGGATGAATGTAAATATAATTTAGTGTTAAAGTGAAATGAGAATATACTTCATAAAAGTTATAAATTTTTACATAAATGTAAAATGATAGGAATATTATGAAATTTGGCGTTAATTATGGTAACTTGTCAAGTCAACTGTCTTATAACTTGACCTCAATTTATTCATAACATGCCATAACAGTTAATACTATTAGGCTACTATTACCAGGTTACCTTTATTTCATTTTATGGGTCAAGTCTTGTTAACACCTGTTGTCAATTAAGGGAACAATACCTCATTAACATCAAAGTAATCAATCACAATACAGTAGGAGAATAGAGAGATTAATGTTAATCAATCTGTCAATTTTCTATAATCTTACCTACTGCTGGGGCATCATAAGAATCTCCTAATAAAATTTCAGGTGCTGAATAAGCTAAAGATCCACAAGAAGTTTCTAATTGTTTGCCAGGGTTAAACATATTGCTGAAACCAAAGTCAGTTAATTTCACTATTCCCAATTTCTCAAAGAACACAACATTTTCTGGCTTTAAATCCCTATGAACCACATGAAGTTTGTGACAATACGATATAGCTTCCACTATTTGTCTAAAATACAGTCTTGCAGCACTTTCCTGGAGGCCTGCTTTATGTTTCATAATGTAATCATACATATCACCTCCATCACCTAATTCCAATATCAAATATAACTTTGTTTGAGTATCTATCACTTCGTATAATCTCACAACATGAGGATGTTGAACTAATTTCATGCATCTCACTTCTTGGAATAAATGTGCACGAGAAACTTCATCCAATTTCGTTTTATCAATGACTTTAACCGCTACTTTTTCCCCAGTAAAGACATGTCTTGCCAGCTTCACAACAGCAAAATGACCTCGGCCGATAGTGTCCTCTAAATCATACAGTCCGGCGATTTTGCCGTCATAATCACCTCTCTGCTTTCTGGAAGTCATTTTGAAATATAGGGGCACGACCCTGAAAACAATTCACAAGCTCATAGTTCAATTGTTGTCCGTGTTGTCAAGATATTCAACATTTAGAATCACTACAGCTGCCATAGCTGGAAATTGCGCACTTTTCTTGCGCATGACGCAAAGGGTCACGTGATAACAGGTGCCCTGGAGAAAGATGAATGAAAAACATGATAAGTAGGGGACCATCATGATTCTGTGGTAAACGATAATTGAAACAATATTCGACAATGTTCTCTCGTTTTTCTTGTTGACGAGATCAAAAAAACACAGTCTCCTAACAAATTTCTGTTGTATTATACTGACAAAATCGATTCTATTCTCGAGAGAACAAGTGCGCTGATGCATTGTGGGATAGTTCGATTGCCACATGTGCTTTGTAGAAACTGTCTGTTAAAAAAATTATTGTATTCAAACATATATCCTTTTACTAGAATGTGTGAATCGGTAAATCCCACTTCAACACATTCCGTCTCCAGCTCTAATAAATCGAAAGAGGATGTAAAACCCATCTTTGGAAACAGATTACTGACAAATGAATCTGATGTGTTTCAGCATAATTCATGGGATCATGTTGTTTGGGATGATGAGCAAAAGTCTGAAGCAAAAATGAAAACAATCGAACAAGCAGCAAATGCTCTTTCCCTGGAAGAACAGGAAAAATTTGAGAACAAAGCTGATGAATATTGGGATGTTTTCTATAATAATCATAAAAATAAATTTTTTAAAGACCGGCATTGGCTGTTTACAGAGTTTTTTGAATTGAATTGTAAACATTTTGATCAAGAACATCAATCACCTGATACGAGTTTAACAAAAGATCAATGTGATGTAAGTGTTGAATTTCCAGGTAAAAAGGCTAAATACAGATTCTTGGAAGTAGGTTGTGGTGTTGGAAATACTGTGTTTCCTGTTATTGAAACTAATAATAATCCTGATTTAATGATGTACTGTTGCGATTTCTCATCTGTTGGAATAAGCCATGTTAAATCTCATCCAGATTATGATGAAACTAAATGTCATGCCTTTGTTTGTGATGTGTCTGATCCTAATTCTCCTTTGCCTTTTCCAGAATTCTCTTTAGATGTAGTCATATTGATCTATGTCTTATCAGCTATCCATCCAGATAAAATGCAAACTGTTATTAATAGGCTCTGTAGGCATTTGAAGCCTGGAGGTATGATTTTGTTTCGCGATTATGGTCGCTACGATCTAGCACAACTTCGATTTAAAGATGGTCGTTGTTTAAGTGAAAATTTTTATGTTCGTGGAGATGGTACAAGAGTATATTTTTTTGAACAAGAAGAACTTAAACATATGTTTGAATCTGCTGGTTTGGAAGAAGTTCAAAATATAGTAGATAGACGACTACAAGTAAATCGTGGGAAAAGGATAAAAATGTATCGAGTTTGGAATCAGTGTAAATATAAGAAACCTATCCATGCCGATACTTGTGATATGAAACCAGATGCTTGTGTCCCACTAATGTGATTCATAAGTGTTTCGAGTTGTGAGAAAAACATCTGTTGGGACAACGGAGGTCAACAAGGTCTTATTTTTAAAAAGAAACTAAGATCCTGTCTACCTTTTGGCATCTTTCTTGAATCATCTTTACCCATTTACAACTAAATTGAAGAGGACTCAATTAAGGTCACCAAATTTTAACATGCCAAATTAAATCAAATTCTTAACACTAACCAACCATGCTATAGCTCATTTTCAAATACTAATGTGGTCAGTTCCTTCTAACATATTGAATATCACCCAGATTTGAATAGCCCATACTAGCTTCTATACATTAGTTATTATTACTTTGATTTCTTTCAGGCTTGAATCGTTTGATAGTATATTATAGGCTGCGTATCTTTTTTCTAATCTGATGCTTCTTGCATTCATTTCTGAGTCTTGTAAATTTTGTTTAGAAAAGCAAAAGGTAGATGTAAAAATAACCAAGATCAAGAACTTTATGAAAGATTGTTCTATGGTTTCAAATAAATGATTTTATATATAGTTTGATGTGAAAATATTTTTAGACTTCTAAATACATGGTAATTAGCCACCATGTGGTGTGACAATGGGCACACTTTCAGTATTTCTCAATGAAGTTATTAATCACTGCTCAATATTTCATGCTGGTGTTAAAAAAGATCCTCAAATATTTAACCCCATAAATACACCCCTGTATTCCATGTATACAACTGGGGAAAATGACAAACACTTCGACTTGACAATGTTTTATTTATTATACACATCAGAATGGTGATGAAATATTTACAAATGATACACTTATAGTACAAACGACAACAAAACCCACAAGACCAGTATGCTAGGGATTCTGTTCTTAATAACCACTGTAATATATTGAACAGCATTAGAAAGCATATCTAGTTCTAATATCTTCCAACTTCTTTGAGACCTGAAAAAAGAAATTATTAAGTTTAGACGGATGAATTTTATTTACCGAATTAATAATCAAACTGTTTATATTTTATTTTTTTACTTAGTAAGAAAATAAATGTCTACCTCTGCAGGCGTTCGATCCAACTCTTCTGCCATGGTTTTCTGTTTGCTGGGTTCCATAGAATTAAACATTTCACATAAATCACCATCGATCACACTCTAAAATAAAATAAAGCTATGAGTGGAAGTTTAATAAAAAAAAATGTTTACAACCAGTTTAAACTATTGTAGTACAAAACACTTTTGAATACAGCAGATACCATTTATTTCATATTATGAGTTAAAAGTGCATAGAGTATATCTCAAATGTAAGCATGACATTGGACTAACCTTTAATGGATAATGGTAAGATCTGTAAGCTAAATGATCTCTACCACATAATGGTGGATGTTCAGTTCTCATATACATTTCTAAATGTTGTACAAAGTCATGATCCTGTAAGATAATGGTGTGAAAGTTAAATAAGCAATTGAGGTTTAATGATAATAGAAAAACACTCTAAAAGAGGCCATGTCATTTCATATCAAAATCTTATTCATTTTGCATATTCATAACTTGATTCCACATTTCGACATCCTCTTGTTTTATTAGCATCTACCTACCTCATGTGATGTAAATGGTACTAACATTCCAATAGCACCTGATAATGTTGTATAAACCAGGGATTCAGAACCACCTGGTATTAAAGTTGCTTTCTGTAGTGATGTTATGACTTCCCCCACATAAAAATTACATACTACATCTGCCTATAATAACAAACAGTATGATCAATTTGACTTGTATTTCAAATTCATACACCAAACTAACTAATCCTGACATTTTACCTAGTATAGCTGATAGGATACTTGAACTAATGTTTTGAGTAACAGATACAAATCTCCATAAATGCTTCTCATAGAGATTAAGTGCAATTTGACTGAAAAGAATTTACCTTTTGAGTGGCACCATTTAAGACTCCTCTATCCCATAAGGCTTTATTACCAGTAGGATCTTCATCAACATCATCAGAAACACTTGTTGGTAAACGGACCTGAATAACAAAAGATAGCTTGCCAGGCAAGGTAACATACGCCCACTGGTAGCTGTCAGAAATGATTGAACATGAGTTGCACAATATAGCTAATAGAGTGAAACGTCAAGTCAGACAAGATATTTCGGTGAAAAATTATCCGATCATCACAAAAATCGATAGGGATCATCTTCATAATGACATTGACACACAAAATCAAAAGAATCTGTAAAGAATTGTAGCCTATAGAGTGAGCACGAGTTGCACAATATAGCTAATAGAGTGAAATGTCAAGTCAGACACGATATTTCGGTGAAAAATTATCCGATCATCACGAAAATCGATAGGGATCATCTTCATAATGACATTGACAAACAAAATCAAAAGAATCTGTAAAAAATTGTAGCCTGTAGAGTGAGCACGAACCAAATGTGAACGGACAGACCAACAGGGTGATTACAATATACGCCTATCTTATGTGTGGGCGTATAAAAATTTATTGAGTACAACGTAGGACTCGCTGTCAGATTTCTAAATACAAGAAGTAGCTTATTGTGGTTACAAAGAAAATCAAGGATCGGTACTAAATATCTGAAAGTATATTAGGAGAATATTCTGGAATACCTTCCTCTTACAGATAGCATCGATTTGTACTAGTCTATTAAGTGTTTTATGTCACTATCCCAAAGCTGCTAATGTAATATGTAACCACTTTTGGCATAAAACGCTAAGTTTCAATGGAGTGGCGAGAATCAAAGATGTCTGACTGAAGATTGGAATGGTGCACCTCTGTAAAATCAGTGTTGCCAATTTACATAACAAGTTAAGGAAATTACATTACAATTTTTTGCTTCAGTTAGAACATGCAAGAAAAAATCCCCCAAAACTTACAATTGTCACATTTCCAAATTTATCAGCTCCAGCCATAGTATTATAATCTATCATACAAGAACATGTTAACCATCTAGGATTGGTATCATCAGCAAACACTATCAACTGATTCTCTTGTCTTTTATAACGTAAGAAATGGAAACTTTCTTGTATATCAGCTACCAATACTCTGTTTCCATTTGTGTGTATATTGACAATGAAGTTGGGAATGTTCTGAAATGAAATAAAGAATTTTCATCTAAATCCTATCATTCAAAGAAATAACTCACTGGACAATGGTATGCTTATAGAAATTTGTTTCAATCCTGATTTATCTGAAAATAATTTAATTCTTAGACTCTGAGTAGAAATTTCAGTTGAGATAAAGCCACAGCTACTCTGTTTGACCATATTAATTGACTCTGGTTAATTCAATTAAAGCCATGTACAATTTTTTTTTACGTACTTTGTTTTCACATTTTCTCAGCATTTTTTTCTTTCCCAAGTCGTAAATTCGAAGATATTTTCCAACTCCAATTAGAGCACGTCCTTGAAATGAAGTAATAGCACCAGGTACTTCATCAACAGATGTTTTATGTAAGAAAGTTAATTTATTTCCATTGTCTTTCACTAAGTAGGCATAAATAAAACCACCACTCAATGATCTGGGATTCAATACTAAATCTCTAGCCACACCAACTAATAATATTGTATCATCTGGACGATTGGCAAACTTCACTAATGCAATACTGAAATGAAAATTTTTATTCATCAACAGAACAAAAGTCAACTTGAATGCAGACTTACTTGAAGAATATTGTATGAATTTTCATAAACTTGAATATATATATGTACACAACTCAAATTAAACTGTTTGGTTTTGTGATAATTTTCAATGCTAAAATATGTTTCCTAAAACAAGTTGTTACCTACCTGTGTGCAGCTTCATTCTGTTCTAAACTTATTTTATCTAAGGTGTCACCACTCAATGGGTTTATTATTCTAATGACAGATGCCCACAATCCCATACCAGCTTTAGGTGAACCAAATACAGATTCTGGTCGTTCTTCATTTAGAAAGGCTGCTGCCATTTCAGCTGCTAACTCTTGTTCTTCCTCTTGAGCAGCTTCTATCATTTCCTACAAAGAAAAAATAAATTTTAATGTCAAGCCGATAGGCAGAGGTGATGACAACTTCATACTGTGGGATATAAAAATTTTGTTTTCAAATTGAGAAATGATCAACAGAAAGAAATGTAATGTTAAATTATGTACAGATCAGATGTATTACATTGTAATCACTATCTTATCAGGTGAAACACGGAAATTAAAATCATTTTATGTAGATAGATTTTAGCCATTATTGTGGAAGGACATCATAAAAATGTATTGCAAAGTATTTAGATTTTTGATTTACTGAAACAAAATTTTCCAAGTTTTATAACCTCACACTTCATAATAGCAAGCTACTTCAGATCATGTAGGCTATCTCAACAATTACAGCACATTCCAAGTCAAGAGGTGTGCCCATCCTGGCTCAGTAAATTTGATTGCTTTGCTCATACACAAATTTTTTTTTTTTATAGCACGAGATGGACTAGAAGGAACTCGTAGTCAAAATCTTTTAGATAAAAAGGTACAAACCTCTGCCATTTGTTGTTTACGTTGCGTTTGTGTTTCTTCAGTATAAGTGTTATGATCAGTTTCAACAATAACTAAATTATTTGATTCATGTATAACAAATTTTCTAGGTGTATATTGCAAAGGCCATGAAACTTGATTAAATACAGCTCCCAACTTCTCTAAAGCCAAAATACTGAAATTAACATCAATAACCATGTTTTAATCTTGAACTGAAATCATTCTCATATCAATGAATGTTATTTGAAATATTTTCAAAGATAGTATTGGATGAGAGGAACTTCTAAGGGATCTGAAGTTATAAAATGTAGAAGATGAATATCTGTCTGAAAAGTCTCAGACATGAAGCAGTTAATAATGAAGATGAATTTAATCAAATCTATTAGTAATCCTATCTTAGACATCAATGGGTTTGAAATTTGTATGTTAGCTCACCGTAGTGTATTGGTGGAAATGGCTACAATACCCTCTGGACACTGTTCTGATGCAAAGCCAGAAGCATACTCCAATGATTCATATGATAATGGTGTTAAATGGAAACGACTTTGATAAGTATAACTCAACCAAGTTTGACTTGACATAGCCAATACCTGAAATATTCAAGGTTTTTCTTTAACAGAAGACACAATTAATTTTTTAAGGCTTTTATCTTCTTGACTTTTGATATAATATTGTTTAAAAACATACCTTTTGACTGAACTACATGTATTTTATTTGCCCGATTTTGGTCATTTCTTTTGTTGTTTTTCTCTGTATGGGCTATATTCTGTGAAAAAGAATTCCTCTTAATCCTAACATGAATCATCCCAACTAAAAGGGGACCATAATAGATGTTTATTAACTTGTTACTCACAGATTCTGAACCTTGCATAGATATTCTGAATAATTTGACCGGTCTGGAACCTAAGTATCGGGTTCTTGTATCTGATAAATCACCAGTAACCATATCTAATACAGTTCTCAATAAGACTCCATTCTACAATACAAAACATACTTATTAAATTCACAACCATTTCCAAAAAGAATCCCTGAAATCATTTTTCACAGGTAAAGCTTGTATAACAGTTGGTTTTTCAGTGGCAGGAATTCAACGAATTATAAGTATAAACATACCTGTAAACCAATATTCAGATATAAACCACCAGATGTTCCTGGTTCATTTGTATCCTCTTTAGCTTCAGTACCACCCATTTCTATTATACACAACGATTCTGGCTGTGCTGGTAAGGCTTGCATACTTAATGGTGATAGACAATCCTGTAAATAGCAATAAAAATAATTGTATATTGTTGTTATACAAAGACATTTAATGAGCTAATTGGTCAACAAGATAAATGATTACGGAAAACATAATTATTTTTCCTTGCTTAATGTTTACAAAATGACGAGTACTTACATTGGGATCAAGAGATACTATTCTGACAGTATTATCAGCTAAACCAACAGCTAAAAATCTTGACCTCTGTTCACCTTGTGGTACTCTACATATACCCATACATACTACATCAGCCGACATTTCTTTTCGCTCTGTATATTCATTTAATTGACCAGTCTACAAATCAAATCATCAATATAAATAAAAGTGCTTCATTACTGTTCTTGTCACACTGTTGATGTAATGGGATCTTGTTGTCGTCCACTTGAGCTAAGGCTTCAGTTATTTGATAGCATTGAAAATATAATTTTTTCTGGATGACATTGAATAAGTTGCACAGAGTTGTAAAGGATTAACCAAATTGATTTTTTAAATGACAAAATTAGATGTTTAACTTACAGGATCCATTTCAAAATAAACTAATTCACCACCAGTTAAAGCAATAACAACCTGTCTCTGATTTACAGCACATCTTACAATAGATTTTTTACCAGGTGTCTTCCATTCATTAACACGTTTATCTGATCTAATATGTCGAATACCTTCTGGATAAATCTGAATAGTATAGATATAGGAATTAACATACTTGGCTAACCATTAAAACAACAGTTTAGATTGTATATTATATTAAAAGGAATTAAAAGACCCAACCAACACATCTACCATTTTTATAATGGAAATAAACTTGAAGAGTTCTTCATGCATAGATCAGATTTTCAAAGAGTTGTAATCACTGTTAATCAGGTGAAACACGGAAAAAACATCATATCTATGCTTGGAAAGTATTTTTTCTTTTTGGTATTTTTATATCGATCAACTTCATAAACTTTTAAATAATTAGAATTATCTGTACCTGAACAAGAGCATCATCTCCTAATTGTGAACAGGATATAGTTGGTGTAGTACCAAGAAATCCAGAATCTGTAACTTCTTCTACTGTTTCACCAATAGATAATACCAGGGTGGCGTTCACGAATGATACAATAATATATGCATCATAATCCTCTGAAAATACAAAACATCTCTGTTCAATGTAGCGTGAAATAAATCAAATGATTAATCCCAACCAAGCTTCCCAGCACAAATGCATTTTTTAATGTCAATAAACTTGTTGGCCATGTCTGGTTTCATTCAAAACAAGCTATGGTTTCTGTTTCACAACAAATTTGAAATAAAAGTTTTAACACTATTGATGTACCGAAAATCATTCCAAAGGGAAATAACATTGAGTGCACACAATTACAAAATTAAAATTTGACTTTCAGCTTTTATCATTCGATATGTTTGTATCTGGTATCTGTATCAACTTGGAGCATTGAATACAAACCTGAAGATCACCACACCATTCACTCACACTACATACATAGCAGCATCTGAAAGCAGAAAGAGGCTTGGTGTTGGAATTAGTACCAGACAACCAGCCTTTTTCTTTTAGTAACTTTGTCTTAATGAATGTTTGGGGAAACATGAATGCATTGTTTGGAATCAAATTGTTCTTTCCAAAAATCGATTTTGACCTTTCACTTGTGGTCGTATAAATATAAGCAACAAAAAAAAAGGAAATAATGAATCAGCACCTGAAATAAATTCTGAAACAAAAAGTACTGGAATCTGAAATAGAATTGTTGCTTTAGCCCTATGGTAAGTTTTTGCTATATTTTAACATCATAGTCTATAGAGAAATCAAACCATGGTTTTACAGATGTTTGTTTTTGTGTATTTGAAGTTTCTTTGAAGAGAAATTGACATGTAATGGAGAGTAATTATTCCTACTGCTATAGTACAGTTAGTAAACTAAAGAATCTTACCATCAATACGACGCTTAACAGTCCATACAGCATTAGGATTACCAGGCAACTCTGACACAGCCATCTCAGATACCTAAATCATAAAATCAATTAAATTGTCTCAAACCGACATTTAACATTGTATTAAGAGTATAAAAGTCAGTCATTGTGCAAATCAAAGAAGTTTGCGAAATCAAAGAAGTTTGCAAGGTCCTGACCTTGCCTTATCAGCAAGTGTGGGCATTCCCAATAAATTGTCCTGACCTAGTTAAAGGTCAACCAATAGAATTCCGGGTACGTATCACATGCTCACTTCAACATGGCGATTTCAACAAACTCAGTCCCTTCGTCTCTCATTCCACAAGAAAGTAAGTGGATCATCATCAAGGAAAACAAAATTAACACAAAAAATAAAAGTTTTCTCCCCCTCTGCCACTTCATATTCAATCTGGATGACATATTGTTTACAGTAAATCTGCAGTGCTAAAAGATGATAAAAGATCAGTAAGTGTGCGTTGACTGCAATGATTGGATGCTGCAAAAGCTTTCCTCAATTTTCGATTAATAGACAGTTATTCAAAACATTTATCAACCTACCTCTAACCCATGCCGTAAGACACGCAATGAAGACCTAGGACCTCGTCCACATAATGTATATAACTGAGGAGTATCTTCATTAGCTAAATCAGCTATCTGACAATTCATTATAGGTGATAAACTATCCATCTCATCTACAACTACTAAGTTCTTCAGAGGTCTAGGTGAGAACAGAAAGGTATCTCCCTCTTCTAAGGGCATAGCACTACTAAATGTTGGCTCCCCATCATCATCACCAAGATGGGCAATTTGATACAGGTAACTGAAATAAGAGTGTAAGTTTCACATTAATATATATCATGAAGAACATGACAAGAATGGCTAAGAATATCAAAATTGAATTATAAAAGTATGGTATACTTACTGGTTTCCGAATTCTGAAGCAACAAATAAAAATCCAGATTTTAAAACACACATACTAGCTGCTACTGGTACAGTATCAAAATATTTTAATCTTATTTCTGTTACCTAGAAAATATATCAACCTTTAGTCAACATCAGAAGACAATTGACCAGGAGGGCACAGTCAGAGTTTGAAAACGTGAATATCTTATTACATTTGAGAATGACACAGGAAATTTGGAAGAATCATCTATCAATATTTTAAATTGGGATTAAGAAATCATTTGCACTTACAATGTCTTCATCAGTCTCCAATGTTATTTTAAAAATATCCCCCTGCTCAGTTTGAGCCAAGAAGAAAAACATTGATTTAGTTTTATGTGTAGCACTACAAACAAATATCATTCCTCTTTCTGGATCATCTAAATCATACTGAAAAATATATATCAAATATTCAGGGTCATACTTTGGAATTCGGAATTCAAAATCTTTTGAATGTAACAAATACTTTTTTTCATGCATAGATCAGATTTTCAAAGAGTTGTAATCACTGTTAATCAGGTGAAACACGGAAAAAAACATCATATCTATGCTTTGACATTGGCAAATGTTTCATAATAATATCATAAAACCATGCCAATATCTACATTAAAATCCATAACGATAATTTTATTTTACTGTTACATTTTCCTTTCAGGCTCATTAGTCAGAAAAACCTTCATGGTGGATCAGGTTTTATATTGAATCATCATCAAGGATTTAAACAGGAGGACCATTATAATTCACAAACATGAGTTTTCACTGGGATAAGTTTATGAACTGCAGAATAAGGATCTTTTCAGGCCCATTAGTCAGAAAAACCTTCATGATTTCTCAGGTTCAATATTGAATCATCATCAAATATCTACTTAAGACCATTTATTTCATGTCCATGCAATTGCTAAGAAATATGTTTTATAAACTGTACAACTAGAATCTTTTCAGGCTCATTAGTCAGAAAAACCTTCATGGTTTATCGGGATTAAAATGCATCATCATCAAAGATCCAGTAAAGACATTTTCATGTGATCATGTATCGTGTTGAGCATGTTTGCCACAATAGGAATTGCTATTACTGTTTTACAAGATACAAATAAAAAGTATAGACAATAGTAAGTTCTTACACGTCTCCTGGGAATAGGACATCTTATATCTGGTTGATCTCCAAGATTTTTATATGTAATATAATTCTCTGAACAAATTAATACACCACTAGGTCCTTCATTACCACCAGGTACTGAAAATATATCATGTACCATGTTAAAATAATTGATATAGTACGGGAACCCATTATCATCATATCAGACATAATAGTGATGTCAAATACAATAGACACTCCTTTCAAATAGAACTTACCTGATATTAAGAAATTGGCATGTTCTTCTAACTGTTCAGAATATTTCCTAACGACATGATTTAACCCTAAATCTAGTTCATAATATGTTAATAATTGTTGACTTTTAGCTGCTGCTTCTCCTGTATGATCTTGATCAGCATCCTACAATAACAATCATACAAGTTATTTTCCACAAGGAAGACAAATTTTCACAATGAGGCATATTTCAAAAATCAGATCCTTTTGTCAATAACACAGTAAGTTCCATACTATAAAGTCTTTGAATGGCATTTAGCAATTGTGAGTACAATATATAGACACAGCTTTATGGAACAACAATCACTGGTTAAAGTTATACTATACTATACAGGGAATACTGATCAGTTGATGTTATTTAAGTAATATTGACCAGATTTGTGATTTCTCTTGAAAATCATATTCAATCAAGAGTATCAAACTTATTTTCAAAAGTTTTAAGCAGGTAAGACAGCTTATTTTGTCCAAAATACAATATTCTTAACTATTATCTACCAAATGAGTTTTTTTGCTAAGAGTAATAATGCTTTACCTCATAATCTATTTCTAAACATGCAAAAGTAGGGTTTTCAAAGCCAATGTCTACACCAACAATATGATAGACTAATGTATTTGATTTGTGTGCCTCTAGTGGTGAAGAGATAGTTAATCTAGCCTGGGCATCTCTATTTAATATATATACCAATTTCTGCTTTTCAACAGCTCCTAGAAAATGGAAAGAATTGACTGATTATAACAATGTTTAATGTTCCAAGCCTGTGGGTAAAAATACCTATTTGCACTAAATAATTAAAACACTTAAAAAAAAAGAAAAGATTTAGACTCCTTTCAGGCACATTTGTCAGAAAAACCTTCCTGACGTATCAGGTTTAATATTGAATCATCACAAACAACCTAAGTATGAGGACCATATTTCATGAACTTTCTTTTGCACAAGGAACCTTGTGGGAATCATCAACTGTACAGCTGGAATCCTTTCAGGCTCATTAGTCAAAAACCGTCATGGTTTATCAGGTTTAATTTGCATCATCACAAAGGATCTAGGTACATTGACATGCCTTTCTACGAGGAAACTATGGGATAAGTTTATAAACTGCAGAATGAAAAGCCTCTCATTCATCAAAAAATTCTTCATGATTTATCAGGTTTTTATTTAGATCATCTATTTTCTTTGATTAAAGACATCAAAAATGCTTTGAAATGATAGCTTGTCAGGCAAGGTAAGATATGCTCAATGGCAGCTTTTATTTTAAATAAAAATAATTGACAGTACAGTAATAATTAACATTATGAAATATTCAACCTTCAGTATTACACTTCTTTTGAACTTTCTGGGGAGATACTGTATAATATTAGCAAGTTTCGTCAAAATCTGTCAATAATTCAAACTTCTAGAGCGTTTACAAGTTAAAATATGTTTTTAAGAATAAGGACTCATACTAAATATTTTTTGATTCTTCTAATTCTCATTAAAGTTCATCCTTGGTTGATAACAAACACTCACACAAAAGTTTCGTCAAAATACGTCAAGTATTACACCTTCAAGAATGTTTACGAACTTTTCAAGAACAAGGACAATAACTCACACTAAATATTTTTCTGATTTCTGGTTCAACCTTGGGTGATTACAAACAATCATACGAAGTTTCGTCAAAATCAGTCACGAATTGTGCTTTTTGGAATGTTTACGAGCAAACATCGACGGGCCAACATGGGTGATAACAATATACAACCCCCATTTCATGTGTTCAATAAAACAGAAGACACAAAAACCATTTTACAAAGGTTTTTTACTGGTCCATTTTTAGTTGATCCAAATGAGGTGTATACTCTATAGCACAACACATGGGTAAACATTCAAAAAAATAATCTGCTATAGAAAAAACTAAGTAGTCCTAAAGTCTAACATATTTCAAGAGCACAAAGGCTCATTTCGTATTCTATAGCAGATTATTTTTTGAATGTTTACCCATGTGTTGTGCTATAGAGTATCCACATTATTTGGATCAACTAAAAATGGACCAGTAAAAAAACTTTGTGTGTCTTCTATTTTATTGAACACCCAATTTCATGTGGGCGTATAAAAAATAATAAAACATCACAATATAAGTACAAGAATTTAAACCATACTAACCAACCATCACAGCTCTGCCTTTTGGATCGACAGCTAAAAACTGGCCAGGAACAATCCTTCTGCAACCACTCTTACCAAATGTTTCTTGATGAACCTTAAATTAAATAGATCAGATACATTTTCTTATACTATACAGAAACATACATTTCAACCAGACATTAAATCTATTAAGAATCATAAAGAATAAAATAAGGTGGTGGACTGGTAGTATAAAGAAAGGGTCAATCACAAGTTTGTTTTCCTGATGAATAGTCTATTCATGGCACATCCTACCCTTTAGATCTGAACAAAAGTTTGCTTATCAGACTGACTTTCTCAAACCGTACAAAACCGGTGATGGCTATGGTGTGTGGGTCCCTTCAGTTGAACTTTCATCTGACAGAGAATGTTTCAAAATATGACAATATAAAACTAACCTTTTCAAATATATTTTTAGATGGGATATATTCCAATATAACAATTCTTCCTGAATCTGAACCAACAACAATATAGTCTGAAACATCAAAAACAATCATATAATTTCAAGATCAATGTAAAGCCAAAGAGACTCTTCAACAGTGAAACTTATCTGCATAAATCAAAGTAAGCACATGTTCAGAGAAAGACGTACATAGCTACTTCACAAAAAACAAAACGGCAGTTAGAGAAAAAAAAACCAACCTTTTGTTCCACCAGTTAATTTGAATGGCATTAATGCTCTTATGATACCAAACACTTCAACTGACAATACCGGATATATTTTACCAGTATTTGGATCATGTCTTAGCAGTTCAATTATTTTTCCCCTGGAGACACATATCTCTTGATGTTTAGACCCAGAGAAATTACCATGAACTGCAAATGTTATTCCTGATGCCCTCTGAAGGGTCAGGTTATAAAGGAACATTTTCCAAACTGAAATGGAACAAAGTATAAAACATCATTGAGTATGGTATTACTCCCTGAAAGATATTTATAAATTTTAATACAATTCTTTTTTTAACCTGAACAGATCTAAACAATATGGTTTTCTTTAATAAATTACATGATCTATCTTCAAACATCCAGAATAATATCCCCGGATTCCGTGTCAGCAGAAAATGGAACACAAAGTGGACCGTATTCTTATGTTGTTTCAGGACTTTTAGCAATAAATCACGCTACATGTCTTATGTTGTCAGTCACTATATTTTTTTTTAAATCGTGGTTCTTTGAAGGAATTGACACTAGTTATAATGAATTGATATTAAAGATAAATACTAAGAGAAGTTAATTATACCACCCGGTATCCATACGTGTTTTTCTAGACTTATTTATAGATCAAACATTGTACACGAAGATGAGTGACGCATTCTGCCGCCATTGCCGAGTTGGTTGCTCATGGAATATGGGTCAAAGTGAAGGATTCATAAAGAAAATCGAAATAAACCAATTTTAATTATTTTGTAGAATATCTGAGGAAACATCTAAGACATAAAAAATTTTTTTCGTTTTTTTAACTTTGACGAAATTCAGTGTTGAATCCTTATATCCACGAAAATAAGTTACACCACTGTATTTCAATATTTGTTGGACAGAAATCAAAATTCAAACAGATCATTTTTTATTAACACATGGGCTACATACTAAAATGCTATTTAGACATACAGCATATGATTAGTGTTCATGTGCCATACAATCCTAATAAAAATATCAATTGATACAAATCGAAAAAGGCATTGATACACACAGGGGCTGCATTTACAGAGACCAAAAAAGACAACATTCATCTAACGTTACGCTACGAATTTCGTGAGCTTGAATCAAGGCAATACTGACCGCCAGTGTAGTTATTGAGGTCGTGCAAAATAATCAACGAATATCGTTACAAAAATCACCTTAATTGTCTGAAATGCACAAGATCGATGTGGATATATATGAAACCAAATAATTACGAAACCAGTGGCGCGGCTTCCTATAGAGTCGGTGCCCGTTCCCACATTGCACTTTCCTCTTGTTTACTTCCGATATTTCTTCGATTTCCACGTCTCTTTTAGACCATGACTTCGACATTGAAGGACTGGACAACAACGTCATTATAGCAGACAGCCAACATGGCAGTTGATGTTACAAATCTTTTTAAAGCAACTGTAAAGTCAGTAAAATCTAGAAATAAGGCTATTGGGGAGAATGCTGTGAATGATAAACAGAACATTCTTAGTCGCTCCCGTCAAAAGGGTGACTTTGAATCAAAGGCCAAAGAAGTTGTAAGTTGGTTTGTGATCATTTTGAATTTTTACAGTAGATTTCAAGCCGACCCAACGTCCCAAACCAGTACCACCTGACCATATTTTGTGTTGGGCACTGTCACAAAATATTAGTGTTGACACAGTTAATCAGTTAACCGATTTAGGGTAGGATTTCACTGGTAACCAGGTCTGATTTGAGATGATCGGTTAACCATCAATAAGAAATTATAAGAAGGCTTTTTGTCGTTTTTTTCTGTCGTAAATAAGCATCTAAAATCTATGTTGCTTTTAGTTGATTGATTAATTCAATTGAGTTATAACAATCATATTTCTTAACTCTCCTCCGAGAGGCCTTTTTTTTTTTTGTCTGCCCATCATCAATCACCTTCAAGCTTATTAAAGTGATACTACCGGTACGTCTTAGAATTAACATAAAATTTAAGAATTTTAAACTTGGCGAATAAGAGCCAGTAGATATACCCGGTGTCATAAATAACATAACAGGATCCTCATATAATCCGATAAATCCATATATATGCAATTAACTATTGAAAAACGCTTAATATCAAGATTAAGCATTTTTAAATAATTACCGGTACTTAGTTTTATGAATTTTCCAGATTTTACAGGGATTCTGTTGTAACTTTATGACACCGGGTAAAATAACTGATGAATATATATACTCATATTGACCATTTCGAGAACTTAATTTTTATGTTCATTCTAAGACAGAGTATCACTTTAATAATATTCATGATAATTAAATGTAGGCTATGGATTCATTGAAACAATAAGATCTTGATTCAACAACTGATTTAAAACTGTAAACTGACCCATCAGTAAATTCAAACACTTTTTTAATCCTGTGATCTGTTTGAGAATGAAGCAATGAGTGACAATGACACCATTTTGTTTGACGCAGTCTGTTTGTTTCTGTAGTTATTTTACTAGGCTTTTAATCCTATAAATACCAAATTTGATGAATTCCTTGTGACATTCATCTTAAACTTCCCTTACAAAAATGTTATGTTGAGTTTGAAGAATATGTTCATATTTCTTTTGATATTTATAGATAACAAATATAACACAATTAAGAGATTTCCTCTTGTCACACAGGAAAGAATATATCAATTCAGGAAGGTAAGGATAGGATTTTTGTATTTTTCTTGTCTGTGTATAATGCACAATTCTTTGTTATCTCTTTACAGGAATTAAAAATTAAAAATTAGTCTGTGACATTTAGAAACTATGACCTAGAACAACATCGACTTCATTGCCCTCATAATTATATGAGATGTGATTAAAATTAAATTTAGTCATCTGAATGAGTAACATAAATCAGTACACCATTTCTTTTTTTTGTGTGATCTAAATTCTTAAAAGAAATGAAATGTAAGCTTACGGTCCAAATAAAATTTTAGGGGTCTACAAAATATTTATGTTCTCATTTCTCAGAATTTGTTGAATCAAAATAATTTAAGTTATTACTTTTTTATGTAAAAGTCACCCAACAGAATTTAGACCATATAAGAGGAATAAATGACTGTTTTAACCCTCAACTTGCACCTCATTTTGATATAAATCTTTATTTCTTTACCTATGCCAGTGCTCTAATGAGACTGTTCTCATCACCACCTAACACTCAAGCCCCCCAAAAATATTGTTTTTTGAGTCATATTTGATTCACAAAAAACTTTCAAAGGAGAAGTTTCAAAATTTTCCTAAACAAAAGCACAGTAAATTAAACATGAAAATATTTTCTTAATTTCTATATGTATCTTGTATTTACTTGATCAAACTGAAATAGAGTTGAGTATTCTAATTGTTAAGTATCCATCTTAAACTAGTGTTGGTGTTGGGCCTCTTAAAGACTCAATATTCTTAATAACCCAGAATACTTATTTCTCTTTAATTTGGCGTTTATTTTGCTTTAATCCTAACAGTAGGTTTCTGACACCCAGAAAACAGCATAGTTTATGTCATTTTTTAATAGTTTTGACTTTGAAAAAATTAAGAGCAGGCTTTTTAGTTAAAACTATCAGATAAGGTCAAGGGACACATTTCTCTAGATTTTGGTGTATAGTTTTCGTAAATTGAGCAAAAAGTGCCCTTTAAATATGTCTGAAAGAAAAAGAAATTTGAAATGAACTTATTTATTTGTGAGTTACTTGAATTCCATTTAATTGAAATAAATACTGATAGTATGGTACGATAGACCTCAATTAAAGGGCCAGATGCGCCATTATGTGCGGTTGATTTGGGTCGTGAATATATGTAAATAGTCTTCAGAAGTACTAGAAATGTCTGCATAGTTCCTTTAAAAATACTTCAGACTAGGAATTTTACTCACTATTTCTAAATATGTCTTTTCTATATATCACATAGTATCTTAAAATGACGTCATTTTAACATTCATTAACGCGGATAATTCTGGACACTCTGAAAGGCTCAAATTTCAATATGACTGATTAGATTAGCCAAAAAAATCCCTTTTCGGTGCTTAAAGTATGATTGGTCAAAAAATGACGCATCTGTCCCTTTAAGAAGGGGGTGAAAGTTTTTGATTCAATATATCAAGCAAAATTTGTACAAATTAATGCTGTCATGCCTGTTTTTGAAGGACGATGTAAAGAAAGAGCAAGTGAGGTTCTTTACTTGTTGATTGATATTTTCTTTACGTAAATATCTTAGTTTTATACCAGTGTTGATGTCATTTCAATTAGTGTAAGGGTTTCTGACCTTCTAGGAAGGTTATATAAGATAAAACTACTAACAAGCAGTATTAGTCAATTTAGCTGCGGGTTAATAACATAAAATCAATATTTCTTCCATCATATGAGGAAATGTTTCTTTACTGCCATAATTTGTGTATTTTTCAGTCACTTATCATCTGAAGCTTCCAAAATGACAGACTCAGAAAGAGATCAGATAGATAATGATGCCCAGAATATAATTCGTACATGTCAGGAGTCCATAGGAATTTTACGATTAGATTTATCAAGTCATCGTGTACACCCTCAAGTTAAAGAACACAGACAAATTGTTATATTTCTTATGAATGAATATCTTAAAGGTAAGTAATGGTTTTAACTGACAAACTTATTTAAGCAATTTATCTGAAGTATTCCAGGATTACTAAACATGGTTTGTGTCATTTAATATTTCAAGATGTTTTTAAGAATGGTGACTAGTTTATAACAAAAACTCTAAAAGACACGATTGGCTTTATACCTTAGATTCAGAATGATTTCATTATTCAAATGGTTTTGGTTATTAGAATTTTATTTTAATAATTTAAACTTTTATCATACCATCACAATTATGTCATTATAATTATTACAATTATAATTGTATTGAATAGCTAGATTTTTGGAGTACATGTTACTCATATCTCCATAATTGGAGTAAAATGGATTTGCCTTGATCTCTATTCCCTATGGTATTTGTAAGTTGTTTATAATGTTTATTTCATATCATTTTATAGCTGTGTGTAAAATATATAGTGAACAGAAAGCTATCAGAGTAAAAAGAGCTGTAGATAGGAAAAATATGTATGTATATTTCAATTGTCAGTAATAAGAGGTTGGGTTTCTTCTTGATCTTCAAAATCTCAAACATTACTAGCTCTTATCCAATAGTGATAACTAGAGATGACTGAAAAATTTAAAGTGAAGCCCCATCCTTCCAATTAAGTTTTCCTTAAAATTTTTCCTGGATAAGTAAAATAGCTCATGTGGATTAACTAATAGGACCTTGAAACCTGAGCTTCACACTTTTTCAATTAGATTGCTTTAAGTTCAGGAAGAAAGGTTGCTCATGTAAATGATCAACAAGAAAAACTTTCTTCTGTAGACAGGTGGCAAAATTGATGCATTAGATCTGTTTCTATTCATTCTAGATCTAAATTAAAGCCAGAGACCTCTAATAGCCCTGTGAACAATGTAGATTTAAGTTCATTAATAAAGAAATCAACAGATGAAAAGGGTAGTGGAGATACTGATAAAAGTTCTAATGCTCAAGTTCCTAATTCCCCAGGTATACATTTAATATGAATTGTTTTACCATAGACAATATAATGATGAATTGATGATCTAATGAAAATGAATGCCAAAGTATACCATTAAGGTAATAAATATTGTGGTCATCAATGGAAATCTTCATATTTTTTAGTTGTATGTTCAAAGGAGTTTTTTTGGTCAAATTGTATTTAATGAGGTGTAATTCATATCAATGTATTGCAGAAAAGAAATCAATCCGTCCTGAATTTGATCATGAAAATAGTTTACTACCAGAAGATGAAATCTCACCCGAAGAATCACAAATGGTTTGTACAGATTTCTAATCTAGTGTTCAATAAACATGTTTATTATGTATTCAATAATGAATATTTTAACAGGTTATTGGATCCTTTTTTGGGGTTGAATTTAAGATTTAAACTAGCAAATTGAAATTTATATTTTTATATAATCCATTTCTTTAAAATGATATCATATCACAGGGTGGAAATGAATGCTTCTTGAGTCTTATGTTCCTTTTGTATCGTTGTCACATCTATTTCTTATTTGGTTCGCATAATAATAGATCAAAATATAGTGTTTCAGACGTAATAATTTCATTATTTTATTTATATATAGTTTGAAGAGGAAAATAAAGCATTATATGATGAAATGAACAGTATGTCTCATGAAGTTAAGTGAGTAAAAAATATGTCAAATCATACACTATACAGTATATAGTAGAAATTGATTAAGGATCAATATCCATCACACAGAGAAAACCAATCTTAACAAATAACTGCTTTATTTCTTGTTCACTCATGCCAGAGATTGTTTCAGAGTTAGTTATGTATTTTCACTATTTTATGTTTTAAATACACTTAATAGTATCAAGATAATTATTTACTTCAGGCAAATAGAAGGCAAAGTTATAGAAATAGCTAAATTACAGGAAATATTTGCAGAAAAAGTTTTAGAACAGGTGATATATTTATGTTTCTCATAAAACCATTTCATGAAATAGTTCAAGTGAAATGACTTAAGTATATAGGCATATTTGCATCTGAAAGTTGACGACACACCAGACAATATCACTGAAAATTGCTGCTTTTTAAATCAGTATGTAGCTAAAGAATGTGTATATATGTTTACTCAGTATTACTATTCAGCATCATTTATAACAATATGTATTGACTCAGTCAATAATATATTGAATATATTTATGCTTTATGGCTGGAATTACTGTATGTATAAACCATATTGTTATACTACAAGGGGAGATAAGTGTTAAAATATTTTATATCTGTATGGTGTAATAAGAATATTTTGTTTGTATTAGGAGCATGAAATAGACCATATAGCAAGTACAACAGTTGGTACAACAGAAAATATTATAGATGCTAATGAAGAAATTAGAGAGGTCAGTAAATACATTTTCCTACTGACAGTTTGAACTTTGAATACTGACTTTCAGGAAATGTCACACAGTGCATGCTTCTAGCAATGACATAATCAAATTTATTTTCATTTTGCAAACTAATAGTCACTGTGTCTAATCTGAACTTAAAACACTGCCTTTCAGAAGGTATTATGCAGTTAGAAACTTTATATGAATAAGCAATAAGGTCATTATTATTAAAGAACAATATGTTTATACAATATTTGCTACCATTGCAGAATGCATTGTTCTTTCATTTGAAATCTTTTCTACTTTTCTCTTTCTCTATTTTCAGGCTATAAAAAAGAAAGCTGAATTTAGAGTGTGGATTTTATTTTTCTTAGTTATGTGTGCTTTATCGTTACTATTTTTAGATTGGTATAATGGTTGAATTAATAGCATAGCTTTTAAATCACCTGTTACATTTAACTTTGAACTGAATACACGCTAATGTAAAAGCCGTATTGTTATGATTTAGACTTTGCGATAGTTTTATATGAAGCATCTAGACAAGACTGAGTGCCAAAGTTTCTCTATGCATTTCAATAACAACAAGTTTTAAAGGATCTTCTATAACCTATTGTGACCTGTAGAATATTTAAAGCCCTGTGAGCAGAGAAGGTTTAAAAGGAGGTATCTCTTAACAACAGCCATTATTGCCATTAATAATTTGATTTGTACAGGGATATTCTTCATGCTTTATTGTAAATAAACAGGAATAGTCTTTGAAATTGTTTCATTGTGAAAGTCAAACAGTCTGGGTTGTTTTCAATCTAAGGGTTAACACCCTTTTCTAAATTTTGCTAATCTTATCATAAGGTCTTTATTGTGATATCAAATGGTGAGAAAGAAGCAGTCGAGTGAAGAAATGAAAAAAAAGCAAAATTATTTATTGAGATTCAGGATTTATTATTTCTATAAAAATAGTGGGTTTCACAACACATCTGTTAATCTTAAGGTCTTATCCTTTAACAGATGGTGTGAGATGTAAAATATTTTGTTCAACCAATGATTGAAATAAAGACGCACAATGCTGATAAAAACCTCTTGTGTCAGAATATATTGAACAGTTATGATGCAACACAAATAAAACAAAATACTACAAACACTGACATCATCTTGGACAGCAAAGGCCACAGAATGAGTGGGAATAACATTATGAAAATATTCATGATGCATAGAAACGGAATGAAATATAATGTGAAAAATTTGAAATTTGAAAAATCCAGTGTATACCTATTTCAATATTCACTCTAATATTCTGATATTTTCTGCTTTTAATCTTGGTACAAAAAATACTACATTTGATATATATGGTTGACATCATATAACAAACTATGCTGTTGGTGGATTTAATCTATGAACTTCAAACAAATGCTGCTGTAATTGTTCTTGACTTGTAAATGGTTCTTCACAAATTGGACACGCCACCTCTTCCAGAGCAGATAAATCATTGGAATGTTTTTTTAACATGTGTTTCTTCATGGACTCTTTACGAGCGAAGCTAACATAACAGATTGGACAGTTGACACGGACCTGTAAATGTTGAGATTTTATATGACGAGTTAAAGTTGGTTCACCAGCAAAATATTTCCCACAATATTTACATAAATGCTTGGGCATGATCTTCCTTGCTCCCTGAAAAAACATTAAAAGTTACATTATGTCTTTGAGCCATCAGATATTTAATTGAACAATTTCATTTAGTATTCTAATCTAAGTAAATACAATAATTATTTTATTTCAGGTTTAATGCTGACTATTTCTGAACTAATTGCTGCTGAATCCAAACTCAACTTGAGGCCTCTCAGACTTAGTTATTGTCAATAATCAATAATGAATATTCATGAATTCCTCAGCTTTGAACATATAAAATTCCACTGAAAATCTTCACAATATTGATAACAATAAAATTGTTATTAAATCTCAATTGATTTAAACCCATAAAAATAATATTGGAACAATTTATTATCTTTCAGGTACAAATTAACAATGTGACCATTCATTAGAATTAAGAAATATTAGTAAAATAAGTAACAAATAACATTAAACAGATAAATAAGACAATTTGATTCCATTATTTGTGGATAAATTGTCAACAAAATTGAAGATAATTTCCAATCAGAGTCCATATTTTCATAACTTCCTGATTCCAAGGTTTCAGATTGGAAAGAATTTATTCATAAACAAAACCATTTCGCTCATTTTCATGTACACCAGTAACATAATATTTTGTATCGAAAATCATTGACCATACAATGTAGAAGTAGATTTGGGTTAATTTACTGGCAATATACTTGTAAATAATACATTTATTATTTGGGAAACAAGCTTTGATTTTAGATGTTTAATAATAATGACTAATCATAAACGAGGGTGCAACATGAAATTACTTGTGAAGTCAGACCATTTAAAACAATAGCAGGCTAGATTGGCATAAACTTAATTTATCAAATTCATAACTTAATGTTTTAAACAAAAACAGTCATAAAAACCCTAAAAGCCTGAAATATAAGGTGTTTTTAATATTATCAATACCCAAGAATTTTAAACTCAAATAATTGAACCACAATAACAGTGATCTGTGTAAATTTGAATTTGTTTTAATTGTCGTAATAGAAAAGATTCTGAGACTTTCTCAACATGATTTTTGATATGAAGCTTTATTGTTTCTTTGTTCATAAATACACGTAGACAAATGTTACACTTGTAAGTTAAAAATATATGTTGTTCTTCTTCAATATCGTTTGATTTGTCTTTTCTATCACACAACTTTTGACCACAAAACAAATTAGATACCGTAGGGATCTTCTTGATTTCCTACAAACAATTGATATGTCTGATTGATATCACATGAACTAATTATCAAATTTTGCTTCAAGATAATTTGAATCCTTACTATATTCTTTTTAACTATCAGCATCATTTACATAGACTAAAAATTTTGGTTCTATTCTGTTGAATTTGTTGAGACCTCTAAGCAACAATAACCTTCTGGATTTCCAAACCCATGTTAGTCCCTTTGAGCAAAACACTTTTTTGCAAACTGATATCCCATAATGTGAAACGCTAAATGCAATAATTGGTGTGGTGCACTTGATAATCTAATGCTGTAAACCCATTTTGCTGAAAATGCACTTAAATATTTATGGAAGAGTTTGAATTGATAAAATTATAACAATCCTAATTGAATATTATTTTGAAATAAAATTATGTTTGACTGAAACAAAATCCACATCTAGTAAAGGTGTAAAACTCTTATAGAATCTAATGTCCATACATGTCACCTCAGAGAATTAGTCAAAGTGCATTCACTTGTCAATTTCCAAAATTATCAAAACTTTTCTTCACAAACACTAAAGAATATGGTTTTATGTATCATGAAAACTTTTCATGTGAATTCTAAGTGAATCTTTTCTTGAAAATTTACTTTGACAAATTTCACAGTAGTAAGTCCTGTTTAAATGTCGACTATCTATATGTCTTTTCAAATGTCCTTTTTGAGTGAAAACACTACCACAAATATGACATGAGTAACCAGAGCCTTTTCTGTCGGTAACCTACAAAACAGGAAACAGAGCTTGTTTGAAATTTTGCGTTTCCTTGAGAGATTGCATTCTTTTCAGGACACTATCAGTAGACATGGTTACATTTTCATTTCCCTAATTTTATATTTATCAACAGCAATTCTTATATATTATATGCATTAGACAGAATGAGATGAAATATAGCAAAGTCAATGAAGTAATTTACAAGTCAGTCAAAAGGTATAATAGTTATTGTAAAAACAGTTATTTGTTTTCTATTTAAAAGTAATTTAAGAAGTCTTAGGAAAGTGATGTTTGTGTAGCATTACAATTTATGTTGTGTATGTGATTTAAATAAGACATTTAAATACGTATTATATCAATTTAGATGTACTTACAGCTATTGGAGGAATTGGAAATGGAAGGCCAGGTGCAGCACCTACAAATAAACATAACTGTCTGAACTCACACAAAGTAAATAGATTCTCTTATTAACAAATTGATGCATGGCCCACCTGCTCTATATTCTCAATAAATTGAATAATGTTGAATTTATGTTACTAAAGTTACTTGCATTAATCATTGACAAGAGCTAATCTTAAAACATGTTTAGGAAGTAAATGTGAGCTCCACAGATAAGTGTACAGAAAACTATTTCTTAAATATTCACTTTCCTTAAAAAGCCAAAGATCGTTGAGATTTATCAACAAACTATTTCCATGATGGCATTTTGGAAGAATGCAAGTATGGATGACACCAATTTCATCTTTTATATACTTTGTATATTTTAAAAGAAAGAAAGAAAGAAAGAAAGGAACAAATATTTCATACCTTGGGAAGTTGGATTTCGAGAATTTGGTACAAATGGTTGATTACCACTGGTAACTGATGGATGATTACTAACTGGTACCTGTTCACCTTTTGGATTAACATAACCAACAGGATACAGATCTACTGCCTGCTCCCTTAATCCTGTCAAGAATTCATAATGAGACTCATCTTCATAACCTTCTGCATACTCCTCTTCACCATATTCTTCCTCACCATAACCTTCTTCATCATAACAACCTTCTTCATCATAATCCTCTTCATATTTCTCTTCACCTGCAAAATTAATTGCTCAAGATTTCATCTTTAAATTTTGAGTTCAGACGGTTTTAACTTCCCACCTCAATAATTGTGCAAACATGATCTCATTAGTTGCTTCTATCACAGTAACAAGATGATTTTGACTTATGGGCAATAATACATAATCTCTTCAAGAAAGAAATATTATTTGGTATAATAAATGTCCGAGATGTAAATGATTTACTTTAGCATGCCCATATTCAATCAGAAAGCATGAAAACTGCAGATTTGATAAATTTAAGACTAAAACTACCTTTACTCCATGCTTCTGCTTCTGCAAAAGCTTTTTGTTCAGCAAGAGAGTATTGTTCATCTTGAGGTTCTTCTTTTACCTTAGTTAAATCAACATCAACCACTTGACTGTTGTTGCTATTACAAGGTTGACTAGAAGAGGATGTTACAATAGACTTTGGTGCTGGAGATTTATTAGATACAGGTAAAGATGGACTAGTTTTGGGGAAATTTTTCACACTTTGGCTAGGGTCAAGAGGTTCTGACTTGATTTGCGGTTTATTTCCAACAGCTATTGGCATTCTCTTTGGAATTTCTCCTATTTGAGGTTGTACACATGTGTCTACTTTATTGGGTAACATACCCCGATTATACATTATGTGTTGTTGTTGTCGATTTAGTTGCATTTGATTCCCATGTTCACCCATTCTAGGCATTTTATTCAATGGCACAGGAGAAGCACTATCACTAGAGCGTTTTTGAAAAGTTCGTTTCTGAATATTTGGGTGATGAATATCTTCTTTAATTGTTGGTTGTTTCTGTCTTTGATCTGAAAATCGAGCTTGTGATTCTTGTAGATTTTGCCACTGTTGTCTTTGATTTTGGTTAGCTGGTGGTATCATATTTTCATTCAATTCTGCCTTTACCAATGGCTTTTGTTGTGGATCAGTGGCATAAAAACTTCTACTAACAAAAGTGGTAGAAGATTTATCAGTTTTAGAAACCCTTTCATTGAGAACATAATTGAATTCAGAGCAACTGTCAACAGTCAGATATAAATGTCCCACAACTTTGATATTTTCATCAAAATCAAAATGACCATGACAAACAGCTTGTAAATGTTTCACTAATGCTGAGATAAATTCTGTTGCTTTACTTGCCATGATGAATGGTAAGAATCCAAAAGTTGATTCTGAAATGAATAAATAATGAAAATCTTATTTATATAAAACTGTCTACAATGATATGACCCAAATCTTTACATCAAGCTCATTAAACCTTTATAGATGGCTACAGGGCCTCCATAAATGTTAAAAATACGATCAAAATATATCATATCTTCACAAGAATGGTAATTAATTGATTTTCATATGCCAATTAGGAACTTCTTCATTCTTAATATTAGTTCTAATGTAGCTACAATGGAAAAATCAGTTTCAGTTTTTAAATCTTTGAATAATTTACATTTAAATAATTTGACTAAAAAATATTTGGATCATTGAAGAGTTCTTTTAAAATAAATATATTATAGTTTCTGGAATGGGCTGTTAATTTTATTGGGAATGTCAGGTTTTTGCCTCAATTGCATTTACAATCTGAGATTGTTCTAAACATATTTACTTATGGAGGTGTGGAAAATCCCCATAAAACAGGGCCTAGTTGTTCCTTATCCAGTCATAACCTTCACATAGCTATCTGGAGCTGGAATAGAGGCAGGTGATTCAAACTAGGGCTAGGGCCTACCCAACCCTCAAGAAATTACATGTCTTGTCTTACTCTTGGCATGCTAAGCTCGTAATAGAATACTTGTAACTGTCTAATGAAAGTTTAAGGACTATGCATCATGAATATTGATTGAAACCATGGGATATTGTTTTGACCGTCTTTCTTCGCAGACCTAATCAAGGCTAATCATTGTACTGCATTGCAAATTCTTGACTATATCATGAAATTATGAAAAAAAAATCAATGTTTAGTTTGAACTCAGTATATTACCAGAGTTGGCAATAATGAGCACTACAACGTTTTTAGAACGGTTGTCTCTGTAGGCCTATTCTAAGACATTGAATTGGTTAACTAGAAATACATCTTTTTTGAACATCTTTCAGAACAATGAGAATTCAGTTCTTTAAGACCGACAGCAAAATTGATCAAATTCGGCACTATCGTTGAAAAAATAGAATACGGATCAGAAAATGATTGAGACAATTCATATGTACATCAATAAAAAATTTAGAAACACTATTAGGGATATCATATAAAATTTATCTGATTAATAATAAATGCCATGATCTACATAACAATCTGGATCGATATCCTCATTTTTTTGGATATTCTTAAATTCTTCTAGCACTCTGGATATTACCCACTGGCCGCGTTTACAATCTATTTCTAGTCCTTAAAATTATAATTTTGATAACCGGAAATGAAAAGAGTAAAGAAGAAAAGAAATTTGTGAAGTACTGTACATGCCTGCTTTTTATTGTTTGTGGCCCTGAAATTAGGCTTTAGAAAAAATAAATATTCAATAACTATCAGGTATGAATTGAATAACAATTTATATATTGATGTATAAGAATCGCATTTAATCCCATTTCTTTGGCTCTTACTAAATATCATCAGTCAAATCGTCTACACAGTCACATGCCAACTCGTCTACAAAATTTTGTTGGAAAACCAAACTTCACACCATTCACAGTATTATGGATAGTAAAGTTATTATGCATCCATTGTTCATTTGTGGTAAAATAAAGCACCTTGAATAATGTATTGACAGTGACCGCATTAAACCTCGTTCGTTAAAAATTGAAAAAGAGAAGGCTAATGTGGCTTTTCCTCATTGCACCTTGCATGGCGTTGCCATTAGCCCACATGGTGCAAAAAATGTAGGACGTAAAACTCCATTCATTTCATTTCTATGATATATGCCATACAGTATCTATAGGCCTATTTGGTCATTTTGACTTTTTGGTACTGTTCGAAAGCTCGTAAAAGTGCAGATCTTGTGATCATCTTTTATTCCTAGCTCGATTGTAAATAACCCTAAATCACAATTTAAATATCAACAGACAGTTTAAAACCTTTTAAAAAGATTTTATTCAAGGTCTTCTTTTTTCTGAAAAACTTTGTACACCATACAATAATGCTATTGAGTGAATAGGTCAGAATACTCAAACTATTATACAAGGTTTAAATTGTATAAGAATAAAAACCATGTTTAGCTTTAAAAAAAAAATATATAAGATTTTAATCAAATACTCATACAGTTTATTTTTTTTCATTTATTTTAAAAATTAATTTTACATCATATACTGTGATACAAGGTTTCAAGCAGTCACCCATGGTGTAAGCTTACCTCTCAACCTTGTGTGCAGTGAACTTCTAAAGTGTAAAGTAGTTTAAAGTAGGGCTATAAGCTTATCTTTCTTGCTTGGAAGATGTGAAAAATAAACCTTGTAAACACAATATAGGCTACAGTTTTGATCCAATTTTCATCTACTTGGTATGTCCAAAAAAATCCTCACCATGCTTGAGTTACTCTGCAATCCTTATCAGTTCAGCAACATTATTATTATTTAATTACGGTACCAAATTTTAATTTCAGTTAATGGAGTGTTAAATTTTTTCCCAGGGAAAATGAAGAGTCAATCAACATCTCAGTTTATCTCAGCTTTAGTGAAAAATCTACAAGCTGTATGTCATGGAAATGTAGATTTTGATCAAAATGTGAAAATTGTGGGTCATTTATTCCTAACAGTTGATAGTGCAACAGAATTTAATTATATTGTGAATGAAAAAGTTTCTAAAAGTGATGAATCTTCAACGACATTTATCAGTAAAAGTTTCTATGCCACTGATCCACAACATAAATCACCTAAGAAAAATTTTGATAGACCCTTATCTCAACCTACACCTGATATACTTGGAAAAACACGAG